AAATAATAATAATAATAATCCTCTCGTGTGATACGGCCCCAAACAAGGGTATACTGATTTGAATATTTTTTATTTTTTTCATATTTATGTTCTCGAGCCCTAACGTGTTAACCCGTAGTCTTGTAGTCTTCAGTCTTTACTATGCGGTTTCTTTTGGATATTGTGATTTGTGACACAAAAGAAAATTCTATTTTCTAATTATGATTTTCGTTTACTGTAAGTTGTACACAAATTTAGAGATAACGCATAAACACCAAAAATAAGTCCTAGAAAAACGTTAATAGGCGCGTAGGATTACAACGAAACAAAATCCTATAAAATGTATGTTTTTTGTGTTTTGTTTGGAATAAAAGGTAAACTGTTGTTGTTCAATATATTTGAAAACAATTATTTTTCAAACTTAAACGTTTAACATTTTTTTAGTGTTTTATTAATGATAAAACGTTATAAGAAAAACGTCGTTTCTATGCTACCGATTACTACCCAATCAGTCCATTCATTACTGTATTGTACACATTTTTTGTTTACATTTATAAATAATAAAAAAAACATAAGACAAAACTGGTTGTTCGGATCGTTCGATTAATTTCATGCTATTAGAAAGCACATTAGTCAATATTCCGGTGTAATTGGTCGTCCGTGTTCATTAACATTTAGATTAACTGTATTATGTGGAAAAAATTAGCCGATTTCGTTTCAGCATGTAGTATTGTTTCAGCTTGTGGGCTCATTTGGTTAATATTTTATTACAATTATTAAACATTCGAGGATTGCATAACATAATAGGAGCGTATAATAAATATTAATTATAAAAAAATATGGTTACTTTTCTGTATATGAGAAAATATGTGAAATCACGTTTACACATGAATTTAAGTATCATTTCACTAAAAATGGAATCAAATAATTCTTAAAACAGTTACGTTCACATCATTTGGCAATCGAGGTGTAGTCCGGAGAGCTAACTTAAATCAAGTCGAGCATGTCATGACAGTATCCTCATTAAGCGGGCTCATGTTTTTTTTATTATTTGTATTTACAATTTTAGCTTCGATGCGATATTGGTTTTATCATGTGTTTTTTTGTATCTGTAGACACGATAACTTTTTTTTCTGTTGACCGATTTCACTGGTGTAGTACCACTTTTAGACCCAGAATCGTATGCAAATGGTACATTGAGGGTCAATAGAAAAAGTCAACTCCTTCTTACCCGAAACCGGGAAAAACAAATTATTAGGTTTTTCAACCATCAAAGTTGATTTGCTATATCTTCGCAAAAAAACAGTAGGTATAGTCGACATTTTTATAGAAAATAATTAGGTAGTAGTAAAATCACATTTGAGAAATTAGAAAAAGCTTTGATGCGAGTCTGTGGATACTAGACCACACTTAGGTAATTTCTTACTGTGCTGGTTTATACTGTGCTGGTTTGGACTGTGCTTGGTTTTGGACTATGCTGGTTTATTTTAAAGTAAGTTTTCTAAAAAATATTGATTGGTCAAAAACTAGTTTTCATATTAATTCTTAAATATGTCCGTTACTTGATTTTTTTTTCCGAAATGATTAATCGTTTTAAAACTTTTGTTATTTTTTGATTCGGAATAAACAATTAAAAAAAAAAAATCATATATCATTTAGTACAAATATTAAAAACTTAAAACTTCGATAATTATTATTCATCAACACTCCGAATAAACATGTGGTAAAGGTGACATTAGTGTCTATAAGGCGTTTCAAAATTCCAGGACAAATAGAGAAACGGAACTTTTGAAAACGTTAGTTTTGGAACACAGATCTGGAATGTTGGTATTTTTTCCGGAATCAATTCCGAATCCCTAGTTGGGAATAAATAATTTTGAAGTCATTTCTGTTTAAGAGTATACGGGATAAACTGTTGGCCTTTGGTCAGTTATCAATAAACAATAGACTTGTAGAACAATTTGTCGTCCGAATGAATAGTTATTAGGATTTCCGCCTGGTGCCCTGTCACGATCCTTTCTTGCCTCACCTATCAAGCACTGGTCCGTCTGGTCTTCTTCGCCGAATTTATATACCTATACTCGTGTTCGACTTTACTCGTACTCGTGGTCTAATCGAAGCCTGATCCGCAAACACCTGAAACATTAACAAATCGACAACGAATGTCCTGGTGTAGCGGTGATTGATAATATTGCAGGTAAATCGGGTCAAATCAAAGCGAGTATATTCTTGGCCGGCACACGTCAAAGCGGACAGGCCTAACTGTATATAATTACTCGTTGATTGGATCCTTTGTCGGCGATGGCGACGCGTTCTGTCTATAATAGTTTACCAATTGCCGCGTGCGTGTCGCCGCAAAAGGCTGGACCGTCCGGCATCAATAATAATTTAGGTGCCTGTATAATAATATAATATAATATTATCGTTATAATAGTATACGCGGTCATTACGAGAACATTCGGTTTGTTATTAACGCAATGAACCCGGGGGCAACGTTGGCTCCACATTGTGCATCAAGTCTGGACGCACACAGACACACACAGAACACATTATATACAGCACAATTGGACTTGTAGTGTGTGTTTCTGCGGGGCACGACCGTGGTAGTATTATTATTTAATTTTTGTTATCTCCTTTACTGCTGCTGCTGCAAGGCTTTGCCACAATCGACTTGCACGCAGAGGCTGCTTGCTCGAAGGTCGATAATGTTTTGGTGGCGCCAGTCTTAACAAAAATTGCATCTGGCAAGTCTTAAATTTTGACGCTTTTTATGTTGGGGAATAAATGTACAGTAATATGTCCTAAACTGTTTTTCGGAAAAGATGGAAAATTATTCTTTTTTCAGTAAAACATTTTTATATCAATACTAAAAATATAGGAGTTTGCACAGTTTTGGGGCCCTCTAAGAACTCGAATCTCATTACGGAATTGAAATTGGATCATTCTGTGTAGTTGCAATTTTGTCTAAAATAAACCGAAATGGCTTTTACTCATAGACAAAATTATTTAAATTAAAAATAATTCCTTGAAGCTTATACAAATCAACCGGTAAATTAAATGACACGGTCAAAATTTATTAAAACTTCTTTTTTTCTTAAATGTAGCCTATACAAAACTCCTTAAAACAGACCGCATGCAATCCCATTAGCATTTTTATCTATTCTATCTATCCTCTCTCTTCCAAAAAATCCCAGTAATATTTTGTACTTATGTAATTTCATTATTTTTTAAAACTGGGTTTGTTATTTGAAATATGCACTTTTTTTTTATTTTAGCATTAGGTGACCATTGATACTAACTATAAAGTCAATAAATAACAAATCATGTAAGTTTTCCATAAAAAATATATATTAATCGATATTAATAGATAATGACGACTTCCAATCACATTTCATTTTACTCGCCACAATCTTCTTCAAATACTCTAATTTCTTGCGCTTGTAACTCCTAAATACTTTAATTAAATTGATTGGAGCAACAAATAGATAAATCCACGTTTTTAAATTTTTCAGGACGATCTAAAATCGTTAATTTTATCACTATCAATTATGATAATTTCTGAAGATCTTTAACCTCCCCGTCCCCATTGTGTTGGTTTTTTTATTTAGATTTTGGACTAACTATAAGTTAGTCAAATCTTGTAAAGGATTATTAATTTTATAATACAATAAGGTATTTTCCATATTTTTTAAGAAGTATAAAAACCTTTTTTTAAAATAAAATAGATAGTCTAAAATACGAATAATGGTTAACATTTAATAAATAGTATACTTACAACAAACATACAAATTTTCTTTCAATGTTGAACAAAAATATAGGTAGATCAAAAATCAAAACGAAGATTTTCAACACATCGTTTTTTTATTACCACTCAAATTTACAGTATAAGTTCTACTGAATTATACAAGTAAATGAAAAATAAAAAATCTACATCGTAAACGGATAAAAAGTAATTGAAAAACAAAAATTCAACAAAATCCGAGATGTAAAATACGTGGAATATCTCATAAATAGGTATCTATGTTCATAATTATATATTCTTTACTCAACCTATTTTAGGACATTGTCGAGAAATAATCCTATTACAATTCGCTGACATTTATTAGAGTGAAAACATTATGATGGCACTTAACAATACTCTCTAAGTAAAAAAGCAAGTCATCTTCATCAGTCAAACTATATTGCGACGAAGATTATTTGTAGTTTCGAATTAGCAGACACTAGTAAAAAGAAAGAAAGTGTATAGTATCAGTATAAAACACTCAGTAGTTCATTTTAATATTATTTTTACATAAATATTAAAAAAAAATGTTTTGTGGAATCACTTTCACGTCAAAATTTTTCATCATACAGTATTAAAAAAGTTTTATTTTTCAAAACTGTACATTTTTAAGTTGTTTTGAAATTCGTTCTATTAAAAGTATTTGCTTATACTAGTTATATATTATATTAATACAATTAAGTCGGGCATCTATTGTAGGACAGACTGAATTAAAAAAAAGGTTAGAGTTTAATAACATCATATAAAACACATATATTGTCTTACAGACAACCATCCTAAAATTTACGTGGTTCATTTAAACTACCTGAAGTACATTTTAGCAACACTGAGTCGGGTTGTAGATTTTTTAAATGTATATTTCAGCAAAAAATACTATACCAATATTGATAATCAAAGTAATACGATTTTAAATGTACGAAAATGATACACATTAATTGTGTTTTATTATTACAAGACATTCAAATTAATGTATTAAATATTAACAAAATTAAAGAGACATAAGAATAAAAGAAAAACAAATAAAATTATGGGGTTTATAGATTTATGAATAAAACGACATTACATTTAAAAGCGTACCTAAAGTACGATCAATAGTAAGCAGTTAAAGGCAACTACTTTTATTCCTCAGACTACAGTAATGATTTTTTTCTCTTTTATAACTGATCGTATTATATTATTTTTCTTTAGGCTAAGTGATTAGGCTAAAGAGTTTCAATAGGAATGATGAGGGTACAAAATATTTGAATAATTAAATTTAATGTTTTAATCTTAAATTCTTAATACAGGCTATCGGTGTTTGACGACCGAGGCTTTTTTATTTTGTCGAAATTCTTTATGACAATATCGTGCAATGTCGAATAGCGATTTCGAATTTCGTGCATGGTAAGAGAAATAGACAAATATTGCTTTTCATCCAACTCCTCGACAGATCTTCGGTAATCTTCAATGTACGGATATTTAACGACCTGTAAAATAAATATTTACCCATCATAACTAATGTCATTTAAGCATATATGAAAAAAAACTGCAAGACTTTTCTATCAGTGTAACGTAAAAATAAAATTTAGTTGAAAAATAAAACGGCCAGTAAGTGGCTTTGTAAAAATGATTCATACTTTTCTACATTACGACATAAACTTACCTTACTAACTAATTTAGCCCGCGAAGCATAATAACGAGAAACTTGATCAAGATAATTGGATGCTTCAACTTCGACCTGCTGAATTTCAGCTAAAGTATCTTCTTGAATTGATACTCCAAAGTTGTTACCATCTTCGATTTTCGGTATTAACAACGATACCCACATTTTCAACTAAAAATTAAATGATGTATATTATACATGGTTGTATATCTTCATAGTGTCAATTATCACATTACCATTGCTAAGTCAATGTATGAAATATAAGTTATTACCATATCATAATCAAGATTATAATATCAGCAGAGCGATAAGTACATAACAATAACAAATTGGCTTCATTAAAAAAACGGTTTAATAATTTTTATTTTTTTTTTGCAATAAAGTGGTAAATAAAATATCTATACATCAACTGCAACTACTTCAACATAAACAAATGTGTTAAGTACTATTTACAAATGTAAATGAAAAAAGTTTAAATGATGTGCAGTAAGATCTAAATTTTACACCTAAACTTACTTAAACCATTTTCAAAATAAGCCATCAATTAAACTTAAGGTAGGTACTGATAAAGCAACATGTTAATAACAATGTTGTCAACATGTATCCCACTAACTGGTAACAAGTTGATGGATACTCGTCAACAGTAGGCGGCATGACATCAAATAAATTTGTTACTTGTTGCTTGTATCTAGGTTTTCCATTCTAAATGGAAAACATCGCTCAGTATGGACGGTGTTGTCAACAATTGTATACATTGTAATATACAATATTATAATACTTGCAATTTTTTATACCAATAATTAGTACTCAATTTGTATAAATTTGTATGACAATTTTGAACATGTGTACTTAATTCTTTCCACGATAAAATAATAATATACCGATTTCCCATTTCCCCTGCCTCCTAGATATTGAAGTGTTTTTTTTTTTAAATAATTAGTACGCGATATATATGACCATTTTGAATATTTGTACTTAACTCCTTCCACGAGAAAAAATAATAAACTTATTTTAATTAGTATCAGTTTTATTATTATTTTGCCTGTGATCACACTTGTAATAATATAAAAATATATTCAAAGATATTCATAACATTAAAAATTATCTGATGTTATAAAAAAATAGAGATAATTACATTTATTATATTTTTCACGTAGAAAAATTATACTCTATTCAAAATAAGAGCGTTCTGCACGGCCAATCGATTTTCGTCGGTGGGTGAGAGGTTTCTCCCACCAAGTCGAAGCGCGCGGGTTAGATTTGAACGCGCCATACTATTGACAACATGTATCCAGATACATGTTGTTTATATTACTTTAAATCCATCACAGGACCAATAAAGTGCATTCTGCATAGCCAAGTTTTTTACACGATTAAGGAGTTATAGTATAAAACATAATTTCTTAGTTCATCACAGATGTAATATGTAAAAAACCACTAACACCACTGGGTACATTAAAAATGCAGTATGCACTAGATATTTTATTCCATGTAAGATGAACAAAGATAACAGATTTTATAGCCATCATCCTAATTAATATATAAAATTAACATCTAACTTACTGCATTTGTATCTTCGACTAACTGTTTAATATTTGGTTTCACAATTTTAATCACTTCTGTAAGATTTTTGTTAGACGGTATCATAGACTGAAAACCCGAATTGGAATTAGAACTATCAACACGAGGCCTTTTCCCAGGAGTTTTTCCTTCACAACTACAATAAAAAAGTTTATTTAATAATATTTAGTATAGTCATTACATACACCAGCATACTCAAATTTAAATTATACTTACTGATTTACATTGTTTTCTGTCGTCCCGATTGGGATATCAAGGCTACACTTCAATTTTGTCATGTCTGCGATATTAAATTCCGGTCTCTTTAGTAGTTCATTCAAATGAATTATTCTTTCAGGGAATTTTTGAACAATTCTATTTTCCGCCTTAAATAAAAGAAATAAAATATAAGTAAGCATTATACACATTTACCAAAAAACATACATGATGACTTGGTGTAAGAGTAAAGAATGACATTTTATTAAAACCAATTGTTTTTATTTTTTTTAAATATCATTACTTAGAGAACTCCATAAATTTTATTTTTTAAACTAAAACTAATCCATAGATCAACCATTTATATTTTATATCGCATAAAGTTACATGACTTTTTTTTAATATAGATAATATTGATAAAAAAGTATTCTTAGACTATATTTTTATCGATTTATACTTATTTTGATCTTATACATACATCAACCTTTAATGTTTCATGAAATTCTTTGGCCTGAAAAACAAAAAAAATTTACTAATAGAACAGTTATTATTAATCAGTAATTGTATTGTAAATAATTATATATACAAATTCTTAAGCGTTGTCATAATTAATATGCAAGATATCAGCTAAACTATTTGACATGATATATACTCTTTGTTATAAAATATATGACTTGAGGTAAATATTATGTAAAGTAAAAAAGTAAAAACAATAGACAAATATAAAACAGTAGATATGTTTTTAATTAATCAAACTACGACAATTATGTACAATATCTTTTCAATAACTACATTATCTAATATCTATAATCGTACACACACATTTACAACAACAATAATATTCATTTACCTTTTTTGCTGCGTCAGTTTGAGCCATTTTATGTTAGAAGATGGTACTTGTAGCTTTAGACTATCTACGTCGTTTTTAATAGGAATTTAATTTAATTAAAGATTTTTGAAATCGAACAAGCTTTAATAAGTTTACGGTGAACAACAATTTGTACAATAATTTAATTATTAATTTGTGTTTTTAAGTGTTAAAACAAAAGCCATGAGATTATGAGCGAGGTAAAGTATTGAGTAATGAGTAGTCGTAGTGTAAGTGTATGTTGTTATATATTATTGACCAATATTTTCAAATAATTTTCAGGTTAGTCTATAATTCTCTATAGCGGTTGCGGTATGAATCCATTAGTATTTTTACGCACAGATGTCGCTGAGTAGGTGGGTAATATTTGTTCCATACATTTTTTCTTCTAACGAACATTTGTTCCAAATGTTTTGTGGAACAAAAGTAATTGGGACTGGGGACATAAAATGTATGGAATAATTGTTTTTTGGAACAAATGTTTTGCGGAAGGAAAATGCTATGTCATAACAGTACTGCGGAACAATAGTTCACGGAAGTTAAACATTATCGAGAAAAAGATAATTGGCACAAAGTATCTTCGGAACAAGAGTAAATAAACGTTGGATTTTAATGACACCGATTATGATTTAACACACGAAAAACTCCCCAACGACCGGTCTCATTTATCTGTCTGGCGAAATCCTGAATAGAGCTGAAAATCTTGAATTTGGCGGTGGTCGGTCGGTGCGTGTGTGTTTTTTACAGGTTACTTGTTTTGATAGCGATTTCTAACTGTAACAATAAGTCAAAGGCGTTGACACGGGTTGATGGAGTAGTGGGAAAATTTACTGTATAAGATAGACATAAGGGTTGGAGAGATTAAGTCAACAGTATCTCGAGATAATAGTAGGATTTGACCATTTAGTAGCAAATTCTGTAGCGTCATTTGCACCACCACCATCGGCAGGTCCGCGCATCAAATCGATTGTGACCGTTATCTCAAATCTCACTGACACCCACTTCGGACTTCCCCACATCAAGTCAATAGAAACTAGAAAGGGACACGATTTCGCAATGTCAATAGACGGCCAATATACCTCTTCCGTGAAAATATATACCGTAGATGTATTAGGATCAACCGACCAACAAAATCTGGTAGCAAAAGGGCCAAGGGAAATATAAAATCAAACAAAAGCCAAAATTATGATTCCTGTCGGTCGGCGATCAACAAATTCTTTACCGCGACTCAAAAATTGAATAATACTTTTCACTGACCAATCACAAAACGGGATTACTATATAATTTTGTAGACTGTAGTAATATCACTCAGTTTTGTGTTTAAAGTTTAAACGAAATGAAATCGAACAAAAAAACGACAGGTTTCTTTCGTCAGAAAGCCTAAAAAGTCGCATTTTTTTACACACGATTAATACCAATAACAATTTTACTATTTTTGAAGTGTAAGTGTCATTTTATTATCCAGTAATAATATATGTGAACAAATTACATAATTTTTTGGTCGACTTAACTGTTGATGGACGTTCTGAAGAATCATTTGGATACCTATAGCCACGGGAACATAGACCGAATGCCCATTATACACGATATAAACTTATCAATTTTTAATGAAATAACAGCTGTTTCCTTGATTACAAAATACGATTGTACACTATCCTACCTTTTTGCGGTAGTTTATAGACTTGATACTGATAGGTAGGTAATGATAATAATTATTAAAGTACAAAATTTGTAATTATTAACCTTGGATCTGAGTATAGTTGTAGTAATATGCAATTATGTTGTTTAACAACCTTCTTTCTACGTTCTAGTTTATACCTAATATACGTTATTTAATTAATTTTAACAGAAATATTTAATCATAAAATGGCCAGCGGTTCAAACAATATTGCTGTCCCAGCTTGTAGTGAAATGGAAAAAAAGAAGTCTCCACAATTAAGCTTCAAAAGAAGGACACTCATCGCGAATTCAGATTCAGTAATATTCATACAGCAAATTTACATATTTTTTTATGAATTAATATATTATTCCAAAATACAGGACGGTAGTGTAGATAGCAATACACCATCTATTGAATCCAAGGAAGACGGGTTCGTTTATCAAAAACGAAAGCTCGAGAGAGAACCCGGTAACTATTCTAAATTCTTACTTACATTCAATAATTTGTTGTATATAATATAGAAATAAACTATAACAAGTTCAATAGTCATTTTGAGTCAATTTACTGATTGCTTACAATTCTACTCAAAGCCTTTATTGTGCTATACATTTAACAAATCTTAAAAAATATTCGACGGTTATTCTAAATAAAAACAGCCAACATGTGACAGCAAAATATATAATTTTGTATGTAGATTAGTAGGTGTTATATTATTTAATTTCTGGACTAATAGTTTTGCAACACTAAATGTTAATAATTAAATTACCTTTCTATTATTAATTAACATAGAATAGAGTATACAAACAAACCAACTCAATAGGTCATATGAACAAGACTAATTAATGATATGTATAAACACTTAAAGAAAAATATATACATAATATGTTCCATATTAACAATGAATACACTCAAACATGAATACATAAATATTTTTTAAATTTCATGAAAACATTTTTAACTTCACTTTAATAAGTAAGCTTATTCTCTAAAAATTAAAAAATTTTCCAATAGTTTTTTAAAAATTATAATGTTCAATAAACTGCAACTTATTTTAATTTATCACTTGATTATACTTTTTTTTTTAATCACTTTTTTGTATTGTGACTAAATATTAAAGAAATGTCTATTCTTTTTCTAATAAAAAATGTGTTGTAAACTAATAATTATGTATTACTAAATAAAAACCGTTAATAATTATATGTTATATTAGGCATATAGAATGTTACATATTAACTATTAAACCGATTAAATTATATTTTAGGTTCCAAAAAAGTATTTCGCCGTGGTATTGAATGGGAAATTGTAGAAGGCTTAAAAGATGGTCAAAGGTACGATAAAAAACCAGAGCTTTACAGAGGTTATTTACATAAGAAACGAAAATGGCCATTAAAAGGATGGCACAAGGTGGGTATAATAGCTGCTGAAAATGTAATTTTTAAACATTTTCTTAATTACAAAATACACAATTTGGTTTTGGTTTTATTGCAATTGTTGATAAAACCTTATGTTATAATATGATATGATACGATGCAATATAATATGTTACATGTCCAAAAAGTTTGCGAACTGATGCCGTAATTTTTTTATATTAGATAAAATTTATTCGGTAGACACCGTTGACACTGCAGCTGAAAAGCCTAATGCCTTGTTTACAATAGACGAGTTCTTGGCCGAGACAGTGATCTCGTCCTAGTACTTGACCTTTTAAACAACATAGGCTCATTACAATTAAGTCTGAGATGGTCCAAGTGCAACAAATAGAGAGTATTTTAAAGAGGATGAAATTTATTTAGCATGATTTATCTAAAATAAAAATATTATAACATCAGTTTACGTACTTTTTACACAGACTTACACGTAACTTATGATTATATTTTTTATGAATGAAAAACAGTTTAATGAGGATTATTAATGTTTATGGAAAGTTATTTTATGTCATAATATATTGGTGAATTATAATATAAATTAAAATTTATTTATTTGTACTATTGTTTTATAAGTTTTTCTACCGTAGTCCTGTTTATGAAATCTCACTTAACAATTTATAAGTGAAGTTTATAATTTTCAGATGTATGTCTTCAGTTTTTTGCTGAATTTTGGCCTCATTGCAGATTCATCCTCTGAGCGCTATAGTCACAACAGCAGAACGGTGACTAGGCTCCGAGGATAGACTCTGCAATGAGTCCAAAAGACAGCGAAAAACTGAAAATTATTCAAATGAAATTTCAATCCATTAAAGCTTTAACAAAATATAATTTATAAGTTACATTAATAAGCTATAAAGAGGCAAATTACCTTTACAATAGTGGTTTTTATTCTCAGTCAACAATATGCAATGTTCTCAATAACTCTTATACCTAAAAAAATGTAATATTGTGAATTATTAATAATAGGTTTTGCCCCTTTAATTTAGCGGTATTTTATCCTCGACAAAGGAATTCTAAAATATGGAAAGAATCCCATAGATATGTCTCGAGGTAAAATACATGGTCAAGTTGATATAGGCCTATCAGTTATTTCTACAAAGTATCAGCGTAAAAGATTGGATATTGACGCTGAAGAATTTATATATCACTTGAAGGTAACTCTTTGTGACATAATTGTGTTTTATGATATTTTGTAAACTATAAAAATATTTTATTAAATTACTTAAATTTGTACACTAGGCAAAAACTTTTGAAACGTTTACTAATTGGGTAAGAGAAATAAAACACCATCGTCTGTATAGACAACATATTCTAACGTTTGGCTTAACTAAGCATACTTCACCTCAAAAAACTACTTCAAGTAAGTATTTTTTTTTTAATACTCCAAACCAAATCTTTAACTCATTGTGTATTATTAAGCTATTATAGCGTTTACACTTATAAAAGTTATTTTTAGTCTTAACTTTGAAATAACACCTCCAATGACAAAAACAAATATGTTTCACTCTGCTACCAAAATTAGTACGTTTGCCTCTACATGGGGTTCAATTAGGTGAAACATACTTTTCTGCTTAATAAAACCAACGTATCTACTAGTTTTTGTAATAAGCATGGATACCTCATATTTAAATATCAGTTAAATAAAGTTGTTGATTTAGGTCAATAAAATGGTCCCAACAAATAATATATTTTATAGTTTTTATATTAAAAAGCATCAAACCAGTATCTTCTCACCTTTGCTCTATTATTTGTTTACAGTTTTATCTCCAGTTGAATCAGGCAAAACACCTTCTACTCGTCTTAATGGATGGTGTTCACAACTAGATTCTGCAACTTCAGAATTAAAACATGTAGAACAAAATATGAAATCGCTAAACCGTATTCTTGATCAGCTGGAATCCACTGAAAATGATGTAAGTTAATTTTAAATATAAATATATTCCATTGAACTATTCCTTGAACTTTAAATCTGAAACAAAATAATAGTAAATAGAGTGGATTTTATGTTGTTCTATGCTCATTTTTGTTTGTTTAACATTTTTATGCAAAAAATTAAAAATATTATCTTAAATTTTTAGTAATAAAATATAATTTTTTTTTTTTGAGATTGGTGCATATGATGGATTACAAACTACTAAGAAAAGTACCAGGTTTCGTCTTCGCAAAAAGAAGAGTGGAGGTGGAAGTTGGGGTGGTACAATTGCTGGATGGGGCATTGATATGAATCAGTCGACAAATCAATCTGCTAATAAAATGTCTAACGATGCAGTGGATTCGTCTGTTCATTTTGTATGTGTATTACAAAGCTATATATTTAAACACATTATTATAAATTAATAACCATTTACTTCATTATTGTTGTTTAGCAAATGGGAAATCCTTCACAAAATTTATCTAACAGTAATCCTTCGTTAACTGTTAATCCATCATCTAGTGACCTTCAACTTTATACAGATTTTGTGATTTTAGCAAAAGATAGTATGTATAAACTATATATATATATATATATATATATATATATATATATATATATATATATATATATATATATATATATATATATACTACTGCAAAGATTATTTGTATGTATTAATAATTATGATACGTATTTTTTTCATTCAGTACAAAACAGTTTTAAATGTTTAATGGGTGCAATAACTGAAGAACGTAATCATTTATTTATTGGCGATTCACTTGATAATAAACTATCAAGTTATAGATCAGCGTTAAACAAAGCTATTCAACAAAACAGTGAATTACGCGCTAAACTAAATAACATACATGTTACAGCAGACATATCAAGCTTTCCCGATCCAGTAAGTAATATTTAAATCAATTTTGCGTACACTAATTGCCATCAAAGACAGTGTTATATATTTTAAACAAATTGTAGGTTTTGAGCTCATCATTGTCGTATAGCTCAGGAGTAAGTGGCTCAGAGGTGTTCTTTGACGCAGAAGAATATCAAGGTGGCAAAATTACTGAGTGTGAAGAAAATATTTCAAATGAAATTGTGTCTGGCGATGTAGCTCATACTTCAGATACATCGTCTGAAGCTGGGTCTTTATCCTCAGAAGACGGTTCAATATCTTCTGAAAACAGTGATGGTGCAACTTCTGAGTATAATAACCATCAAGGAGGTACTTACTTACATTATTTCATGTAATCCATTCTGCTTTTAGGCAAAAAAGCATGTTTATATTAAATAAAACGGTTTTATAAAGTAAAAAAAGCTACCACACGTCAGGCCATAGTGGGGATAAGGAAATCCCAGGTCTTAAAGAATTAATATACCTAAAAGTGGAAATAGCATGAATTTTGAAAAATACTATTACATCAAAACTAATACAAAAATATATTACTTTACATTATTAACCTCAACATTGCTATTTAGAATGTGTTTTACTCAGTCCGTGGTAGTTTTAAAGCAAAAAAAAGTTTTTCAGCCTGGAACAACGAAAGAGCATTTCCATGTCTCGTTGAAGTACCAAATAAATTTAGAGTAGTGGTGGAATTATAGATAATGATATAGTATATTAACAAGCAGTAACAAGCTAGTATCTAAGGTGGCTAGTATATTAAAACATATTAAGTTTCTGTCTAATATTTTAGTGTTTAATATCTGGCTTAAAACAATTCATAAAAATATGATCTCTTAATTTATTGAATTCAATTTAGTTCAGTTCTAGTTTGAACGTTGAGAATACAACATACATATATTTATTATTTTTAATACTTAAACATTAAATATGTTTAATATTTTTTTTTTAAAATACACTATAATTTCTTATGTAGGCAACCTCGTAAGACAAGACGTCTGCACGAGAGTCAGTTAAGTACTGAAGATTCAAGCTTCTTCCTCTTTATATTTGGTCAGCCAATGTCCATATCCTAACTTGAGACAAATATTTATCCTTTTTACTCACTTCATGTCTTCTGTAACTTAAAGTCCCGTCTTTTTCATTAACTAAATAATTTTCTTGGTTAAACTTGGTGTTCTTAATAAACTATCCCCAATTCGTTCTTTTAGCAAAATAATCATATCACTGTACTAAATTTATACAATATTATATATTTGTCACAAAAACGTCTTAATGTAGTACTAATTATTATTTTTGAATTTTCGTGGCCTACTGAGATACGTAACATACACAACTCATATTTAATAGGTTAGTTTTAACAAAAATACAATTACCTGTAAGTATCAGACATTGTATTGTAGTTCTAATTTAATATTATGATTTACAAAGGGGGGGGAGTGATCGTCGTCCGCCGATCCTCAATCTTATCACTGTTAGAGAGGACCATCCTTCTTGGAATTTTGTTTAATTTTCTTTGGTATTACTCAGTGGCGAAACTAGAGACTAAAGCGCCCACGAGTAAGACATTTTTTTGGCCCTATATTACATGTTAACGTGTATAGTAAATCGTACATAAACGACCTAAAATAGAATGCGCCTAGAGGCAGCTGTCACACTGTACGCACGGTAGTTACGCCACTGGTATTACAGCAATTTTTATATGAATTGTTATTCAGAACGAAACTAGCGATTTAAAATATCGTATACTTAATAAACCCATGTTTTCCTTGTCATATGATTAATTTCGTAGATGTTGGTTCAAATGGTCAATGTATAATAACATAATATAGAACTTTATGTACGTTGAACGTTGGGAGAACTTCCGCACATTTCGTATATCGAAAAGTGGCTACTCTGTTAAGGTTTGCACACTGGCAAAAGCTCAAAAGGGGCACATACCTATTCCTCTTTCTCTTGCACGCAAAATCAATATTTTTGTCAGTAATCAGCCTCTATTTATACCAAAGCTTTTTATGATAAGAGTTTTGTTTTTATAAAATCTTAAATAACAAAAATTGAATTTAAAATACATTTACATATTAGCTTTTAACAGTAATGTTTGTTTTTTTACGCGTGTAATGGTAAATTACACAATTAGCTTATTTAGCTTTAGCTAAAGATTGTTCCACCAACATATTTTATCTTTTCAGTAGTCGATTGTGAAGGATCGGGGGTTATTCGAAACATGACCGGGCGAAGGACTAAACTGCCGTGTCCCAAACCCGACACTGAAGGTTTGTCTTTATGGAATCTTTTGTGCAAAAACATTGGCAAAGACTTGTCTCAAGTGTCTATGCCAGTCGCCCTTAATGAACCTCTCAACATGTTACAAGTAAGTATTGATTGAGTATGCATTGAACGTTATTAAGGTCGCCGTGGTTAATTTTGTCTTATTCACTGGGTTTGTATGTAAACAGTATACACTAGACTTTTGTCTCTTGTTCGACTTCAATAAGGCGCGCATCCGAATATTATTGTTGTTATCGCTATCAAACACGTGCTATTTACGCAATATACAATATTACAATAATATTATTATTATTATGTAAATATGGGAACGTGTCTAGAAGTCGTCTCGCGCGGGTAGTTGGCTGGGTTCAAGCTGTGACGTTTTGAATTATCTACTTAAACACGTTAAAATTATTGGCGGAAATTTAAGGGGCTTGGGTTACTAAAAACTTGAAGTTATAATCTATTCAAAATAAATACACTTTTATATTTAATTTTTTTAGCGAGAGATTTGCTGATTATGTTTTATGGCTAATTTAAGCTTACATTATTTTGAATCGAAATTCTGGTCATTAGACTTTAAATACACGTGTAAGACATTTTTAATGGACCTAACAATGGAAGGGGGACAAGGGGGATTTCATATCACTCTGTTACAGAGACTCTGTACATTACGAACCATATTTACCATGTTTAAACCCTTTACATTAATAACGATATTTTATATATCTACTCTCGGTATCGTAAGAACACTTTTTCCTAATAATTGTGAGGCTATTTACGAGTTACGTACGAGGGTGCTATCTAGAATTAAAACTTCCTCATAAAACAATCGCACCTTATGACTTTAAACCCATTGTTAGAACTTAGAAGGTCAAATTTCATCCCCCTGTGCTCTGTGGGGCATATTAATGCATGATACACTGACGTGCTTAAACATATTGAATGAAATCGGATATTCCTATTCAGAGCTAAACGAGTCCGAAATGTAGACATTTACAGAACCTCTTACAAAGTCTTGCCGAATTTTTTTTTTCATTAATGGATAGAACTATTGAAGACGACTATACTCGTTGAGTTTTAATTTTTTTTTTATCATTGAAATCGAAGTCATTGCCGCTAGTCATTTCACTCCCCCCCCCCCCAGCCCGCATCGTTTATTAATTTTTTAATGTCACAATTATTTATTTGCAAAAAAACCGTTTCCCCTTCGCGGGGCGGGCTCACATAATGAAATTACAAGGTTACAATTTTAATTCTTTGGTTTTAACCCTAAATTCGAAGTATTTATGTAATTATTATTGTGTACACAAATGGTTATGCCGCGGTTAATAGACACGTTTGTCGTTTACTCATTATTATATTATCCAAAATTGTGGAAAACTTCGAGAAAAAAATATTTCATAAGTCAATATGCCTTTGGTATTTTCCAAAGTACCTAACAAAAAATTTGCATTAGATGATCGAACATTTTATTATTTTTCACGCTTGGTTTTTATAAACAAAAAATAATTGACTTCCATCGTTGGTCTTTTGCCTATATTCCTAATTTTTTTTTTATCATTTCTCAAAAATTGAATGTTACACACGCCCGCAGTTAGCATAACCGTTGCCAAAGCAATAATGCTAATAATAACTACAACTTATACAAAAATAGTCATTTAGTTAACAATTTACTTTTTATTAGCTTTGTAACCAGGTTTCCCCTTTAATTAAATCTATAAAAAAAAGTGTTTATTATTATTGACAATTAATATTATACCATTACAATACTAAAAATAATAATACTTTTTTTTTTTTTAAATAATGGGTTTTAATTGATAGTTAGCAAGATCATTGTTAAAATGGTTTTGTTTATAAAAAATATCATACATTAATATCTAATAGATCTAATGTGGTTGTAATAAAGTTTTGAACCTCATATTATGTATTTTGCGTTATTTGTTTTTCATGAATCACCTCCAAAATGGCTAAGCCCCTTAATAAAAAGGCGATTTTAGACCACGCGCAGACAAGGAGTTAAGTATAGGCAAATTAACATCTTTACAATCTTTGTACAATCTTTAATTTCTGTTGAAAATCGTTTAATTCTCAGATGCAGATTTATCCAAATTATTTCTAAGAAGATAGGAATTCAATATCAAATGCAATACAATATATTTTACTAGATTTTCTGTAAAAAAAATTATCGCTTTTCATATTATATTGCTTCTTTAGTTAACAGTTACAGTTGTATTTTATTTGTTCGAAAATAGATTCTTTAAAAAATCAATTAAAAAGTAATTATGGTATTTTTATCTTGTTACAAAAAAGATAATGGTGTTAATGAAATTTAAGACTTTCTTAACCTGTACTTTTCAGTCTAAAAGCTATCTGACTTTCTAATCGTCCTATTTTGTTTGTTATAATTCAATTTTCTGTCACATTGACTTCTGTTTACTTTAAATAATTTAAAATGGGCTAGATACATCGTATCTGGATTTACCAACTAATTACTAAATTAAATTAATGTTTTTTAGAGGATGTGTGAAGAATTGGAATACAGTGAGCTTTTGGACAAGGCCTCTGAACAATCTGATGTGTACGAGCGTATGGTTTATGTAGCTGCTTTTGCAGTGTCTAGCTATGGATCAAGTTACTATAGAGCTGGTTCAAAACCCTTCAATCCACTTTTAGGTGAAACATATGAATGCATACGGGACGATAAAGGTTTCAAATTTATTGCTGAACAAGTAAGAACTAAATAATGTTACGATAAACATCACACTAGAAAAAGTTTGGCTTAATGAAAAGTGAATTGGAAAATTTTACTGATTGTTATAAATTATCAAGTTTTTACAGTCTTGTAACTTTGAATTGGTGAATTTTTAGGTAAGTCACCATCCGCCTATTAGTGTTTGCCATGCCGAATCGAAGAACTTTATATTTTGGCAAGACGTTAGAATTAAAACTAAATTTTGGGGAAAATCAATGGAATTCCAACCAACAGGTAATGGTTTATAAATGTTGCAACTAAGTTAGTTGTATTTTGTTATTTCTGTAAATTAAAACAAATTAATATAGACTTAAGCACTTTTTTTTTATTCGCTTGAATGAATCTATTTATCAAATGTACTTAAAAAAACATCTCATATGTGTCTGGTAATATTACACTCAACTCTATGTAAAAACTTAAACTACAGAAACTAACTCCTGTCTTCGCCTCTTGTTCTCTCTTTATTGTGACTATAAAAAACATGTTCTTCATATGTTAAATGTCAATGATGGTAATAATGGTTTATCTTATGACTATTTTTCAGGGTATGTTAATGTACAGCTGATATGTAATGATAGTAAAGATCATTATAGATGGAATAAAGTGACGACTTGTGTACACAATTTGTTTGGCGGACAGAGATCCGTAGATCAATATGGTGAACTAAAAATTACCAATTTGGACAAAAATATAACATGCAAACTAACTTTTGTTAAAGTTTGTGTTTTATTAAGTTTTATTTAAGATTCAAAGAACTTATAATATTAAAATAGTTCTTTTTATAATTTTTTTTTAAAGGCAAGTTATTTCTCAGCAAAACGCCACGAAATACACGGAGTTGTAGTTGACGATAACGAAGGTAGAGTAGTACGAAAATTATTTGGTAAATGGAATGAAGCTTTATATTGCGGAGTTGCACCTTCCGCTAAATGTATATGGCGACCGGGTAAGCACACAATTTTTTAAAACTTAATATTTATATAATCACAGAGGCTTTTAAATTTTAAGATCCTAAAGTTCTAAACACAGCTATTAACTTCGATTTTCAGTTATGTAGAACGTAATATTATTTTCTAGACTTTAAGTTGGAAATACTTGCGTAGATATTTTGAAAATTTCACTGGTTCTACTAAATAGCTGATAGTAATTTTTTTTTAGTTAAAAGAAATATGTTTGCAGCCAAGTTTTTGTGATAATCATTATAAAAGTATTGCTATTCATTAGGTACGATGCCTGAAAACTATGAATTATATTATGGCTTTACGAGGTTTGCGATGGAGCTAAACGAACTCGATACAGACACAGCCAAATACCTTCCCAAAACTGACACCAGATTCCGTCCTGATCAGAGGTATTTATGATTTGCGTTATTGTATATCACTTTTGTAAATCAAAATGATTAAAATCATTTGAAGTAAGTACATTTTTTGCATCCTTTCAATTATTTATTTATTAAGATATAATTGAAATTTTAAAAAAATGTTCATTTCTTTAATCAATTATTTAGCTGGAGATTTTATCAATTAGCTTTAAACCGAAAAATATCCATATATTTTAAAAATTATTTTAAAAGAATTAAATTGTTAATATAAAGTTGGCATAATATCCGGTTTTTTAAAAAAAAATTTTTATGGTTTACTCAAATCTAATCAAACCCTAAAAATCCATTTTTTTAGGTAAGTACTAAACATTTTCTGGATTTAAATTTAAAAAAAAACTAGTGTTGAGAACAAGTTGAATGAATACATTTTTCCGATCAATAATACATAATTTTAAGATAAAATGATTTGAAATTTGATAAATAATAGATAATCTGTTTGTTTATAATTAATAAAAAAAAAAATTATTTTAGTACATTTCAAATTGATTACAAATATGTTTTCATAAAAAATAAATAACTTCTGTTTTTTGAAATAAAAAATGAACTTAAATTACTCTTTATCTTATGTAATTAAAAATTTGTTTTTATTATTTAGATACATATTAAAATAACTTCTTTTTTCAAACAAATAAGACGACAAACAAAGACGAGCTATCTAGATTTTGATCTTAACTCAGCTTTATATTTACACAAACTCTGCTAATATTTTGAACAACTGATAGCAATTTAAAAAAATTATAATTTAACATTCAAATAAATAAATAAAAAATGTATTTGTAAATAACTAATAAATGACTGTATTATCAAATATTTAATATTAAACAATGCCCAACTCTGCACTTACGATAAAGTATGGTAATTTAAGTAATAAAAACTAGTTTGCATTATATTTCTCCTATACAATATATGTAATAAATGTTTTTATGTGCACATAAATGTAGGATGTTAGAAGAAGGAGATTTAAATCGTGCTGAATCAATGAAACTCAATTTAGAGCAAATGCAACGTGAACGACGTAAACAAAAAGAAGAAACTGGAGAACAGCATGAACCAAAATGGTTTAGGAAAACAGTTAAAAACGGCATGGAGACGTGGGAATATAATCATCAGTATTGGGACTTGCGTAAGAATCCAGGATTCTCTAGTTATTCGGTGGAAAAACTTTGGTGAATGTTACCATTACTATAATTATCATTCAACTTGTTCATCGATAACTGGTTGATTTGATAACTAAAGGACAACATTTTGCTTATTTATCAGATGAACAAACAGTGAATCAAATGGTTTTGAAAATGAGACCAATTAGATAATCTAGTCAATATTCCGTACACATCAAACTGTACATTTTCATACATTATTTTATTAATTAATATTTCTTCCATTTAAAAATGTATCTTTTTATTCAATGTTTTTCGACATATTTTGTGTTCTACTCGATAATTTATTATATGAACAATTAATATCAGTTTTTATTAAATTAATTAGACAACAATTCTTAAACATTTTTTTAAATGTTATTATAATCAAACTACTCATAAATTATGACTTCATAGTAAAAATTTTGAACTTGCCTAAACAAATAATATGCGAGAGAAGTAAACAAAAATAAACAACAATTTTTTATTTGTAAACATTCAATATTTATTATTAAAGAACCTATTAAAAAAAAGAATAATAGATTACAAACACGGAAAAAAAATATTTATTAAAAATGTTATTAATTATTATTATTTTTTATTCATTCATTTGTTCTTAAAAAATCAAAATAGTTTTCAAGTAATTCTCAACTGCCAAAAATGTATGGAATATAATAAGAATACTTAAGAATGAAAAAAAAATATATATAACAATTAAATTAAATGTTTAAACAATTTAAACATTTTCCAGTATTTTTATTTCAATTGTTTGGTATTGACTCTATTAGTTTTTTGTTTTAATTTCATATTTCTAATTATTTTTTGTTAATAATAATATAAAACTTTTTTTTTTGGATGCCCTGTTAGGTATTTTTAAGTATCTCATTAATTATTGAATTAGGTTTATGGAATGGCATCTAACTTATGGTAATTGACATGTATTATAAGCAGGTAAGCTCAACAAAATCTATAGTAGGTGTAGCTATACAAAAATGTTACTTAACAACTAATATTGACTTCTTTTTTATCAGTAATCATACAAAATTTGGTTTAACAAAAATGTATTTTTAGAAAATATTTTTCAATGAAATATTGGTATTATTAATTAAATAATAACTTAAAAAAAATATATTTCATTTGTACTGTGATGAAAGAAGAAAATTGTTGTTTTAGTGTCTATACATTGTTGTTTTATTTATAGTTTACAAAAATTGTTTTGATAGTTGAAGTTTAATTTAATTTAAGTACAAGAAGTTAAGAATATTTTTTTAACTTCATTGTTTAACTAAAATATTTTTTTGTTCAACAATTTTCTCGCTAGTGGAAGTAATAAAAAAGAACAAAATAATTGTATTAATAACATATATGTTACTTATCCACATTGAAAAATATTAACGGCTTTATCACTTTACACACTATTATGTTGTGACTGTGATATCCACTAATAGTTATTTAAGTATTAATCATAAATTATTGAAGAGCAACATTCCCATTTATAGCAATTTATTATTCTTATTATTTATTTAAAGATCTTATTATTGTGTGACAGGTACTCCATTAGACATTATGTTATATATATATTTTTTTTTGATTAAAATATATTTTACTTAAGTTTAATATGACATTTTTACATTAGGTTGTGGTTTTTAATTATTATTTTTTTTTGCTGTTAAGACAACTGTGATTTATTAATTTATATAAATGTTTCTTTTAAAAGCTATTGTATTATTATTAATCAATATATAAGTTAAGTATTCCACTTAATCAAACACCAAACAATTGTATTCCACGATCTATTATTATATAGTAATGATCATCATTATTAATAGTTAAACAACTTTCTTGGATTATTTATATTTCATATTATATGACACTTAATTTATAAGTATACAATAATTAATGAGTAATCAGATCTTATCTGTGTTATGCATTGAATAATATTCAAATCATGTAAATTTTTGTTAAACAAAATTTATATTTTATGTTTTAAAAAATAACCATTTCACTATGATGTTATATTACTACTATTATGTTAATGGGCAATAAAAATCAATATTGAGAACTAGTTTTTTTAAAAGTTATTTGTTATGGCAGTTGGTTAATCTTGAAAGTTGAAACAAATTCAAGTATTTTTTTTTTTATATTATAAATAGGAATAAATTTTCTTCTTGCTATGGTGGTAAAAAAAAAAAATTCTTATTCTTTTGGTGTGACGTGTTTTTATGTTGTAAAATTAATGCGGTCAATAGGTTATGTTATCACTAATCTAAGCTTTAAAACCACATACTTATTTAGAGGAACAAATAATTGCTTAATATTGCAAATTCATAATCAAATTTCTGAGTGCAATTATCATAACCCTTGAACTACAACAATATTTCTAGATAAATAATACAAACAAATGGGAAGTGCTAAACACCCTTAGCACTGAAAATTTGTGCATAAGTTAGGTACAGTTGTAAACATTCATTTAAATTAGTAATTACTATAATATAGATAAACATTAGAACAAAAATACTATTCCTCAAAAAAATGAAATAAAATTTTTTTTCACCTTTTCTAGGTGAAGGGGCAAATTATATTTGATTATATATAATACTAACTAATAATACTATTATATAAATTATAGTTTTTGACTACGAATAATACCATAAACAAATGTGAAACTTTTTTTTTATTTTACACTTATTGGGAAAATGCATGAATGGTAAAGGAGAATATAGGACAATAATATTAAAATTATTTGTACTACTTATTCGAAAAACGCAATTATAAGTTAATTAAAACGTTTGTTAATTAACATTGATGTATTTTTAAAATTTTAATAATATACATATATAATACATATATATATATATATTATAGTATAGTATAATAATATTATAGTGACTAATATATTTTTATATCAATTATTACGTTATTCAATTTGTTTTAATTTTGAATTCATTATTTTATTAGTTCGATTAACTCTTGTAATAGGTATAGGCCGTATGTAGGCTGGTTATCCATATAAAATTTTAAATAGTACGCCATAAATATAATCAAACAATTTTTTCCAATGGTTTTAAAGAGCTTTTGCCGCTTATAACGTCTTTGAATCTGTTTAACGGATTCAAAAAGCCAATTATAATATTATACAAATCATTATGTTTATGATATTTACAATTTTTGTATTACTTGAAAAAGTCACTGATTTATTGGTAAATAGACAAAATATTACTACGGCTGGTATAATAGGGAATCTAACGGGAGTTATTTATCTGCCGTATATGGTCACATTGCGCTACCCGGACAATTTTTTTAACCAGCGTCTTTGGAGCCCGTTTATTACGTGTGTTCAGTGTTGTGTTTTTCTTTTTCGTTCGTGTTCTATTTACATTATTATTTTTACAAATAAAATTTTGTGTTTATTACATTTTATATATTTTTGAAATATAAAATATTATACTAAATTATTTCGGTGTTGTGTTATGTGACAACGGAGTCATGTAGTTTGATCGTTCAGTGTATTGTGTGTTAGTTTCTACAATGATTTCACTATTCGCTTGAAAAAGTCGAAACCAGTCTCCGGTGTTTATATGTAGGTAAGCGTATATGTGTAGCTTCATTACTGTAAACACGACACCGACCCTGTTTTAAACTGCGAATGATTTGAACACTGTAAACATGTATAAACTGCCGAATTGTTTACTTTTGGGTTTTGTAATTTTATCATTTTACTTCGGTTAACAACACAAAATATCGTGTGTTGCCAATTTATTTGTTTTTTTTTTTTTTTGTAATTGTTTAGTTTAAAATACGCGGTTTCAATGTAGTGCTAAAATCAGTTTAATTCTAAGATCCTAATAAAATATTTTCATATTTCCAATCTTATACAGATATTGTAATAATCTGTAATTTTATAATTGTAGGTATCGTAATGGTTATATTTGTTTTTATAATAGCCATAGCTTAGTAATTCTGTTTAAATAATTTGTCATAATATTACAGAACATGTACTTAACTGCTATAAAAAGTACATCAAATACTAGAGGTTATATTTCGATATATAATGTTCTGGCAAAATATGATAAATTGAATAACATGTGCAGTTAATTTTAAACTAACTAAAAGTGTGCAACAGACCAGAGGTAAATTAAATTTAAGGTTATATAATATTTAATATTTTCGTTACTGAAGGTTTATTTATTATGATACTATGTCTAAAAATGACATTTTGTTGACTTTGTTGTCCACTTCCAGCTTTAATTACAAATTACATATGACTAATTATATTATAATTATTAATCATACCATTTTGCTTATATGTAGTGTACTCGTGACTAAAAGTAACATTGAAAATGCAAGAAGATATGATTTATCCTGCTGGCTGCCGTCCCGTGACAGATGATCTTGGTCCAGACGAACTTATTCGGCGACTAAAAGTATGACATTATAATTCTTGATTTAGTCCAAAATTATTTAATTACTATGAATATTTATAGACATTAGCCCATACTCTTCAAGCCATGGGCCAGGACGAAGGCATGTATCAACAGTACATACCGTTAACGTTACATTTGGCAGAAGACTATTTTCTCAAACATGCCAGCAAAGACGTTCAGCTTTTAATTGCTTGTTGTATTGCTGATGTTCTTAGAGTTTATGCCCCTGAAGCTCCTTACAAAGATCCAGAACAAGTGAAGGTGTGGCTCACAAGAGTCATTATTTTTTTTGTATTCCAATAACGCTTTTTTTTGTTTATAACTCAAGTTCTATGTATTTTACACAGGGTATATTTATGTTCCTAATCAAACAACTTGGTGGTTTAAAAGATCCTAAAGATCCGGCCTTCAAACGCTATTTTTATCTTTTGGAAAATTTAGCCTATGTAAAATCTTTTAACATGTGCTTTGAACTTGAGGATTGTCAAGAAATATTTTGCAAACTATTCTCACTCATGTTTAAAATTGTCAAGTGAGATAAAATGATATCTTTTATATTTATAACAGTTATTATTGTTTGGGCATTGTAAAAGTTATTATTCTTTAAACTATGTTTCAGTGATGAACACTCTACCAAAGTAAAATCATTCATGTTAGATATATTATGTCCTCTTATTTGTGAATCTGATATGGTCTCTAGTGAACTTCTCGATATAATTTTAATCAATATTGTGGAGCCTAATAAATCTCAACGGAAAAACGCTTATTCATTGGCTAAAGACCTTATTCTTAAATGCTCGGACACCTTAGAACCTTATATTCAATCGGTTAGTTTAGTAGCACTCTCATTTGTTTATTTAACTTAAAATACTAATTGCCTTTTTTTCATTGCAGTTCTTTAATCATGTTCTGATACTTGGCAAAAATGAAAAAAATCTTGCTATAAGTACTAAAACTTATGATCTCATATATGAATTGAATAGGATTAGTCCGTCTGTATTGTTAGCAGTTTTACCGCAACTTGAATGCAAGCTTAAGTCCACAGTAGAACAAGAACGACACGGTACAGTCTCACTTTTAGCAAGGATGTTTTCTGAAAAAGATTCAAATCTCGCTCGCCATCACAACGTTTTGTGGCAAGCGTTTCTTAGTAGATTTAATGATATTTCCGTAAGCATTAGAATCAAGTGCGTTCAATATGCTATGCATTTGCTGTTAAACCAACCAGAACTTCGCCAAGACCTAACAGAAGCATTACGTTTAAGAAGTTCAGATAGCGACATGAACGTAAGGCATGAAACCGTATTGGCTATTGTGTCAACAGCTAAACATGACTTTGAACCTATTGCCGATAACGAAGAACTACTTTCAGTTGTTAAACAACGAATGTGTGATAAAAAGGTAAAATATTAAATGATCCTAAAGTCAGTGTTTAGAGCATTCACTCAAAAAATGAACTCTTTTACAGAGCCGCTCACAGAAATAGACAGTGATCTTTCTAAACACAGACTATAGTCTTTATTATTAAAAATTAGCTTAAAACTGTTATTTTGTGACCATTTTTCCACTTTGTTTTGTTTTTAGTATAAAATTAGAAAAGAAGCTACTTCGGGTCTTGCGTTTATTTATAAAACATATTTGAACGATCCAGATATTCCACAAGCCACTAAAAAAGCTTTTACTTGGATCAAGGATAAAATATTACATGGTTATTACAGAACTTGTGTAGACGATAAGTCGTTAGTAGAACGACTTGTCAATACATCTTTAGTACCATATCAACTTCCACCCGAAGAAAGAATGAAAAGGCTCTATCATTTGTATGGAACTATCGACGATTACGCCAAAAAAGCATTTATGGAAATCCAAAAAACTCAACTCCTGTAAAAAACCTATTCAATGTTTTAGTAATGATAAGTAAATTACAATATTTTTTAATTTTTTATTGCAGAATTCGTTCTCATTTAAAAGATTTTCTGGACTTACACAAGAAAGAAGATAGTCCTCAAAAAGAAAAAGAAATTCAAGCGAGTATCAAGTTATTAACTCGCTATTTACCCGAATCAGTGAAAGCAGCAGAATTCATTAGCAAATTTTCACTACATTTAATGAAAGACGCTAAACTGCTTAGTTGTAAGTCGAGTTTTTGTTTTTAATTGATTTCCTTACATGTAATTTTGAATTTTTATTTTAAGCTTTGGATGTAATTGCCAAACAAAATTCAAGTACTACTGAAATATCAGAAGCTACTAATTCAGTGTTGAGGAAACTCGGTCAACCCGTTATGACAAATCTTTACTACAATACAGTGAAAGGCCTGTTAGAACGAGCATCGTCTGTCATGATAGATTCTCAGGCTTTGAAGGTTTGTTCAGTACTTGTTAAGTCAAAATAGCAAAATTACTAAATTAAAGTATGGTTATATAGATATATATATATATTTTTAGGCTTTATTTAACCATGTGGAAAATTGCTTGAGTGGCGGAAACATGATAGAAGAATTGGGTCTGCATCCTGGAACTGCTGGATATAAAGGACTGGAACTTCTGAATGTACTATTGTAAAATATATAAAAATATGATACATACATACATGTAGATGTATACATTTTATATATACTGAATTCTAACATTGCATACTGTTTATAGACTATATCACGTTTTTAATTTTCTGTAAAAAATTGAAATTAATTTATTAAAATAAATCATTATGTAGGGTAAAATTGTAAAAACAGTTAAATTAACTAGTAATGTATTGAAAATCATTACCTATTTCCACACACCAAATCTAGTATATATAAATATACGTGAACACATATGTATGTATAAATGTAAAAACATACAGTTGCATTAACATTTTTTTTAAATTTCTTTTTTCAGGTTTTGTCAAATACGTTTGCCTGCCATTTTTATCATCCTGATATTTTAGACAAGTTATTGGATCTATTACATCACGAAGATGACTATATCGCTCCTCAAGTTCTTACCATGCTTACTACAATTGGAAAATATAGTGCATTAGGTAGTAAACAAATAAAATTAAAAACAAATTTATATAAAAATAAGTGTTTAATTTTATTTAACAGGCGATTCTTATCCTGAATTTACCGAAAAACTTGTACCAATATGTAAGAAATTGGCAACTACCGGGACGTCTAAGCAAGCTAAAGGCGCTATTCGATGTTTGTTTGTCAATGTCTACAAATCGAATAAAGACGTATTTGATGATATAATTGAGGTAAGGTTAAACATGTTTCCGCTATCATTATAGTATATAAGATATAATAGGCTATCCTTGGAGGTAGTCAATACTTTAAATAGATGGTTGTTATGCAGTTTAGTTTATACTAAGACTAGTTATAGCTCTTACAGAGTACAAACTAGTAATTCTTATAAATCGACAAATGCTCTTTAAAAAAAAAATTACCTTTCATGTAAAACAAAATGTTTTTTTTTTTGTCAACTATTCTACAAAGTATCATATTATGTGTTAATAGATGTTTATATTTTTCTTTAGAAAACTAAATTAAATTTAGAACCTGATTCTGAATATTACGAAACTGCCATAGTTGCGCTTGGGCATCTTGCAATAAATTTGGCAGAAAAATATAGTGTTCAATTCAAAAATTTAATATCTCGAAAGGTATTATGATAACTAACTAAATTTGTTTCTACTTTATATTTACTAATGTGCACTTTTTGTTTGAAACATTTAGATTGTTAAAGAATTATTAGTCAAAGTTTCAACCAAAAGCGATATCTATAATGCAGACGCCGATTGGTGTTCTGAAGAAATGCTGCCAAAAGGGACTAAATGTAGAGTAAGTTTTCGTTGGTTAGAAATCGTCATAACTATACTTGTTACAATTAATGTTCTTTTTTTCAGGCTGAGGGTATGAAAGCTATGGCTAGATGGCTGATAGGTTTAAAAAACGACAAAGTGTCTGCTCAAAAGACTTTTAGAATGTTCAATGCTTTTCTCTCTCAAAAGGGAGATCTTACACAATCAGGAATTTTAACCAAATCTGAATTAGCTTGGTTACGATTACAAGCTGGATGTTCGATGTTGAAAATTTGTGAACAAAAAGGTGTGGGTGATCAATATACTGCTGAACAGTTCTTTTTACTCTCGAGGCTTATGATGGTAATATATAACTTTTATTTTATTATATAATAAAATAATTTTAAGGGAGTGGTTAAGGATTTTTTTTTAAATGTTCAGGACGAAGTTATACAAGTTAGAGAAATTTTCGCTGCTAAACTTCACAAAGGTTTAGGTCGTGGTTTACCTTTCAAATGTCTCCCCTTAGATTTTATGGGAATGTATGCTCTTGCTGGTTTAGAGACCGATGAACGTTTAAGAAGTAAGATTTATGATTACGTTTTAAAAGATATAAACAGAAGACGAGAGTATGCTCGGAATTTGACCCAAGGATCAACTACATGTAAGTAAATTTATTTGTTATAACTGCAATACTGCGTAACAAGACAAGAATATTACTTAAGAGCTATTAAACTAATATTACTGTATGACGTAACATTTGTTTAAGTTTTGACATACGTTTGTGTGTTTAAGTAATACATACATTATTGCAGAATTATTTATTTAAAAATATATTTTACTTTTGTTTTTAGGTTCTATTGATAAAGCCGTAGCACAATTGCCTCATATATTACCCGATTACATGTTGTTGTTTGCTATATCCATTTTAACTCATTCGCCGGTGTACAAAGATAATAAAGACGAAGAGAGTTTGACATTAATGCAACAGTGTCTGTGGTTCATACTAGAACCGTTAATTACGAAAAACGACTCTTATAATTTTGGGTTTTACAAAGAGATGTTGGAGAGGGTCAAAAATTATGTAGATGCTGTAGAACCAACTAATGAGACTGTCAATGCGGTAATTTATTCAAAATTATTTTTTATAACATTTAGTGAACGTATGTTGAAAAAAAAAGTTCATAATTGAAGCGTTCTGTGACAAAGCGATTTAAATGTGGAAAAACAAATTTGCGGGATAATTAAAAAACTGTTTAGTTTGGCTATGGTGTTATCAGCGTGATCTACTAGGATGCTTTTGAACTATAAATAGAAATCTGACAACCTCCGATGATAACCGGTATGTTGCACTAGCTGTTTCTAGATCAATGCATGAAGGAAAACAAATTTCAAATGTTTGGCACTTGGATCACTTTGTTGCAAAACGCTTCAACCTGTCACAGTGCTAAGTGAAAAACTTTTAATTAACCCAAGTACTGTAAACATGATGATAACCGCAATATACCCGTGATGATGGTTTGTTATTGTTTAAAATAAGTAGTACTTTTTTGAGATATGGTAGGTAGGCTTGGAAGAAATGCCCGTATGTTATTGATAAGTGTGAAGTAAGAAGTTTGTAACGAAAAAACCTTGAGTTAATTATAAATAATTGTATTAACTAATTAGTTATTATTATTATGAACAATATTATTCTTTACAACTAATAATAAATTAAAAAGAAATTTATTTATTTTGTTGGTTTTTTTTTAGAAAATGTGGGCTCTTTGCGATTTAGCGATGAGTGTGTTAGTTGTACACACGAGTACATTTGAAACTGCCCCGTTCTCAGAAATTAGAATATCGGCAATGTTTTTCAAACGCCACGAAGACCCAATGTTTGTGAACGTCAAAGTTTATCTACCTGAAAAGTTCCAAATAAAAGTAAGTACCTATTGCTTATTTTATGAAGAAAATAACCAGCAAAATATTTGAACCTATGTCACAGTTTAATAACATCATTCATCTGATCAATATTAACAGTGTATTACAATTTAACCATAACTTAGTATAACATTTTAAATACAATTTTTCTTAAAAAAAAAAAAAAATTCTTATATTATTTAATTGTTTTAGACTGGAAATAAACTAAGCTAACAATGAATTATAATTGATTTAAAAATAGTATTATTGTTTATATTTTTCTCTTAACTAATTATTTTTAACCAATTTTTACATGATTAGCAAGTAAATAATAATGGTAAGAAAACCGGACTATCGGCAGCATTGAGGACTACAAAGACACGAGCTCAAAAGCATACTATTCAAACTAACCGGGCTAACGATACCAAAGTGGTTAGTATTTTTTATTTTTAGTATGTGCTATAATTTACTATTTTCATGTTGTTTTAATTATATTATCCTGACTTGTTAACATTTGATTTAATACTTTTTTTATAATATGTGTAGCTATTAAATATTATTATTATTAATCACTATTATGTATCATTATGATATCTAGAAGGTGCTGTGATCTTTCTTTACATTTAAGTTATTTTTTCACAACAATTATAAATAAGTTTTTTTGTGGTATTAATTATTGTTTGGTTTAATTTTAACATGGAAATTGGACTAATGATGACATAACCATCCTTGCGAGATTATCCTTTCTAAATGATGGGAAATGACTTAAATCTAGGGACCTCTTAATTAGTCTGTGTGACCTTAAGAGGTCTGAAGTCTGATTTCCTGTAAATTAAAAACAAATAGTAAATTTTACAAATTACTATAAACTAATAAGCAATTAGTTTTATAAGCATTGGAAATATTTGTAATATTAATGAGCTTATTATAACGTGTAACATCTTTTTTTCTTTGTTTTTTAGCATAGTGACGTAACCATGTTAGACATGTCAGAAGATGTAAGTATTAAATAGTTAACTGTATAGATAATTGTTTTAATCAAATAATTCCTTTTTTTTTGTGTTCAGAGAGAAGATGAGGAAGACAATGTTATAGAACCAAAGCGCAGACGAACTACACGTAACAATAATTTTGGATGAACGTTCATGGTGTGGTGACTCATTATTATTATTTTTTTTTTTGTAAGTATGAATTCAGTACTTTTTAAAATATTTTATATTTTATGTTTGGAGGTTTTTATTTTAACTTAAGTAGTACACAGTACACTACTTAAACAATTAAAACTAGTACGTATCAACATATCTACATATTTCAACATTTCTAAAAGAATACCGATTAATTTGTATCGAAAGCCGGTCCCACACGACTCGCGTATTTGGCAAATAATGATTAATTGTTTTACTTTAATCGATATTTAATCGCAAAGTATGACAATTATTTTTACTCAGCATTTCCCGATGGTTGTTGGTGAATGTGACACGTGTCAAAGGGATAACGAATGTTCTTATTAACTATTGTCGATATTCTCATACGACTCCGAGTTCATCGTCTACGATCGTTTATATTCGCCACACAAAAGACGATAATTATGCGAGCATCGGCAATGACAATGATAGTCAAGTACACGAGTCGTGTGTGACCGGCTTATGATGATGAAAACTATAACGTTTGACACTTAGTTATGAAAAGTAATACGTTTGACTCCACATGGATTGGCAAAATGACACTTGGTAGTTTTTATCATTGCAATATTTTTTTTTAATATCTATTTATTTTATTTGGTCCTGTTTTATAATCTGGAAATTAGACTAATGATGACATAACCATCCTTGCGAGATTATCCTTTCTAAATGAAAGGAAATGACTTGACTCTAGGGGCCTCTTAGTTTGTCTGTGACATTAAGAGGTCTGAAGTCTAATTTCCTGTAAGTTATGAATAAATATTTTCTTGAATTTAAAACGAGAAAAATTCTAGATACATTAACATATATAAATTCTAACTTGAAAGCTTGTCCACACATCAATGAACTTAATAGTTGTATTTGTGTTTGTTGTCTGAAACTAATTATAACAGTTTCTAAAATTCCAATCTGTTTTTATTATCAGTTAGTATGGAGAGAAACTGTTGAACTCACAATTATTAATCAATGTAAATAATTGTTTAATCTGTTATATCTTGTTATATCTGTTTGAAATGTTTTAATGTAGGTATTTATGTACCTAGGTAATGTTGTTATTTACATATGTATTTTATGTGTAGGAGAAGATGAAAAAATATATATATTCAAAATCATCAGCGCAAACGAACAACGCTACAATTATTTTGGATAACTTTAGTACCTTAAATACAGACCTGTAATTTAAATTGTTTTATAGTAATACCTGTTAATATTTATTTATTTTGTTAATATTTGTATTTTATTTTTTTAATTTATAACTCAGTATCACCTCTTTAGTGTATAAGTATTTAATTTTAAGTGACATTTCGATATTAGCCTTATATTCAACATAATATTTTATGAATTTTACATATTATATTTTTCTTCATATCAATGGTGTCCATACTTTGTTATTTAATTTTAATTTTGACCTACCATTATCATCGTATTAGGCATTTTTTTTATAAAAATATCATCGTACAGACCAATTCTTCAATATTCAAGCGAGTTAGTTAACGTTCTAAAAAAACAATCTTTTCATTTCGTACTTTGTATTGGTACAGGATGATGAGAGTATCCTAATCTCCTTAAAAAAAACGAATAAAAATATGTATCATATCTGTTAAATCAATTTCAAAAAAATTATACGTTCAATCGAAGATTTTTAAATCACTACTATCATTAGCCTTAATCTTGTAGATTGACATTTAATGTTGGTCACTATCTTGAAAATTCAATTCATTTTTGAAAAGTAATTTTGTACATACAAATTGGTTTTACTTTAAACATTTGCTATGGTGTAGTTAATAATTGTAAACTTTTAGTTACAAGTTATAACTTTCAAATACTAGTGTTGATTTTCATTATTTTGACATAATTATCTGAATAAAAAAAAAAGTTGGAAACGTCTTTATATTTCATCCTCCTAAGTTCCCAAGTTTCATCTTAATAACACTAGTAATCTAAATTTTCGATCGTAGTCCTTTCAATTGTATCTTTTTTTTACTTTCTTAAATAGTATTGTATGTTGTCCTTGAAATAACATAAAATACAGATTTATCATTTCTACGTTTTGATTAAGCGACTGATTTGTTAATGAATAATAAATAGTAAAAAAATATGGTCAATTATATAAATTTATTGTTGGAAAATATCAACATTGACAGTTTATTTAATAATAATGAAATATGTATATCCGTTTAATTAAAAATAGTTTATGAAAAAATAACAATGTAATAGATTTTAATAAATTAAATAGATTGGATAAACATAAGTTAATTGGATATTATAATATAAAAACATAAAATATAAAAATATCAACAGTGTAAAGAAAAATATTTTTTATTTTTTTTGCAAATCAATTAAAAATGGACTATCTAATACTCCGTCACCTGCATGAACTCCTCCTTCATTACATGATGTTAACTTTGTACGCATCATATGACCGACTTGTTCGTTAAGTAAAATTGTATCGCCATCACTAAAATATATAATTGGATAGTCAAATTTTACTGGCAAACATTATAACAACAAATTGTATTATATTTTTATTAGCTTACCAAAGAATAGTTCCAAAAATGCCTAATTCAGAAATGACGTCATTCAAAGTAGAATTTTTCGTGAAATCCTGTTCTGGTCTTATTAGATAATTTTGCTGAACTGGCGGACAAATTTTCTCCATCAATATCCATGCTGATCGTTCTTTAGAATTTATACAGCTCATGAGTTTCTATGAAACAAAAACCACAGTTACAATTTTCAAATACAAGTATAGTTTAATTTTTTTAACGAGCAATAGTAAAACACCATATAAAATCTTACCTGTCTAATAGCTTCACCATAAAAATTATTGCCACCTCCTTCTCGCTGAGGTTTCAATACATAACATTCAGGATTGTCTAAGGCCAATTTAACAGCTTTGTCACCGCTTTCGTCCTAAAAATTCATGTATAATCTACAGATATTGGTTTGATAAGAACAAAAATTGTAATAATTGTGAAGTACTTCAAATAAACCTGGGCTTGTTTTACAGACCTAGCAGTTAGTAAATTGCTATTCATTTTAAATAACGATTTTAAAATAATAAATTATTTTGAACACAATTTCTTCAGTGTATAAAATAATTTTTTATTCAAAATAAATTTCTTATTACTGTTCAAAATAATATAAACCCTCTACCCAAAAAATGACAAATTTATATGTCTGAGCCTCGATTGGATAAATTACATGAAAAAGCATTTTTTTATTAAAATACATTTTTATTAGACTGTTTCAAATAGTTATGTTAAATAAAAAATTGTATTCATTATTTTAACTTTTATTTACATAAAATATAAAAGTTATTGAAATAATGCCCAGGTTTGACTTTGTATGGAGACAGAAAGGGAAAGGGACTTCTTGTCCCCAGAATCTAAATCTCAGGAGCGGCCAAAACATCAATCAGGGTAGGAAACATATTTTAGCAAAAAAATTATACTATTGGCTTAAGGGTACTTTATTTTATTTTTTTGGTTGAGTTTCATTCCTTAAGTATGTAAAGCAAAAAGTAGGCAACATTTCAAAACAAGTGTTTTTTCTCAAAAATAAACAAAACTAATAATGGCCAATTTTTAAGATAGGAGAACGTATCTGATCTGATCAACATGTTCAGAATTTAGAATAACTCAATATTTGATTTTTGTGACAAGTGGTCCCTTTTTCCTTTTCGCCTCGCACATAAAGGGTGATCCATCTGAAGCCACTCATTTCTCGGAAAATAAGAATATTTTGAAAATTTTACTTTATTTTTCGATTCTTATTTTTACCTTCATACGTAAAATAAATATTGACTTCGTTTTTTTGAAATGGGAACATATGTCTTTAGTTCCATAAATATGTGTAGACAAAAAATTAAAAAATTGTTAGGATTTGAATAATTTGATATTTGATAATATTCGTTCGGTTTTTTTACAACAGTAGCACTTTTATTTGCCATTAAATAATAATGGTAATCCCCATCGATAATATTGTCGCCGTTCCTGTGTTTGAAAAGGTAGACAAGGTCGGCTTGTCCATCATTATCTCAAAAAATTTCATTGTGTCTGGTTATTGGTGTTGTTGCCTATCGGACAATGCCAACATAAATATGAACTTCTGGAAGCTACTGGAAATTAGAAAACCAAAGACATATGATAATAATATGAGAAAACGCAAATCTTTGTGAAGGCATACCAAACGAACAGATTGATGAAAACTAAAACTTTAAACCTTAACATTTTTTTTAAATGTGTTGTCTACATATTGATAAAATTAAAAACAGATATTCCTATTTAAAAAAACGAGATCCATATTTGGTTTAAGTGTAAGAGATGAAGGTAAAAATATTCAACGTTTTGAAAAATATAGTAAATTATATACCTAAAAGTATGAGAAATTTTTTTTTCTTCTAAATCATCATATTTTCCGAGTAAATGAGTCTTACACCAGATGGATCACCCTGTACAAAATGTCTGACTAAGAAAACCATGTTTATAATAATATATACATATAGGTAAAATGTTTGGTATTGACTGAACAATTGTTAATTTCCTTACCAAATCAAGAGAATATAAACCCGTAAAAACTTCTCGAACATCAGCAACTTTTGCGGGATCTTTAATAAAACGTTCCAGCATGCCTGGAATCGCTAATGACTGCTGTACCTTAATTATATAAACACAATTTTTTTAAATTAATTAATTATTAATCGTGAAACCTGGACCTTAACAGCACAAGATAAGAAAAAAATCGAAGCAATGGAAATGTGGACCTGGAGAAGATTACTTCGTATTAGTTGGACTGAAAGGAAGAGCAACAAAGAAATTCTCCAAATAGTAGAGGAGAAGAGAGTTTTGCTATCTATCATTAGATCAAGAAGCGGAAAGCTTATAGGACACATTAACACTTAATGAGACATAACCCCTTCATAACCAACATAATGGAAGGAAGAATCAAGGGACGCAAAGGAAGAGGAAGACAGAGGAAGACATTCATAGGAGAGATGATTGGAATAGCTGGATGCAACGGGTATTCTCATATGAAGACTCTAGCATTTAAGAGAGAAGAGTGGAAGTCTATTTTTTCACCTTTAGAAAAGAAGAAGAACCTAGAGTTATAAATTATAAAGGTGACATCTAATAGAATTCTATACAGTTTATAAAATTATTTACACTTACAATTATTCTTAAAATTAAATTAACTAAATTGACTTGATTACATTTATGAAAAAAAATAAGAGTGACAATAAACTGTTAGTTTATAAAATACTTCCAAGTGTAACTCAGTTACTCTTACAGCGAATAATTTATAAAATCTGTATACTGTGTATAATAAGGTGATTATTTTTACTTTATACTGTATTACTTGCAAAAAGGTCCAATTTAGTAAAACAAATATTTGAGATTTTTATTTTGAATGTTTCTTAGAATACCTATTTTTCTCATTATACCTATTTATTAACATTTCAAATAAATTTTCTTGCGAAAATGCTTAAAGATGTGATAATTTATTTGGTATAATTTTACTGTACATAGAGATATGGAACACAAGCCTTTTAACTTACCACCAAAAAAAATGAACATAAACATAACAAAATTAATTTTTAACTTTTTAAAAATGTTTGAAGGTATGAAAATTAAGTTTTCTATCATAATTTTTAAATTAGGCACTACATTATAACATTTTTTTTTTAGATAGAAGAGTTAAATTTTTACAAAGTTTTTAAATTAATTTTAAGTTAAGTAAAAGAAGAGTTTTTTAAAAACATCAAAAATAAGTGAATCAATTGAATCAAGATATAAGTTTATAGAAAAAAGAAGGAAAATCGTTTGGGATCATACATGCCAAACTTCTTGCTCAAAGAAAAGGATTAAAATTAAAAAAGATTTCCTTTTAGTTGGTTTGCAACCTATATGCTGTAGAGCACAACATACATTTTTTTTTCTCAAAAAATGATCCCTTGGTATTTATATGTATCATAATTATTTAATGGTTTTATTAAAAAAATAGTTTAATACTTTTTTGGTTCCCGCCAAATGGTATTGAATATTGGGACATTTTATCGCTGTAGAACGTTCAATTAACAATCGCGCTGACCACTCGGCATCGCTGTGATAATGGTCTGGTGAGTAACCAGCTCTATAATACACAACAGCTACTTTTTTTGATTGACTGAAACAATAAAGTCAAATAGTATACTTTATTATTAACAAATAAAACATCTTGTTGTAAAAAAATGTTGATTACACTATGAGATCTTTGGATTCTGTAAGTTTTGCTTCATTCGATATCTGTGTTAGTGTTTTTCGAATAACACGCAATTCAGGTTTTTGACGAGTTAATTCAAACTCGTGAAAACGTTGATCGCATATGTTTATTGATTTGTCTTCGATGATCACTAATACAACCGAACTGGAACAATTAATATACTGCATGATATTATTGTAACCGCAGTAAAAAACATTATAAACACAATACTTTGAATTTTACATCAGCTGTTTTAAAATAGTTAAATCACAAATACATACAATCAAACGAGTTACTAATAATAATTTCAATGTATAAAAGTTAAAACATACTCTTCATCGTTGAATAGTTCCCACGCTTTGATGATTGCTGAACACAGGCCTTGTACAGCTTTATTTTCAGGTAACTATAAAACATTGTCCATTTTTTATTAATTATGTTCATTAAAATAATAATATTAAATAAACAATAAAAAAAAGGATTTATAATGAGCTAAGATAACATTTATTTTAGAACTCATCAATAAAATAAAAATTTCAAAAGTTATTAATAAGAATTAGAGTAATAAATGGAGAACAAGAACCTAACCGGAATCAGAAGTCCAGAATTATCTATACTATAGATAAATATTATTATTTGGCGTTCCATGATCTCAAAAAGTTTAAGAAACACTGATCTATAGAACATCCTCAAATTTTCCATTATCCTATTGTGATTTAGTTTAGCTTTATAATTCTGTATTAATAGGTTCATTTTTTTTTAAATAAATAAACTTGAATCAATAGCTACAATTTTTTCTTAAAGACACAAGCGATATTTTTATTTTTTGATACTTTGTACATCAAGAACCAGATAACTAATTCACTATTTGGTACTTGAAAATTCTATATTAAAATTGACAAATCTATACAATTAGCTAGGAACAATTTAAAAAAAATAGACACATTGCATAGCCCTGGGCGAAGCCAGGTGGTAACGCAACTAATTTAACATAAAATGATTGACTCTAAATTTTTTAGTCCAAAAATTTTCCCTTAAAATTAAAAAATTAAAAAGTTACAGTCTACTTAAAGCCTAACGGCTAAAATTTATAAAACATGGAACATGCTTTAGCCTGCTGGCTCCTGAATAGTGATTATTTCTGATTTATAATCTCCTTGCGATTTATGACGATAGTATAGTCTTAATTATTTTATGTTCTGGCCAAAACGTTTGCATGACGATGACGACTTGTTATTATTTCGATGGCATCTTATATGTTATACATTGTAAATGAGCGCCACATCAGAGTTGTAATGGGGACCGCTACGCAGCATAATGAGTAGAGGTGCTGAGGCAAGAGGCACAGGGACCGACCACATCAAAATGATCCGATGCATTCAAATCTATCTTAACAGAAGTAGGGCCGTGGCCACGCTGTCATTATTAAAGGAGTGGACGCGGCCATGCTGCCCAATGATATTCCAACCATGATAGCTAGGCAAAACGCAGAGCTGAGAATGAGCGAGAGCATGGCCAAGGACAAGATAAGGCCGATATTCAAGAAAGGAAAGAGGGACCAAGCCGTGGCCCATTGGGTGTGAGAGATAAACTATTTTGTGTCATTTTTGAGCTGGGAGGCCAATGCTAAAGCATGTTCCATGCTAACAATTTAAGGTAGGGGGGGTTTAATGTGCCTCACTTATATTATCGATAATGAGTACTTACCAATTTAAATGTATCCAATAAATCCAATTGTTGTAAAACAAATCTGAAAAAATCAATATTTGAGCGTTACAATATTATATTTTTGTTAGTTTTAAAACTATACAAAATTTGAAAATTTTAAGGTTTTAATTTTTAAACTAATCATTTTATTATATGCCTTTTTTTAACAGTTGTATTATATATTAGCTTCGATGCGGAGCTGAGAAGGTATAGCACTTGCAATGTGGTTTTTTTTTTGTGTGTACCCACGATATTTATTAAACCCCTGAAATGATTTCTTTGTGTAGCAACCCTATAAATCAGAAATCATACCTGAAAGATACTTTATTGGACCAAAAATTTAAAAAGTTTATCCTTTCCCTTTCAAAATCGAGAAAAACACCAATGAAATGTACTCATTTTTTTACTTAAAATTACGGCGCTTCATAACTTTTTTAAAAATAGTAAGAGTTCATTTCAAATTTGTATGAAATATTCTTGAAACATAGTACTACTTATTTTTACAAAAGAATATCATAAGCCCTTTACCCTAGAAGGGATTTAATTTTTTTCTTTCTTTCACTTTTTCAAGCAGTTTTAGGGATTTAGATCTGAAAATTTTACCAAAGGTAGATCTGGAACTGTAATATATAAAATTTTCTCAAAAAATTGTAGTCAAACTTTTTTTTATATTTATTGTTATTTACGATATATGGATAACTATGGCAATTTATTTTAATAGACAGACGATCAATACTATAATCGTATCCATTCCAACACTAAAAGTTAATTTTTAAGCTCATAATTGTCATACTATACAATACCTTTATGGATATTTGTATGTTTATCTGTGTACACTGGACATCCTTTACTTACTCAACACTATTACTTTCTTACTGTGCTTGGTTTGAACACAGTACTGGTTTGACCAACCTACTATCCACAGATTTACATCGAAGCGTTTATTTAAAAGTGTTTTAATAAAATAATATAATTATAATAAGATAATTTATTTGTAATAAAATATATTAGACCTCTGTCCTTGTTATTACTTAATAAATAATACTAACAGAATTTACAGTATGTACCAAATTTAATATGTCAATCATTGTTATTTTTATTTATAATAATATTAATTAAGTAAACACACTACTTTGGTCATTTTATACCTGTGAGTTAGCACTGAGGATGTCATTCCACCAAAACTTGATGCAATTGTATTCATTTCGACTTGTTTCACTGATAACGAATGACAAACATCTAACATGTAGTCAGATCTTAATAGTCCCAGGCATTTCGACTGTAAAGCACCACACTTTTCACAATTATTCCATTCTAACTACAATGTAACTAAGTGTGCACTAATAAAAAATATATTGGAATACAAAAATACAATACTAATCTCACACCTTTATAAACATTTTTTTTTTACATTTGTACGTTTATTAATTAGTATTGAATATCCTAACAATTTATTTAAAGATTATATTTATTATAAATAACACGTTTTATAATGATTATTGAGTATATGTAATTGAAAGTGATATGTTTAAGGAGAAACCTAGTTGCTGATCATCTTATTGAGTCCATTAAGATTTATGAGTACAAAAATAAAAAGGTTCATAATTAGAATTTTTTTTTTAATGTTTTTGATGTTCTATTTTGTTTATTTTATTTTTAACCATAAAAAGTGAGTTTCAGTATTTTTTATTTTTTTTAAGACGATAATTTTTAAATTAAAGATTTTTTAAGCTTTTTTATTGACAACAAAAACTTAAAAAGTTGAATTTTCAATGAAAAATTGACACGATTCAAATCACATTTTTTTTTATATAAAATGTTATGGTAAAAAAAATTAATTGATTTTTAGTTTTTTTAATCAAACATTGAACGCTACAATACGCCTGCAGTTACCAAATGATGCTAATATATTCACAAAGTTTACATACATTTTTCATACAAATTTTATATTTTCAACTATCTATATGTATACTTGTATTAAAATTTCAATATCATAGATAAAACTTCATACATATTTTTTTTACTTCAAATTTTTAATTGATTGAACTTTGTAAGTTTCTTCCTCAACATAATAAAATAAATGAATAATTTTACCAAAATATACATACCATTACTAAAATAAATATTTAATTATAAGAGATCTTTTTGTGAAATAATATTAAGCTTACTAATACAAACCAATTATCTTATTGACTATAATTATAATTAATACCCATTACACGTATTAGTATTTTTAATTTAAACAGTGTCAGCCTGGCACACCAAAGGCCATAAGGAAATTTGTTTAAGGGGCCCCATAATTAAATATAAAGACTCTCCAATAATGGTGCACATCTATATTTGATATGAAATTGTTTTAATTTGATGGAAACAGCACATTTTATTAATGTAAGTAGGTATACCGTATATTGAAAAAGTGAAGTTTTGTTTCTATGCACTTAAGCTTAGGAAATACCCTTTCACAAGTTGTTTGTGTTGATGACAAAATTAATACAAATTTATAGAAAACAAATTTGACTATCATGATAGTTCTCGTACAATTAAAAACTAGAGCTTTGTAAAAAAAATTGAGCATAAAAAAATTCTTCACTGTCCAATTTGTTTTGATAATGCAATACGCGAGTGGGAATCCATAAAATTAAATCCTGAAGCCCTATACACTCTGCTTAAAAGTTAAATAGTGTATTGATAAGCAACACTAAATTTTTAATTTAAATTCTTTACATGAAGGCGTAAGTATCTCTTATGCATTTTTAAATGGATAATGGGCTCGGTAATATGTCTAAAATACAATTTAATCAGGATCCAAAAAGTAAAGAAAACTATAGGACAAAAAAAAAGTTGAGGGGCTCCAGCCTTGATTGCAGCCAAGCTGCCATGGCCAGTCCGACACTGTATTTGAAGCAGTTAAAAAAAAAAAACATATAATAAAATGTTGATTATAAGCAATTCAAGCTAAATGAAAAATCCAGATAATATAATATCATGATGCAAAATTATATATTATCCATAGTTCTAATAAATAATTGTTAATTTAACAATGCAACTCTTAAATAAATTATGCAGCATTCACTCATTCCCAAACCAACCATACATTTTACCGAAATACTGGTATCCGAATATTATACCTATGTAAATGGTAAATACAAAGACAGAGGTCCATCTAACTAAAAGTAAAGTTAACTAAGATTCATGTTGAGATAGTACATGGAAATTCAGTCCTGACCTGTGTATGTCACCGGACACAATACCGAGCCAACCAAATCCGCTAGCAATTGTGTTGATTTCAACTTGTTTGATACCACAACCGTTTGCATCCTTTTGCTGCATAAAGTCTGAACGAAACATGCCCAGGCTTAAGCACTTGAAAAATGATAGAAGCATACGACGAGTGAATTTGTCAAACGTTCAAAGTGCCAAAGTATAAAAATTGAACTTTATAATTAGATTTGTATTTTATCCATTACTGGAAACACTTAAGCATATTTTTAAGTGTTAAATAAGATTGTTTTTTTCATTTTTAAAACTATATCTCACTTGACAAAAATACAAAATTGTTTCCTGTAACATGCGAAATACAATTCAGTTTATTAAGTTCAATTTTTATACTTTTGCACTTAGAACGTTTGCCAAATTCACTCTTCATAATATATAAAATATACACGAGTTCCCCTTAAGATGTCCAAAACTTCTGATGTAGTCTCATAACTCATAAGCCACATAATCTCCAAAGAGAATTATGTTGACAACAATATGTGTTTAAAAGTACCTACTAACCTAAGTAGTGCCCATATATACTACTATAGTATTACATTAGTAAGTACCAAATGAGAAAACAATTAAAATAAAATTCACAAAAATATTACTGCAGTAATATTATTCATAAAAAGCATTAATAAACATATTCAACTTATTAAATCTATAAACATTAATCAATTAATTAAGCACCTTCATGCGAGCTGAAAAATACAAATTCTGATAAATTAGACGTTGTATTAAATTTTAACTTGCAAAATTAAAAAAATTGTTCTAATATTTTTAAATATTATGGACAAAACATATAACCATATATGATCACATGTATATTGTTCCTACTGTGTTGTGTAATTAACATGAATGTATGAGAGCAATTTTTTGATTTTTACTTTTTATACAGTTGAGATATAAAATCTTACCTGCGTAAAACCTTCTTCTCGAACCGTTTCATATAATTTATATAAATTGTTGGTGAATTCATCCACTTCAATTGTTCTAAAGAAAAAAGTTAGTACATATAAATACTAATTATTATGAGTTGCTAAAAAATTTAAGATCATATTTATTCTGTTAGTTAATTAACTGCCAAAATGTTTTTTGTTCACGACTGGGCACAGCCATGGAAAAATTAACCCATAATTATAAAAATAAAATTTAGCAATTATGCATCGAATGCTGTCATCAGAGTATTGTAAAATGCGATAAAAACTCAAAAATAAACCCGTAGGACTCGAAACGTTTAAAAGGTTGTTTATTTTGAAAGGAAGGGACCAAAAATGTTACATATTTAAGTAATTAAAAACAGACATCAATGTAATCTAAAGTATAAGTTGATACCACACTGAAGTTTAGAATTTGGAGAATTCTTTAATTTTCAGGAGAAAAGCTTTAACACGTTTGCTGCGTATGACGTGTATACTCGTCTCCTTGATATTTGTTTTTAATTGGTTATAATACAGCCAGAGTTAGGTATTAAAGAAAATATTTTTATCATGACTCAAAACGTAGCCTATAACGTCTGCCATAAAATTAATTTAATGACGTAGATGTTGCAAACTTGCGACATAAAAAAAAATATATATCTCACTCGCACAGGATACAAAAATTGATACGCAGCAATCGTGTCAAATGTAAATGTCATGAATCACGATGTATAATTTTAACATGATTATCTATACTAACCATAAAAAAAATTCATTATATTTGTGTTGAATTATGATTATCTAAGTAATTGATATAAGTTAGTATATATATAAAATTGTTCAACTATACCAAAATATTAATTATTAGGCCATATAGACAAATACTCTAAGAATAGGCCGAATACTTGCCAAATATTTGGAGCATTCTAAATTACAATACAAATTATGTACTAAAAACTTATGTATATACAACAAATATTTTTTTTAAGTACTTTTCTAAGCATGATTGCAAAAATTCATAGTCGCGAGATACCATATGCGTAAGTTCATTAAGAACTGGCTGTATGTTCAACGCCTTTTGAAATTCGTCTCTTGGGAAAACTGAAGGCAATAATGTAAATGGCACCACTGTTAACGAATCGCTACTGAAATGGTGCTTAGATCTGATTCCACCTCCTTTAATACAAAAATTAAAATATTTTTTAAACAATTTTTATCATATAAAAAAAAAACAAAATAAAAATATAACCATGCATAAGAGTCCAATCTTTCGTTTTTTGTATGAGTTCTTGAAATTCATTTGTTGGTAAACCGAGAGGAAGCGATATCCACGATTTTAATTGAGCCATCTTCTGAAAAATTACAAATTTTTAATAATTACTTTTTATACAACAAATTTGAATAAAAATAGAGTACATTTATTGTTGAATATCTTAATCTAATATTGACTAAATGATATTGAAAATTTTGTTTATAGGTAACCAATAAATAATATATCAATCTAAATATGAGGCCAACTATATTTTAAAATAGCAAAAAAGACAATTGTTGACTACTAGTAAAATATGAAATAGTTTAAACTAGTAGTAACTCAAGCATCTCACAGAATAATTTCTTAGTAATTTTATTAAAAGTATAAATTGTACACCTAGTTATTGATTGATTAAACACTAAAAACCAAATTTCTAAATTCTGTACTTTGTGGGCTATAATAGATATTACAGAGTAAAATTGTTAGATATTTAGTTAATTATCAAAAGTCTCATAAATCATTATAAAACATTAATATCATACCTCATTATTCACTCAAGTATTTTAATTTTATGATTAAGATAATACAGATAAAATTTCTATTTTTTACAAGTGTAGAAACAACTCAAGTAGATATCACGAAAGTTAAGTGCCTTTATTAATAATCCTTATAATTTAAGAAGTATTGATCTAAAAATGGTTATTGACAACTCATTATTTCTATTACATAATTCTGCTTTTCATAGGTAAATCTAATAACTAGAATACTATTCGAGTTATAAAAGTCACCTCTTAATATTACCATTTTAAATAATATTTTTAACAAATATTTATTATAACTCTTAATCATTAAATACAAGGTGATTTACTAACTATGAATCAGTTAATATCTCAGAAGTTTTTTTAATTTTTCTTTTTTATACTTTTATAATTAATAGTTTGCCCAATTTTAATTTAAATATTATCCTTTATGTGGTAAAACCCTACAAACTTAAGATTTTTATCAGTAAAATAATTATTACCAAGAAAAAATTACAGTACCATGAAATTTGAGTAACGTATTATCTTGAAAAATATTAATAATAAAATAATTAATTGGCAATATTTGTTATTATTTTGTTTTTTGGTAGATAAATTATGTTTGAACCCCAGAATAACATAATAACACATCATGGGCCATGGCCGATATTTTTAAATTAACTTAGATTTTTTATTCGAGATTATTCTGCGTTGAATAATAAGATAAAAACGTTCAATATAATACCATTAATATGAATATTACATATTAAAACATATTGTTTTATAATATAAAATATGAACATTACCTTAGGGCTTTAATTAAAGCCAGTTTAGACAAAACGGCTGATGCAAACGTTAATACATAGACAAGTATGTAAGTACTATATTAATGAACATTGAACACAATATGAATAATTCTGAAAAATGAAAATTGAATAGTAGCGTTAATTGTTATTGTTAGAACCATGGTTGAAATATTCAAGTTATCGCACATCGTCTCGAATTGTTATCTTCAGAAATAAAATGACAGCATAACGGGATATCAGTTTTAATATAATATACTTTACTATTACTATACATATTACTGTGTACTTATATAGAGTTGGGGGCTGTTCTACCAAAAAATGATAACACGTGATAAGAAATAAATGTTACATAACCTTTAAAATGTGTAATGCTACAGATAGTACCAACATCGATTTTACCAAAAACCCGCCAAGATTAAATTATTACTGACCAGTGATTATTTTTTCATCGATATTATTCAATAGAAAATAGAATAAAACTAATATCTAAAACAAATATACCTAATAAGTGAACACGACTCGTGGGTCTATGCCAATTATTGCTAGTACACACAACACGTAGACTTACGGCTTACGAAGGCGTATACTTTTTCTATGATTTCGAAACTTACTTGTTTCCATACATTAATATTTAATAGTATCTCTATATATTGTTGCAATTTTTCATTAGCCATATGTTCAGGTTACATTATTTGAGCATGGGATCCCGTTATATGGTGTTGTGCTTTGTGGCAATTTTTTCGCTCAGCATTCTGTTAATCATGTTTCAAGATAGCTTGAGCCGACCGGCAATTGAAACTCATAAACAGATAAACAATTTCAAAGTAAGTATTATATTTGAATTACACAAATATTTGTAGTGGTTTGTAATCAATTTATTTTCCTTTAATTTAACAATAATTTAAGGACAATTTAAAAATAGCTGAACAAAAATAATTTGTTGTTAACGATGAGTATTTACTATCACTTGGATTTATTTCCAGTCCTGCTCTGTATCCGGCAAAATTCTGGAAAAATACTACTGTACCTGTTGTTATCACTTACGTTTTAGATGGTGAACGTGGACCAAGCTATTGGACTTATACAATGTATAAACAAATATTTGTCCAATCTTATTATACTAATCATAGTCCTATAAAGATAGGTCTATGATACTAATGTACAATTTAGAAATACCAGATTACCAACTTCGCCTTGTAAGATTATAACTGTACATTTGTCGTTTCATCAGTGAAACGAACCATACAGCATACGTCCAAAAACATTTTAGGTAGGTAAGTTCTGGATTTACTAGCATCTCTACTAATACAATTAAATCTATTAACTGTGCGTTTCCACACAAACTCTTAGTTTTTTTCCGTCAAAAAGAATTATGCCTACATTAGTGTTATTACTTATTAGTATATATCTATGCCTATGACCAATAATATTATTATTATTATAGTTAACTTTAAACTTATCGCACAATTAAAGTGTGATCATTGTGTCTATTCAAAAATTTACAATATTTAGACTTCCGCAGTACATATTTTACTGTAGTAATATTGGAAACACTGTACAAGTCGGACAATAAACATTTACATAGCTGATAAGATAATGCGTTTTATCTGTTGCAGTATTTCATGAATACATGCAAATTAATTCTATTGAAGAATAATAATTGTTTATTAATTTTCGCAACACCGGATTTGATTCTTTGACTTAAGTAAAATTCTACCTTCGTGTACGACGTAAGTACTCGAGTTATTATACTTAAATAAACGTTGCATTTTAAGTAGCTAATATTTTACTAAGTTATCTATTATTATATATATTGTCAATGACCCAATAATTAACACACAATGGTGTCCTAGAGACATCTACACGTTTCTCTCGTGTCCTCGAAATTATAATAATTGCTTTTTTTTCTCTAAACAATTATTCAGTTTCGCAATATATTTATATATTTTTTTCCTTTTCTTATGTATTACCTGTTTCATAATAAGTATTATTAAAACAACAATCATTCAGTACTAAAACTTGATTTCAGGATCGTTTAAGCGCGTGTGTCGCGGTGCATGGCTCGTAAAAATAAGGAAAATAAAAATATGGCTTTATCGGCCTTACTAAGAGACGAAGCTGATAGCAGTGAGGATGACTATCGGCGCAAACGAGATAAAAACAATCAAGTATCTTTCTTACATAACTAACCTATGTTATTGCTAATATTAAAGTTATTATTTGAATTTTATTTATTTTCTATTATTATATTAGGCTGTTAAAAGAAGTCGAGTCAAAAGTAGGATGCGTACTCAACAAACATTACAACGCGTCAACCAATTAAAAACCGAAAACGATATGTTAGAAGAAAAAATTAAGCTTTTAAGTAAAGAGCTGGGATTTTTAAAAGAGTTATTTATGGCGCAAGCAGGTAAATTTTCTAAATAAACATGATTTTTCTTTATTCGTGTATTAATACCAACATTTTTATTTCAGGCACATCACAAATTGAAATTCCAAAATCTGTTGACTTAAAAACATTGTTAAGTGACACTACATCTGACATTCTCGATAATAATATATCTAAACTTCCTACATCGTAGGCAAACAACAAAAAGTTCAAATTATGTATGGCCCTTACTGTAAAGTATAATATTTAAAATAGATATAGTTTAGACTTTAATTTAAATAGTTCTGAACATGATTTTTTTTCTTTAACATTACTGTTCTGATAAGAAGGCAACATGCAGGTTGTGCAATAATTATTTTCCTCAAAATGTTTACTGTTTTTTTAAAGATATTTCTATTCAAAGTTATATGTAATTATTTTAGTTATTAATTGTGATGTTTGTTCCATTAATATAGTGATGTATATTTTATTTATGTTCTTTATTTATTTAATTTTAAATTAATGTAAATTTAAATGGATTATGAATTATAATTCAAATGCACACAATATTAGTGCTTTATCTTGTGTATAAGCATTCTTATAAGGATAAGCATACTATTACATTATAAGCTCTTGATTTATTAACAAAATAATAATAAAAAATTTGAAATGTTAAGTAAGTATTTTATATTAAAACAAAACATTTATTTAAATATCAAAGTTATAATGGCTAAATCATACATATTAATCACATTATTTCATATTACTTTACAAGTGATTTTCTGCCTACCTAGTATGCATTCATGCACGCAGATAACATTTTACATTTATTGTTAGGCTATAGGTCAACTATTATCAGTCATTTTTCTGTAAATCTCGTTGTTATTATAATGAAAGAGATAGTATTTCATAAGATTATGAAATAGGTTTTTTATAGATGTGATCAGTTTTTTCCCCCATAAAATAAAAACTATTTAACTAACTAATGGTATATTTTATAGCAATATGTTTTAGTTATTTTATAAAAATCGTAATTACTGTTATGACAATTGAGCTGGCATTATCTTTATATTAAATTTTTCTCTAAAAGTTAGTCAATACCTATTTAGTGCTAACAGTCATATGAACGTTGAAAATATTTTCACAATTATTACAATAGTTTGACAAATGTTATTAAATGTCTTTTTTTTAGCTTTTATTTCGATAGCTTGTCAATTAGATAAATTTTACAAAATAATTAAACTTATAAATATTTATCATACATTAGCACAAGTATGTATGTATATTTATACAATCAGTTATAAATTGATCTAGTTTTATTAACTGAATAAAATGTATGAACCATATTACCTTGATTTGGTGCTAAGGAACATCATGCTATTGTATGATTTATATTGTATTGGGGAATTATGTAGGGAGCATGTCTCGGTATGATTTAGAGCAGGATAAATATTACTGATAAATAAACAATCGAAGACATTGTGAGAAAGGTCATGTTTAATTTCATCATCGTGCCAGTGTATATAAAAGAGTAATTAATTGATAATAAGTGAATGTAATATACATAGTTGACAACCTATTTCACAATGTGTCATAACCGTATTCAGGGGGGGGGGTCCGGGATCAACCCCCCCCCCCCCCGAAATTTCATCGAAAAATATTTGTATTACCTTTCTTTTATGTCTTTTGTTCCATTTTTTTTTAAAGTATTCCTGAAAATGATGTAAAAAAAATAAAAATATTTTGATGTAATTTTTCTTTTAACTTTAAAGCCTTAAATAGAATTAAATAATAATAAATACGTGATATTATCGTTATCGCATGCTTAGGCTTATGGACACGCTAATGAATTTTAGTTTTTTTTCGAATTTCGTTGGTGTACCTTATTGGAAGACGTCATTAAGGAGGAATACATTACTTATACCAAATCAAGCACTAGAAAAATGTCTAGAATTAACAAACCAGACATATAAAAAAAAGATTTTTTCAATTATTTTATTTTGAATTTAATATCTAAGAATTTTACTGAGCAGAGAAACTTAGTACAATTATTTCGTCTGTAGTTAATTCCGGACCCTTACAGATGTATATAATTAAATTATTATTAATATTTAAAATAAACTACTACATATTTTGCTTACCGGTTACTTCGTATTAGGGATTGTATACTCGTTTCCAAACCACCTATGAGGTAGAGTATTTGGCTCGTTTTTTTTAATGTGGTATCTCCATCTACGATGATGCTCGAATTGTATTTACTGTACAACCACCAGAAATGCGTGGTAGGGGCGTTTCAAGCAATTGTGGAATTACGCATAGATGTCGATCCGGGCATGACTTAAGACTAAAATATCCCGGTATCGACAGACTGGGCGGCCACACAACAGACAATGGTGGACTTACGCATCGAAGTCGATCCGGGCATGACTTAAGACTAACTTAATGACTAAAATATCCCGGTATCGACAGACTGGGCGGCCACGCAACAGACAATGGTGGACTTACGCATCGAAGTCGATCCGGGCATAACTTAAGACTAACTTAATGACTAAGATATCCCGGTATCGACAGACTTTGCGTATAAAAGAGTACGAATGAGTTTATCCAGTAGGATCACGGGATAGATATTGGTAATTTGATTTACAAAAAAATCTTGTTGGTGTAAAAATGTTGTGACTTGATTAACTGGACGCAAATTTTAAAGTAAGTAATTAATTTTTACTGAGCAGAAAATGTGAGAGGTTTATGAACTATAACGAGAACGACCACAACGCGAAAGTGAGAAGTTACAAACGAAAAGATTGTTAAAAAGTAGTTTAGTTCAATTATCTGAAATGACAATAGTGCTAAAATGTGTAAATTTACTTAAATAAATAAATTATAATTGTGCGGTTGTCCAAAATAATTTATAAAGGGAGAATTGAGAGTAAAATGGCATCATCGCACATAGACCTAATCCACACAGTACTTGACTTAGTAGAGGGGAGGGGAGGTAACTCTATTGTTTAGATATTTTAGCGTAGGTATCTTTATTTTACTTCCAAGTGAGACCAGAATATATTACTCAGAAATGTATTGGAATACATTACTTATACCAAATCAAGCACTAGAAAAATGTCTAGAATTAACAAACCAGACATATAAAAAAATGTTTTTTCAATTATTTTATTTTGAATTTAATATCTAAGAATTTTACTGAGCAGAGAAACTTAAGTACAATTATTTCGTCTGTAGTTAATTCCGCACCCTTACAGCTGTATACAATTAAATTATTATTAATATTTAAAATCAATTACTACATGTTTTGCTTACGGGTTACTTCGTATTATTTATACTTATTAGGAAATTTATGATCGACCGCCATGTGTAAATAATTGCACTTAAATCTAAAAAAAAATGCAACATAATATTAGTAAATAGGTAGTATTTAGTAATAATTGGATTTGGACTTTAGATTTTGGTATCTAAATTATTATATATTAAGAGATTTCTACACAGCATGCTGGGTTTTTGCATTACTCTGAAGCCCAAATGTGAAATCGCCCCCCTTAGACTCTCAAGTGCTTAAATTAATTTACCAACTTTTAAAATTCCTAGTGTTTTTATAAAAGTTTTCTTTTTTTTTGAAACGGTTATTATAAATAACAATGAGAGAGAAGAACATAGGTATTGCTGTATTATGTTACATAGTATAATAACTGTATGTGTTCGAAATACCTACCATCAAGTCTCCAGGCGAAACCTCTTTTGAGTTTTTGGTCGCCTTCGGATTTTTTTTTGAAATAGCTTGAAGTTACGTCCAAACTTATGGTAGAACATGACAGTAATGTTTAAGTCGTTCGAGAAAGTAATTGTTTTAACGTAAAATATATCTGCAGAACGCTTCGACACAATGCATATTGTTCGCTGAAAATATTAAAATCTAAGTATTGACTTTTAATATACTATCAATGTGCAATTGCTACGTCTTGTTATTCAAACAACATGCAGAAGTTAACATAGAAACGAATTGTTTTCAGCAGTTAAAAACACACATAGAGTCAGCATAAGTTTGCAAATTTTGTGTTCAAGGAGATTCTATATTGTATTATATATTTATATATAATAAAGGATCTCTTTGAACACAACATTTCTTTACATTATTAATATTAATTTAGCATAGATTGAATTAATTGACAAAGTATTTGTGGTTGATAGAAGGGAGTATATAGTAGCTCGTCCGGTATGCACATGCGTTATATTCAAACAATTATTAATTATAAAAATAATCTTGATCAAATGAAAGATGTAAAACTAAATTAATTAAATATTAATGAAAATGGTTTGGAAATATTTTTAAATAATATGATATGTCATTGTTACTTTTTTTGACATTACACTGGTGCAGACGACGCAACGCCTTAATTAGTGAACAAAAATATATTATGTTTTTAATCTTAAATCATATGTATGTTATTTCTATAATTATTAGGATTTAGGAATGTGGTTTTACATTTTTTTTTTAATGCAATTTAAGAAGTATAGTTTAGAGGGACGGATAGTTTTATTAAGGCCACGATATGATTAGAGATGCCTACTGAAAGATTTTGACGTACTTTCCAACTTTTTAACGCATAGCCGGACTCTATTTTCAAACATGCATCAATTTATTATATACTGTAAAAATAATATAAGGTTTTTTTTCAGTTGTTGAGATAATAAGTAAATAGGACACATTTATATGGAATCCCAAATACTTTATATAACTTATTAGAATTAAATAAAAAAAGTATTTAACAATTAAAATGTTGTGTCAAAAATGTTTTTAGATTTCAGGACTCGTATTATACTTATTGAAGGCGTAATATTAAACCTAACTAAAATTAACATGTTGTTTATAAAGTAATATTAATTGTAAATACTATCATTATACAAAATATCAACACCAGAATATAAAAATTGAATTTTTTATGTAAATATCTTCTCTCCTTCTTTTTTATTTCAAACTTTTTAGTCAGTCCATCAATCCTGGAGATATGTCCCCAAATCTTTGCCTATCCTTTTTTCTCTCTGTGCTTTACTTTGCCCTATTTCTCAGTATATTCATTCTTACTATAGCCGCCTTCCTTTGTGTGACTGCCCTTATGAGGCCCTAACATTTTTCCCCATTATTCACATTCTTCCACAATTTCTTGGGTTCTCTTCCTCTAATCTCACATCCTTGCCTTCGCCTGTTGTAAATAAGTTCTTTTCACACTACACGCTCACCAGCTTCCCTGATTTCCGCTTAATTTTTACTGACGGGTCTGTCTCGACCTTCAAGTCGGGATGCGCATATGTTATTCCCAGTCTTAGTATATCTTTTCCACCAACTTATTTCCATCTTCTTCCTCCTTTACCGCGAAATGTACTGCCATTCTTCACGCGCTCCTCTATATAATTTCTTCACAAGAAAACCGCTTCCTTGTCTGCTCTGATACTCAAACGAGTCTTCTAGCTTTAACTTCTAATCCTTTCAGCACCTATATTTCCTCTGTAATCCTTTCGATTAGATCCCTTTTACTCAAAATCCATTCTTCCGGGAAAGAAGTCCACTTTCACTGGGTTCCAGGTCACGCTGGGGTTAGGAGTAATGAAATTGCCGATTCCCTTTTATCTATTTTTTTTTTTTTTTTTTAACTTAACTGTACTTCTTATCTTTTCTATTACACTAATTTTAATTTTCTTTATGTACTTAATATTACTTATTGAAACGTCCTTATAATTTTTGTCTAAATAATAGTTTGTATTTTGTAATTGTTGAGCTATCATATTTCACAATAAAGGCTATTAAAAAAAAATAATATATATAGTTTTTTTTTTAATTTTCAATTATTGACCGTTATATATTTTATCGCCATCTACCGGGAGTCGAAACTCGCACCATCGAAAAATAGTCCAGTGGAATATCTATTGTATTCATTATCAATGGTAATAGTTTTCAATAAGGAGTGAGCCATGAGCGCACGAATCGTCGACTACTGTAAAAAATTAAAAACTATCCCTAATGCCTTAATAAAAAGTGTCCACTCTGAAATAAATATATGATTCAAATTTTAAATATTATGTTTATTTAAAACTTTTGAGTGATGCTTAGAAAAATTGATGTTTTGAACTTATCATTATACGGCTCTTGAATAAATACACACACCTATACTTACAAGTATGATTTGTTAATTTATACTAATTAATTAATTACTTATGTATTTATATTGTCGGTGATTGGATATGCCATATAGGCGATGTACGTATGGTCTATAGAGACATTATAAACTATTTACTATTATGTCTGGGAAATGGAAATTAGAAGATTTCTGATTTGGAAGTTGGAACTAGAGGTATTGGGTATTTAGGCAATCTAGACGATGGTATGTTTTCTGGTGTTGATTTTCAGTTGGTGACACTGTGTAATCGGATAAATTCCCTTGGTTGTGCGCCGCCTGTTTGTTCCGTATTGACTGCTGTTGTTTGTGATTGGATTGTTTTCGGAAAATTGTTGTTTACGTTTAGTTTTTTTGTCCAGTTAGACCGTAGTGACTCATTGGGTTGTGTGTGTGTTTGTATAATAACAGACAACAGTATCAGCAAAATTCGTTTGCGCGCGGTTCAAGGGGTGTTGATTGTGGTAGTCACCGCTGAAATATATCTCCTAGGTAAGTGCTTTTTATATATATGCATATTTAATTTAATTAGAAATTATCCAACTTCTTGTAATTGTCAACCGCGGCCGCTAATGCTTCAAATTCCAATTTCCAATGCTGACGCGCACAAAATAGTTTTCATATTGGGCGTGTTAGTGGGCTACTATATAGAAACATATTTGTTTACATTTTTGTATTTGTGTATTAAAAAGTTAATTTTTTTGGCTCCCGAATCTTATTTTAATTGTTAAACGTACCAATATGAAAAACTTTTTTTTAATTTTATATATATTATTTAAAACGTAACATTTAAGAAGTAGGCCATATAGCCAATAGGGAAACTTACATATTTTTATTTTAGTAAGTAATAAATTATTTATATATTTAAGGTATATTTGTACCTTCCTTTAGATCTGGGTAAGCAAATACATAATAAACGTGTATCTTTATATTTTTAGAAATATTTCTTTGTATATAACTCTATTGAAAAGTATATTTATTTTTAAAAGTGAACTATTAAAAAATAGTGTTGTTTTGAAATAAACTGATGAACAATAATCTAATTACTCTTTATTTTTTTTTCCTAATACCATTTAAAAAACTGATAACTAAACGTGAGTGTGTGTATTCTGTTATTGACGGAGTGAAGTTAAATGGTAATTATATGCAGTCTTTTTTGTTTTCAAAACTTAAAATATTTTATTTCTTACTCAATACTCTGTAGTAAACTATATGGCTAATAATTAAGAAGACACTACCCAGGCCATTTCTAAGAAGTAAAGTATAAGCAGTTTTTAAAAAAATTGAAATTAGAGTTTGCATTATAATATATACTTAATAATACGGTAATGAAGATACTTTGTTAATTACCATTTTTTTTTGTCAGACTATTACAGTCATTTCTATAGGATAAATTACAATTTTTTTCCCATTGAAACTGCTTTGCGCAGGACTAATATGTGAGGCCAGTATTAACAGTAACTTTACCAAATTTTCACAATGTATAGAGAAGAACTTTATCCATGGGGTAGCGTTTTATTTTTTTCGATATGAGGCGCATAGAACACGAGGGGTATAAATGACATTTTTACAAAATCTTAGTTAAGTCCACAGCTAAATTACAAATTGTCCATTTTATATGGTAGTAAAGATTTATAAGAGAATTATTCATCATTTGCTTTGATCTGGTAGTAAATCACCTAACTCTTAAACGAAAACGCCATATGGATGTAAACTTTAAGCTTGATTTTCTTGAAATCAATAAAATGTCACTTATACCCCTTGTGTTCTAGGCGCCTCATATATATATATACTTAATATTTTTTATAAACAATTTAAAAAATGAAAAAATAATGAATATTTACGAATGAATAATTTTGATTGTGCGAAAGTTATCAAAAAACTAAAAATGCTACACCGTAGATAAAGTTCTTCTCCAACCATTGTAAAAATTGTATACGGCTACTCTAAATACCGCCCTCACATTCTTGTTCCCCGCAAACCCATTTTTCATGAATAAATTACGGAGGGGGGGGGCAGTGTCCTCTTAAAAACAAATTTATGACGTTCTAAACCCTAAACTATAGCTTTGTATTTTTTTGCAAGACTTATCTTTTAATTGCGTAGGTTGCTAATTTTGCTTTATACTTGTTTTGAGAAAGTGGGTACAGTGTAATTATTGTAAAAATTGGGATTGATGAAGATGTATGGCATGATTTTCATAACACTTAAAAAAAGACATATGTCCCAACTTGCACAAGCTCTACTCGTTTTTTTTGGTGTTGTGTTAAATTAATTAATTGTCAAGAAAAATGAACATATTCATGGGTATAACCGCACCCTGTGTGTGCATACCAAATTAAAAGTGAGACAATATGTTAATATACAAAGAAAACAAAGTTTTTTCTCAACTTGAACACGCGTTAAAATAATAAGGCTATAGTTCTATCAGAGAATTGCTTTATATTTTTTATTTTATAACTATGAGTAACATTAATTTAAAAATAAAACTGGTAGTCATTTCCTCAAAAAGAAAAAAATTAGTAAGGGTTTCAATTTGTAAATAGCCATTAAATTTATATATTAATTTGCAGAGGCTGATAATAATACATTTTTAAGATGGGTGTATTGTTTAATGGTACCTGTGTATTATATGGACTGATGGCCAGGGACTTTAAAATTAATATTAGCTAACTACGATGGAGAGTCTACCTAGGCGAAAAGTAGGCCAGATAGGAATCTGTTATTAGTCATAAGCCTACGATCCACAAGGTTTAACACATGGATAAAAGGTGTTTAGTCGTGAGGAAGGCAAGGGATATTTAGTAGAAAAATAACAAAAAATTTCAAAGTTTACAAATTTTGTGTAGTTTTTGATGTCCAAAAGTCTGCGAGTAATACTTCAAACGCGTTTCCGCTCACTACTCTCGATTACCATGCTAATTAGTGCTAATTTTTTTACTTTTATATCTTTCAACGTATTCTTTAATTTAGACTTGACTTACTTGAAATCTGTGACCTCCTAGACTGTAGCCTGCAAACCTAGGATATTTTTAGTTTAGCAAAGCAAAGCGATAGTGCCGAGCGAGTGAGTGCCAAAACACTCGGTGACCTGCCATCTTATAAGGGGTTTTTGTTTTACATTGTACAGGATTTATTTGGTCAAGAGCATTGATTATAATAGTAGTATCAAGAGTATTATAAAATCAATAGTCTAGACTTTAGAGCATATTTGGACATAATTGTATCCTATGACAACAAAGGCACCCACAGGGAGAGGTAGGGGGGACAACTCCTCCTAGCTTCTCTGCAAGCTAAAAAAATGTATATCCAATATCCAAATTTGTAATTTCTATTACAAATTCATAGGCGGCCCCCCCCCTGAATTTTTACCTGCGAGCGCCCTTGTATGACAACATTTCCGCCCCCTCTTATTTGCAACTTTAAGTTGTTGATTGTAGTCTACTAACCTGTTGTCAATATTGCCGCGTAATTAACAAAATGTCACTATCATTAGTTAGTCGGATTTATCGTAATATCGGCTATAAAATATAGAACCCGTATAATACATACCTGAATAGGACCCATTTAAATGTTCTAATTGGTTATCGTTTTATTTTACAACATAGAATTTTTATTTGGCCAATTAATTCAACAAGGTAATAACATAATGTGAAGAACTGGGTGACTTCTTTTTTGGTTAAGAGTGCTTGTGGTAAAGTGTAAATTAAATAAAATCTTTTCATTGTATCTTTCTAATCTCTAGACATTCACTGTTGTTGTTTTGTAAGCGTCATTAAGCACGTGTATTATTATTTATTTTTATGATTTCAGCTGATATGTCTGAAAAAAATTATTACCTATTCATCAGTTTAGCTTTATTAGTAAAAGAGACTACCCAGTACAAAGAAATCCCTAGTGTTTAAATTTAAATTTTTCGATTTATAATATTTAAGCTAAAACGCTCATTTTGTACTTTACACATAACTTAGTTTTTATATATATATATTTATATTTATATCGGATAGTTGAGGATTCTATTATGTACACTGCTAATCGCAGTGATGGCCGTTTTGACAAAACATTCTGACATGACTGATCACAATGCAGTCCACTACATTCCACGACTAGTTAGTTGGTTCTTAGAATCATAAATAAGCCACCGACAGATAAGAATCTTAAATTGCCATAAATAATATAATACTTTGACGTAATAATATTTATTTTAAATAGTGTGGCACCGTGGTCTGTGTCACATTGTAATGTGCTTTGTTTTTGTGCTGTAATATTTAAAGTTCCGAGTGTCATTTTTCTCCCAATAGCATATGTATTTGTATAACAGTTATGGTGCTTAATAAAAAACACCTAGATATGTAGGTATTGGCGGTTGGGTTGTGTTATTTTAAACATTACCTGTTGATTTCCAGTCACCGCTTGGAAATCTATTTTGTGTATTATCATTTATCAATGATTAGTAGTTAAAACATTCGATGACCTCACTGAGTGGGATGCCGGCCGGCAACGTGGTACAACTACGGATACACAAACAGTTACAACCACACGAAGAGTGTGCGTTTAAACGTTCGTTTAAAACAAGTTTTTTTTACATACTCATGACCTCTACTCCATTAAACGGCTTTCGTATATATTATCTTTAGGATACTCGATTTCACTTACTCGCCTCTCCTTTTATTTTACAATGTCTTAAAATTCTATTTATTTGCATCTATATATTTTAATTTTCAACACGTGGCAGGGTGGTAGACAGTACGATTTAAGCGTACATACAATGTTCATACATGATTTTAATAAATAATAACCTTGTGAGAACACGTGGGTCGACTATATTTAACCTATATATTTTAATAATTCATTGTTATTAATATTGACATCTCGTTCCATTTATATCAATTGTCCGTTATCCCACTGATGTGTGAATTTACAATCGCTGAGGACAAATAGAATGCATGAATAGAACGTATAGTTTTTAATTATTTTTTTTCCGTATAATAGAGGTAACAAAACCTTAATGTTCATTTATTATAATAAATACAAATTATTATTATTCCTCAAGGTTTTAACGTTTCAGTCAGAATTATTGTTACAACCCATAGGCAATAAATAAAATAACCGTACATTGTCACGCACCAATAAAACATGATAAACTGTGTACTTCGTTTAAGTTTTAGTGAATCCAAGTTATTTTTCCAAAGACTAACCGCAGTTATATTGCCACGGAATATACAACATACCTTGAAACGAAATGCATTTTGGGCGAATACTGAATAGTGAGATACCACTTACCAGTTACTATAATATAATTGAGTATAACTTATAGTAATTTTATTGTACCCGTAATGATAGAATTCAAGTTTTATCTGATTGCTCTTACGGAAGCTATATTTATCTGATCAAAAACGATAATACATTTTGACACACTCTATTTTCCTTTATAACATAACTACACTATATTATGTGTACATATAATATTATACATAAATAATATTCCTTTTTTAATTTGGGATGTAAAGCAAAATTCCAATTTTATGGCATACTAAATTATTAACTACCTCTAAAACGAAGCAAAAATGGAGTCGTTTAATTTAACTAGTAAATAGCTCGTGAAATATATTTTGACTGTATGAAAAAATAAAAAAAAGATTAAATATATTTAAGTATATATATTTCTATTGGTTTAGGGTTCTATTTTATACTAGTTGTATATAAAAAGGTTCAAAGGTACCTATTGTCACACACACAAACACTACAATATGAAATATTAAAGCGGTTATTGACTTGAAACACGTGCGTGAGCGCCACTCCTTTATTCTCTCTCATTTGTCCTCCGCGTACGTATATTGAACAAACTGCTAGTAAAAGGTAAAAATACAATAGGCAGTGAAATTTAATGACCGAAAACCTTGAGTATCTTTGGGATAAGTGGAATTTAGTATTTTGGCCGCAATAACATTACAGGTTTCTGGGCATCTGTAGCAATAGACCTTCCTTTTTTAATAATTTTCGAAGAATTTTTTAAAGTATAAGAAATAGACAATATTGAAGTATGGAATTTTTTTTTGTGATTTTTAGAGAAACAAATTATCTTGCCATCTGTTGATTTTTTTTGTAAACGAATAGTTTTTTATAATCAATTAAAAACAAGAATACGTATCTGCTAGTTGTATACAGATGTATTTTTTACTTAAAATATTTTTATATAGCTTCAAGTTTTCAGTGTCTGGTTTAAACACAAAATCTACTGCGGAATACATGTCACCCGCTTCTACATCGCACATATTTTTCTCGTGCAAGTCGTTCGTTTTATGCTCAATTACCACATAAAAAAAATCAATAAAAAAAAATTCAACAGTTTAATGCTTATTCGTTATAAGTGTAGGTACGTACATTTACTTTCAAATAGTAGTTTGTTAACAAAATATTTTTTTCATTATTTATATTTTGTCAAAATGAAATAGAGTCGAAGTCATACATGTATAAATAGATATTATATACGTTGTATCATAAAGTATAACGAAGTACGGTAGCTTACAAATGTCCATATTACCCATATAGGTAATACATAGGTAAGTGAGGATACAACTATAATACAAGAATTGTATAACTTATATTATGGAAATGGAGGGAAATGTTCGAGAAAAAAGCTTGAGAATAAGTAAGTCTAATACAAAACACTATGGTCTCTGAATATATTTTGAGTTAAGTGATGTGGAGGTTTTAGAGTGTAGAGAACCTATTATGTTTAGAAACCATCTAGTAAATGAAGTAGAAGAACTTAAGTGAGTTAAGAATTGAATGTTTTAATATATCAGGTGAAATATGGCAACAACTGTGAGTGTGACAAAATGGTACCTTTTATAGAGAAAAGAAAATTGTACATAACTTTTGCGAGGCCAGGAATGATTATTAGAAGTATTTATAAACATATATTTAATTGTATTAGATAAATGTAAGGAAACTGGAAGTAGCTAAAATAAGAATGTTAAGGTATACGTTTGTGATGACTAATCCGACGGACAGAATTTAAAATCAATACGTAAAAAACATTGATTAATAACGATTTTGTTACCAAACAATAGTATAAGTATTTAATTTTGGATTTGTGTCAATAACATAAAAAACTAATTTGAAATGGTATGGACAAACTGAAAGAAGAGACATGTGGATGGATTTAAGAAAGAGGCCGATATATCGAAAAAGCTGCGTATTTGGGAGTTTAGTATGCAATTTGTAAATCTTCTTTCCGGGGAATGGATAACAATAACTTGATAACGTAAATACGTATCTGGATCGCAGAAAATTTGGGTGAATTTTATAAAGATATAATCACGTTTGGATAGGATAAAGAAAGGTGAAGAAAAAAAGACACGCTGATGATTAATTTTGGTAGATTTGTTGTTTAAGGTGTCATGTAAATTCAGTTTTCAAAAACATTTAAAAATTAGAACTCTTTATTCACATAACATTTTATTTAACTTGCCGATTAGTTGGTTAGATATCGTAATCATTATCCGAAAAATGTATTTTTGATAAACGCTTTTAAACTTAATGTTTTAACTGCTTTGGTGATACTGGCTAACCGTAAATGAGCTCAGCTTCATCGATATTTTTCGGAATCGCTGAAATTTTGTAGGGAATATTTTATATGTAAAAGAAAACAAAAAATCAAAAATCTATTTTTTTTTTGTCATACCTGTCTAAAAGTAGTTTATGCTTACTAGATGAATAACAGTTTTTATTTTTAAGTTTTGAAAATTCGGACCAAAAATAGTTTTTATTAAATAATTTTTTTTTTATTTACAAACATAATATAAATTAAATCTATTAACGACATGTTAGTTCTGTTCATGCTGCTGCTCACTCCTTTCGAAAATGAAAAAAAAACCAAATATATGTATATGCATAGTAAAAATGTTTATTTAATACAGTATAAATTTAACCAATAAAAATTGTTCTTAAAATAGAAAAGTATTCAAATGACGTATCGTTACATTAATATAATATTTTTAGCTTTCCCGGTTTAAATTGCAGGTCATTTAACTTTCTTTTCATTAGCTTATTAAATATATAGGTCAGATAGAAGTTATAGTCGTGACAATTTTTGTTCATGATTCATATTTAATGAACGCTTGTCAACATTAAGTACTCTCAATTTAAGTCGTAACCTGGTAATAAAAAATGTAGTTAATATTGGCAACGAGAGCAGTTGAATCATAATGTGTTTGTTAATAATAAGTAACTTTATACTATAAAAGTACCTACATTTCGAAGTAAGTAAACGATTATATTTTTTAATTTAATAAAATTAAGATAGGTACCTTAAATTAGTTTTGTTTTCACATAACTTTTAAGTATAATTTGAGCTGTATCTTTAAAATATCTTTGAAAGTGTTTTCTTTGAACCAAATTTTTATCGTGAATCTAAGATCCGAATTTTGTACCATTAAATTTAAAACTTGTAATCTCGTAAATTACCTAACTAATTTAGAATTATTAAAATATATAAGGTCATAAATGGTGTCCCAAAACAAAGATTCAACAAAAGAAATTACTAGTGAATATTTTTAAGGTTTTTTTTTTTTAAATTAATTTATTCTCAATATTGCTATAAACATCACGGTTTTTATTTTATCACGAAAATAACAGACTAAAAAAACTGTTGCGTGTTACATAGCAATTTATAACAATATAAGGGCTGTATTAATATGTACCTTATCAAAATTACTAATTTTAGAAATTCCTTGAATGTCCATTTTAATGTCCATTATTAACATTATTTTTTATATATTTTAATATTACCGGGAGGGTTAAACAAGATCAAACTTTTTATTGCATTCATAAATTATACTGCACTTGGTTTAACAGCTGTATACACGTGTCACGTTGATGTATTTACAAGTTATATTTGCAATTATTTTATTATAATAATTTGGATAATTGAATAATATAGCATGCTATATGATGGTGACACTTATTTGATAATAATTGTAATTATCGCTTGATACTTTTTACTCATAATCCCATCTATGAGCATAATATTAATTTCCTTAATTAGAAAATAGTAATTTTTTCATTAAGTGAAATAATTAATACCAGGGTTTCAAAAGTATTGTAAATTCTTGACATAATCATTCACATCATTCGTTCGAATTTAAATAATATCTTTTTGTTCCTAGATAAATAAATAAATTTGTTTCTTGAGGTGTAAGTTTTGGACAAATAAGATTCAGTTATTTTAAAACAAAAGTTTTATAAAACCCATCTAAGAAATAATAGGTAGATACTTAAATTATTTATCAATAATTATAAAAAGATTATTTTTTTTGACATTTTCATGTCTTTGCTCTGGCACATAACCGAAAAAAGCGTTACCAAAAAAGAAATGGGGTTAAAGATGTGGTTGGGGGTGGGAATTAGCCGGTACATTACTGAAAAAAAGTGTTACGCTGTTACGCGCCACAAGGTACCAAAAATCATTTGTTATGTCAACTACCAAGCGACGACGAAAGACAATTATCGGAAAGACCATTTCGGATCCATTTCAATTGTTAATCTGTTACGCTGTTATCTGATATGAGATAAGAGATATGTTGTACGTTCAACGTTCAAATTAGAACTAAATTATAAATTCAAAATATTTTAATTCTCTATGTTAAGTTACTTTTGGCCAGATAATAAACACTACAATTTTAGCCAGAAACTTGATTGTACATAATTTTTTAATCTCCTTGGCTTATGCTGTAACTGGAAGCTCCAAATTTTTTTTTTTTTTAATTATAATTCCACAACTAATCTAAATTTATTCGGTACTTCAACGAGACATGAAAATGCTCTTTCGTGGTTGCAGACTCGGCTGAAAAACTTTTTTTTATATATTTTGCTGTTGCACAAAAATAGTTGGGATGAAAGCGAAGGGGAAAAAGAAGATTTATTTGCTGTCAAAAAATTATATTTTATTTTAATGAAACTAATAGAAATATATTTTTCTACAGAAAGAATAACATTAATTGTGGGCGCCTAATATAAATATAATAATTATTATACATATTTATAACTAAGACAAATAAATTCTCCACAAGTTGAAATAAAAACTGTATACATTTTTTAAGTACAATATGGTTTAATTTCTTTTTAATGTAATATGTTATGTATTATAGCCTATATGTCTAATATCTTTAACAATAAAGATATTATTTGTATTTCAGAAACATTAAAATGACTGTAATGGAGAACGAGTATTCTGATGGCAATGATACGCCATCAAAGAAGAAACAAAGTCGCAAAGGGAAAACTGCTTTAGCCCATATACTTTTATTAGATGGATCCTATTTAGATGTTCACATTGATGTAATTAAACATATATTTAATTTGATTTAAAATATTTGTAATGTTTAATTACAATTTTATACAATTTTAGAGAAAAGTTAAAGGTCAAGAACTGTTAGAAAAAATATGCGATCAGTTAAATCTCTTAGAACGTGATTATTTTGGGCTATCATATGAAGACAAACGCGATCCTCATAATTGGCTTGAAATGGATAAGCGCATAGGAAAATTCTTAAAAGGTAAGTAACTGATTAATATTAATAGTAATTTTGTGTGACAATCAAATGTGTTATTAATTATTATAGGAGAACCATGGTTGCTAAATTTTGAAATGAAATTCTACCCGCCTGATCCTAATCAACTTCAAGAAGATATCACTCGGTATCAATTATGTTTACAAATAAGAAATGATATCTTGAATGGAAAGTATGTATACTGAAATATACTTAATGTTTGTTATTTTACATTTTTACCATAAATATAATTTTTATTTTCTAGATTGCCTTGTTCTTTTGTTACTCATGCACTTTTGGGATCATATTTAGTGCAGTCTGAATTAGGAGATTTTGATATTGAAGAACATAAAAATAACACAGATTATTTAAAGGAGTTCAAATTTGCCCCAAATCAAACTCCAGAACTAGAAGAAAAAGTCATGGAGCTTCATAGGACTCACAAGTAAATAAAACTTGGTTTTTTAAATTAACTTATGAATACTCGCGTGGCATTTACACCACCTTTTTTGATAATAAGATGTCACGTTTATAAATATATGAATTTAGCTTGGTGGGACTGTCTGATATTAAGTGTATTTTCGTGGAGATACCAAAGCAAATGGTTTGCTGTAATCGTTTTGGTGATTGTTTTAATATCAAAACTTTTTACTGTTTAATAAAATGTTTGCTTCTATCAATAAACAGATACCTATGATAATCAAAAATAATTTTAGCGGTGACCAAACAATCCTTATCAATCTCAACATTATCAGCAGTAATCATGTTTGCTTTCGGTACCACCGTGAAAATACGCTTATAAAATATAGTTACAAAAAAATTACTGCAAAATTTTTCTATACAAGATTCTAAGTGATAAAAATGCTACCACGCGAGCTATGGTGTAAATTTCAAACATGCTAGCTCTCAAAGGTAAAATATAAATATTTTTTAAATTTATTTTTAACTTTATTTGTATAGGGGTCAAACACCAGCTGAAGCCGAATTAAATTATCTAAATAATGCAAAAAAGTTAGCAATGTATGGTGTTGACTTACATCCCGCCAAAGACTCTGAAGGTGTTGATATTATGTTAGGAGTATGCTCGTCGGGTCTATTAGTTCACAGAGATCGGTTACGCATTAATCGATTCGCTTGGCCTAAAATTCTAAAAATATCTTACAAACGTAATCATTTTTATATAAAAATCCGTCCGGGTGAATTTGAACAACAAGAAGCCACTGTTGGCTTCAAGTTACCAAATCATCGACTCGCTAAGAAACTGTGGAAGACGTGCGTTGAACATCACACATTCTTTAGGTAATTTGCATAAGTAATTATTGTTTGAACAAAATTTAAATAACTATTCAACAAATTGTTTAAAAATAGGTTGATGACACCTGAACCTACACAGAAACTTGGAGTTTTTCCACGTTTGGGATCCAGATTCCGTTATTCAGGCCGTACTCATTATGAGACTAAAAAAACTCCCATTGACAGACCTGCTCCAAAGTTTCAACGGAGTTTAAGTGGAAGGGCTTTAACATCTAGAAGCATGGATAGTAAGTAATATTAGTACAATGAAAAAAAGATCCCAGTACAGTAGTGTCAGGACATAGTGATTTAGGAGACATCAAAAGTCTTTAAGAGTTATTATAATTAATAGTAATACAAAAATAAAAACTAATGCAAATTGTGTTTATAATAGTGCTATTTGATTTTTTAAGTTTTCCTAGATAAAAAATCGTAACTTTTTTAATTTTTCAAAGTTTTAAAACTTTCTCTATAGTAAACATTTTAAACCCTTTTGTATGAAAGGGATAATGATATATAAACGGTTTTCGACAGAAGTGCTATATCTAAAGAACACTCAAAATCTAAGGAAGTTTTTTGACTATTTTTTAAAAAGTTATGGTCTACTGAATGTTTAGGTTGACAAATTGGTACATGTTTTATGTTTGTTCCTCTATTTCAAGTCTAATTCAAGGGTAATTTTATTTTTAGCCTTGTAAAGTACTTTTTGGGTTTGTTTTATTTTAAAGAATTGCTACATGAGAAACTGGTTTTTCGTGATTTAAAAATATATTGTTGATCTAGACACGAGGTTAAAAAACACTGTAGAAACAATACCTTTTCCTTTTAGCTTCACATTAAAGCTAAAAGTGATTTTAACAACTTTAAATCTCATCATGCTTTTTTATAAAATTTCAGCTTTAGGCGGTACTAGGCATTTGGGAGAAGATTTCGGTTTAGAACCTGAAGCTAAACGCCATACAATGTCTCGCATATTACCATCTAGCGAGAGCAATATTGGCAAAAATAAAAAACCAAACAAAAACGACAAGTCTAATGTAAGTTTTGGTTTTTTTTAAATAGATCGAGTACAAGCTTCACTTGTGTGGAGTACAAAATAATAGTTCACATGTTTTTAAAGAAAAAAAATCCTTTGAAGTTTTGTATACTTTTATACACTACATTATATATATCACTTAATTGCACATTTTGGGCACTTGTGTATAGCATAAAGAAATGGCAAGCGTTAGTTCTCGTGACAGCTCCATAACTGAGGAGGGAAATTATGAGATTGAAAGGAGCAGCTCTGAAACTCGTAAGCCAAAGGTACAATGGCTATTAAAGATATTTGCACTAATATTTTTTTTTTAAGTTGACCTTTAAATAACTATTTTTTTTTTTTTTTAATAAAGGTCGACTTTTGCACTCATTTTTAATAATACATATTAATGGACTAATACATATACTTATATATGGTTTATTTATGTACCACTAGGCAAAGTTTAATAGTTTATTTCACTGCGCCGCAATTTATAAAATAATTTTTTTAAATTTATAAGTGCATCAGTTTAAGTTTTTCAATTTTGATATAGGCATTTAAACATGGCATGTTAATACATTTTAGTACTAAGCTAAAAATCAATGCACAGCTGGCTAAATAGAAAATGTTTTTAGTTTGTTTAAATTAAAATGTATTAAAGATTCTAAAATAATATATGGTTTGAATCTGTTTGGTATTTTAATAGTATACGGGTGATTCACCAAATTACCATAGACCTTTATACTACTGGACAGGGCTTGACAACCATTTTACACTTTATAAAGTTAAAATCAAAAAAATATAAGGGAAAAAAATGTGTATATATTATCAGTTTTTTTTTTATTAGGAAAAGATTTTCGAATAACAAGTTTTGAATATTTTTTGTGTTATCAACAATTTTCTACTTTTTACCTAATTAATATTCCCTGCTTTTTATATTTGGAGAAACTTTCATACATTAACTAATTATTCTACACTATGTTTTGGCGAGTCATATTTTTAGTTTAATATTCTTGTTTCTAATATTGATTAATTACTAAACATTTAAAGATATGATTAGCCTCTTGCTAATTTATAATAAATAATTAAATCAGTTTTGCAAGGGTGTGTCATTTGTACAAAAATTAATTAAAGATTTATTGTCCAAGTTAAAAAATAACTTGTTGAATCATCCTGCGTACAATAAATAATTTTGACAAATAGTGTTAATAACTTATAAATGATATCTGTTTTTTAAAAAATAATAATTGTGTAATAATTATTTTTAAAGCCAATCGGAGGAATTGCTGTGTTACCAACTGGATCGTTCAGCTTTATGAAAAGAAGGAAAGACAAATCTGCATCAAATATTACCAAGTAAAAAATATATATTTATATTAGCTTATAATTTCATGTAAAACAGATTTATATATTGTTGATATTTTAGTGGTTTAAATCACGAAGGCGAAGAAGAAAAAGAAAATTTGGAAATGACACCACCTGTTAAAGCTACAAGCTTTGTAGCTAAAGAACGAGAAGCTTTATCGGCAAATGACACTAATACGAGCGTAGATATTTCAGGAATTGATTCACTAGAAAGCTCAAAAGCAGAGTCTACAAGAGAAACTGAAAAATCAAAGCTTAAGGTAATAATATAATGTAGTATTTTATTTGTTATTTATTTTTATTGGTTTTATAATATATATTTGATCAATATTTGTAATTAGATGTTGGCTTTAAGTATAAATTGGCCTGGTCAATTGTAGTTGATCTTTTGTCATTTAGTCCTAAAAGGCTATCATTTTTATAATATTTAATGGTGTTTTCAATGAGAAACATACATATTTTTTGGTCTAAAAACTCTTAATTTCATAATTGTTTTTTTAGTAAATCTTCTTAAATAAATAAATATTTATTTAATTTATGTGGCAAATACTAAAATTATTAAATACCATTTTGTATGAATATTATAGTAATGTTTAAGGGTTTTTTTTTTGTGGATTAATGTTCTATTTAATATTTTGCAAGTCATCATTTTCTCTATTTGGTCAACAACTAGCATAACAATTTCTTATTTACTCGGAACTGGTTTAAACTGCATGAATTTTTATTTTCAGTTGACCATTCTTTTAAATTAGGATTGGAAATAAAATAATTACAGTGTATAAATAATTAGTTAACATTATTCATTTAAAAGATAACTTGACAAAATGTTCCTCGATACAACTTTTTAACTAATTTGACAATATTCCTTTTTGTATTTTAATAGTTCTTTAATCAAAAAACAAAACGGTTAATTTATAATGAGCATGCTATTGTTATTCAATTTTTATATTAGTTGTTGAGAGTATTTTTATTTAAATCCATATATTTTTAGTGTAGACATTGTTTGTTTTTTTTCGTAGAGTCCTGGAGGTATTTTTAGCAGCTTTAGTTTGAAGTCTAAGAAATCTAAAGATAAACTGAAAGCTGCTGATACAAGCATAGATACTAGCGCTGAACCCGAATCACCTAAAGGTCTAGACAAGTTTAAACTAAAGACAAAAAAAGACTCAAAAAAACCAAAAAAAGATTCAAAGTCTAGTCTTAGATCCACCAACAGTACCACATCTAATCTGTCATCAAACGCAACATTTGCTGACCGTTCGATTGCCGAAACTACTGTAAATGTATCTGCTATTTCTACATCACCTAGTTTTACAAAAACGTATGACTACACAGAAGATGAACAAGGTGTTGCAAAAAAACGTAAGCCAGTGGGTGGGTTTACCTACGAAACCAATGTACAAAAATCAAAAGAAGGTTTGAACGAAATCCCAACGTCTCCCAGTAAAAAGGCACAAGGGCTAGCTTTTAATTATGCCCCAGGAGAAGGTAAAAAAGTTGCTGAAACTGCTGCTGAAAAACGTAGACATTTTTTGGAAAAGGCCACTAGTGGTGAAGGTATAAAAACACCAGGAGTTAATTATGTTCAATCGGCCGCTCGAGTAGAAGAAACCACCAAAAAAGATAATGATCTAAAAAAAGAAGCAGATACTGCAAAAGAATTTGGCACCAAGAAAGACATTGAAGAACCAGTAAAAGAATCAAAGAAGTTCAATTTTATTGAAACTAAAAAAGATTTAAAAAAAGAATTGGTTAATAAAAAGGATTTAAAGAAAGAATTGAACAATAAAAAAGATTTAAAGAAAGAATTGGATAATAAAAAAGATTTAAAGAAAGATTTGAACAATAAAAAAGATTCGAAGAAAGAATTGGCCAGTAAAAAAGAATCAAAAAAAGAATTAGGTATTAACAATGAAGAGAAAAAAGATGATATTACCGCTAAAAGTGATCCAGTTGGTGAAATAGAATTTACCAAAACATTGTTAGAAAAAAAAGTTGTCTCAGGAAAAACGGAAACAAAAATTGAAACTCAGAAAAAAAATATTGATTCTAAATCTGGTATCGGTCAGAAAAAATCCAAAGATCATCAAGGTAGTAAAGGTGTCTTAGAGAAAGCTATGGATAAGTTAAGCTCATTAAGCAAGAGCAAGTATGAACCGGATGTGAAAAAAGAAACAGCTGATTTTATTGAAAATGAAAAACAAAGTACAGAAGATGATTCTAAACCATTGGGAAGTGGAAATATTCCGCTTATTGTAAAAACTACAACTAAACAAACTATGATTAAAGACAAAGAAGGTGTTACTCAGAATATTGAAGAAAAAGTAGAAGATCTTAACTCTGGAGAGGTTACAGTATCGACCCAACAAAATAAGGTAAAATAGTAATAATATTAAATTTTTTTCTTTTCATTTTTGCATGGATTTTTGTTTTATGCTTTACGCTTAGGCTGAAAGCTTGGATATTTCGACCGGTAGGCCTCCATATGTAAAAGCAACTGCAGTAACTACTCGTACAGCTACAACACATCAGGATTTGGAAAAAAATTCTAAAACTAGCCAAGTACGTAGAACACAATATGTTTTGTAGTCTCATAAAATTGAGAAGTTAAGGCTTGGTTTTATTTTTTAGTGAAAACTATTTATAAATATTATTAGTTTATAAATTGATCATTTTTAGGTTGAAGAGAAAACAGTAGCCCATACAACGACGACAAGTGGGACTCGCCAAGAACAAAGAACTGTCACGCAAGAAGTTATATCTACATCTACAATCCTTGCCCCTGAATCAAAAAATGAGGTTGGTAATAATATTTGATAATGTTGGTGTGATTCAAATTTTATTGAAAGCTTTACATTTTTTTATTTTGAGAATAATCTTTAAAAGATAGATTGTGTTATTTATTTCATCAGTAACTGTTTTCACAATATTGTGAATTTAAAATATTGTAAAAATTTAATTTTATACTTTTTTTTATCGTGCATGAACAATTTTAATTTAATTTAAATTGTTGCATGAAATTATTTAGTTAAGTAGAGCTTCAAGTACTTCAAGCCTTAGCTCAAATGATTCTGGTACTCCGATCGATATTGAAGGACCTATTGATAATACAAACGGACTTGGGTATTATAATAAAAGTTTTCAGGTATTTTTTATTAGACCAGTACTACTATGAATATTTAAACTAAAGAGAACAAATTTAATAAAAATGGGGTTTTCTGGTATTTTAGAATGAGTATAAGGCCGAAAATGTGACAGCTAACTCGAGCACAGCTGAAGAACGACATAATATAAATATTACATCTGATGACAAGTCGTACACTTTATCGGGCGAGATAGTATCGTCACAAGCGATTTCAAGCAAAACGCGAACTGTTGAAACAGTAACTGTAAGTGAATTGGATTATATGATAAAATTTTGAGGCATTATTTCTATTTTTTCTTTTTAGTATAAAACAGAAAAAGATGGTGTTGTTGAAACAAGAGTGGAGCAAAAAATAACTATACAGAGTGATGGTGATCCAATAGATCACGACAAAGCATTAGCTGATGCTATACAAGAAGCTACTGCTATGAATCCTGATATGACTGTGGAAAAAATTGAAATACAACAACAACAGCAATAATATTTGACAAATATTCAACTACCTTTCTTTAAAACAAATTAAAATTCCTACCAAATATTTCTTAGATAAATCGAAAAAACCAAACATTCCATTTATACTATTAAAGCTTTTCTTTTTATTGTTATAAATTAAAAGTTGCTATTACTTTAATAATTATAATTTTGTTTTAATGGAACATTGTCCCATATGTTAAGGACAAATCAATTTTATTTTATTGTTTTTATTTGTTTACTGTATTACTATTTTTTTTTTATAGTAATAATAACTATAAAATTACTATAGTATACTTCTATATTGATTCCATCCAAATGTTGTATGTAAGTTATATTTTACATATATAATAATAATAACAATAAGAAGATTATTAAAAAATAAAGATAATTTATATGTTGTTACAAAACTAAATTCTATTAGATAATATTATTTACTATTAATAATAAATTATTACCAAAATGTTATGTATAAATTAAAAAAAATATAATTATTAAACATTTTCGTGTAAATGTAAAAGATTAATTAATGTTGTTCTGTTCGACTCTGATTAAGAGTACAACAACTTAAGTACTGTCCTTCTGATATCAATCTAAACTATAGCGCTTTTTTAGTTCCTTGTGAAACCAATTATGTGTGAAAGATCTTTTAAACCCTTATAAAAAAATAAAATTGAAACTCGTTATTTTGTAACCATTTTCTCTAATAATATTATGTAAAAAGTATTAGAAAGCATTCCTTATCGGTAAAAAATTTGACCAATTATTAAAAATAAAATATTTTTATACTTTGAATATAATTTTAAAGCATTAGTAAAATTTGTTTTTTTTTTACATTTAAAATTAAATCTTATTATTATTATTATTTATTATTATTAAGATAACTATTTTGAACCACCTTTTTTAAGATTAATGTAAATATGTTATTTCCAAATAACACTATTAAAATCAATGATTTATTGTGCAGCTGATGATTCATGTAGTTACACTATATATTATTATGTTACAATATTATTATCACTTTTTTATTTAATTTGTAAAGCATAATATAATTATATTTATTTTTTTGTTAATTAAATTAATGGTATTTTGTCCGTCTAAAGTCTGTGCTATGGAAAGAGAAATTATAAATGGCATCTTTGTGTTTACCAGCATGTTTATGTAATGTGGGTCATAAATTCGTAAGTGTTGGGTATAAAATATTGTTTTTGATTTTGTTACAACTTGTGTAAGTTCAACATGTTAATAGTTCATAATATGGTTGTTATTTTATCATATCATTAATGTCAATTTTTATTTTTTTAATATGTGCATAATTTTTTTTTATTAACAATTATTTCACTTTTATTTTATACTTTTTCATTTTGAATACAAACCTTTGTTTAATTTATTATTGTAACTGTATAGTTAAACAATTTTCAAATAATTACATTCAAGTATACTAGATTCAATAGCTTAATGAATTTAATTACCATGTGATATATTGTTTTCTATTAAAAATGTTTATTTCAAGAGACGAATATTAAGCAATTTAAAAATGCTCTAAAACGTATAATATAAGATTTTATAAAAAAAAAAAATACTAAATTCAGAGGACGTCACACTACCAATATATTAAGGAGTAAAGTATAGGAATTTTTTTTTTTTTATTTGTAGCTTAAATTATAGTGTATATAATGTTTTAATGAAGTTATGATAATTTTTTATTGGTTATTTTTTTGTCAAGCTATTATAGTAATTTTTATAGGATAAATTACAATATTGTTTCATTAAAACTGCTTTGCGCTGGAAAAACTTTAGCAGTTATTTGCTAAATTTTATAATACATAGAAGAAAACTTTATCTGTGTCATATCATTTTTATATTAATACTCACTAATTGAAAAAAAATGTACTTATATATAAAAAATTTGAATAATGTTTACGCTAACAAAAAAACTTAAAACGCTTCGTCTCGAGTAAAGTTCTTTTCTGTGTATTGTAAAAGTTTGTTGTACAATCTGAGAAATATTGTTCCCCACTTGACGAGTCTTACAACTGAAATACTGGTGTTGTGGCTTCCTCTTAATAAGATAACAAATCTTTATCTATAAATATAATATTATCTTGTTTCTTAAGATAGAATATATTATGTTTGATATAAACCACCTAATACAAATAATTTATTATTATTTACATTGTGTTTTGTTATTTGCAGCTTCAATGGTAAACGGAGAAGGTTTTGGTTTGCAATGATGTGTTTATAATTTTTTTGTGTGTGTATCCATATTTTTTCTGACTTCCAAATTTATTTTTCAGATAGCATGTTTATAGATGACAAATCTTACTTATAAAAGTAAAATAAAAAATTACCATTTCTCCTTTAAATTCTATAAAAAAAACACCCCTAGTGTACACATTTTACATTGTAACCCGTTACCTACCCGACCCCACTGTAATGGCTTTTTTTCATAGTGTACCTTAGTCTCAATATATCTATTGTGCTGTATGCAAACTTTATTAAGCTTTAAGGTAATAAAGAAACAACCCTAATGACTGACCAGACCCATACCTGCATGATCAGTATTGTGTGTGGTGGGAACGGCAATGTCTTTACAGTGTTGCAGAAATCGAATACAATACCTCCAAAACTTTACACCATTGTGCCACATACGTCGACATAAATTAAAACAATAACTAAACTAATAAAAAATAAACATGTTTTATCGGATGAGTAAATATTTATTTGTCTATATAAAACATAATATACATAAATTGTTAAATGTATCAACACAAAATTTCAATAGTATATTCGCATAAATAACCACAAGACAAAAGACACTAGTTTTATTTCTAAAGCGCTATTAAATGTTGAATTTTTTTATTATATCTTGATTGAAAAAATAATAAAAATTGTGCAACATTATAATATAATAGTATTTTTTTTTTAGCTTATACCGAAAAAGTATAACAGCTCAACAGTTATTAAAATTAATTAACATGATAGTATATTAAACTTATTTTATACCAATTAGTATAATTATTTATCACAAAGGTAAAAACAATTCAGAAAAAATTGTCATATTTGTACATCCAACATTTTTGTTTGCATTGAGAGAAGTAATAGGATTTATTTTACATTTGTTTATTTATTATTCATGCAATCTATAATACATCCAATTAATAAAAAACATAGAAAGGCATAGCAACGATTATGAGAAGGTGTTATAGTTTATTCTCTAAGAATATATTGACGATAAAATAGTTAACAATAACATGAAGAAGGTTCAGTAACAGTACTTCCGTTGTTACATCGTACAACATTGCTATCATCAATTTTTTCCCATAAACTTGGGGTGTTTATTATCTAAAAATCATACAATTTTATATAATTTTTGGTATATATTACAGAAACACAATTGTTTCAAGTACAATCAAGAGTAATGCGCTAAATAACTTGGTAAAAAAAACCCTATTTAAATACATTTTTGTAGTGTCAGATTATTTAATTTTGTATAGAGCTATCTTAACATTAGTAGGGCAAATAGGCGAGGGGCTAGAGGGTTCAGTCCTCTAAGAAATCTAGTGTATATTGTATAGTTTCTATATATAATCAAGTAGGTATTAAAAAAGTATAACATATTAAAATTGCACATGCATTTTACCACCAATACATATAGTAAAAATAGATCAACAAATATAATTAACTTACTTTCCTCACCAACTCTTCAAATGCCATATGAACACCTTCTTTAGTTTTGGCACTAGTTTCAATAAACAATGTTTGATGTCGTTTAGCAAATGCGATACCTTCATCTCGGGTCACTTGTCTTTCCTAAAATGCCATACATCATACTATAATAATAAAATTATGAATTTTATACTGGCAACAGGGCATAAATTGTTTTGATGACTTTTTAACACAATTTTTGATATAAATGAAAAATTATTTATGGTGTTTAGAACATCAAATATTTGCTTGAGGTCAGAAACCTCTTTTTGTTTGAAAACTATGAAAGTATATATTTTGTCTTGTAACTATCAAAAAGTTAAATAGTACCTAAGTACAATATTTTATTAAATATAAAAATAACCTGGTCGATTTTATTTCCAACAACCATTTTAATGATATTGGGTTTAGTTGAATATTTATTTAGCTCATTGATCCAATTTTCTAAACAAGTAAAAGAGTCCCTATTTGATACATCGTAAACTAGTACAGCTCCTTGGCCATCACGATAGTAATTTGGTGTCAACGTACGAAACCTTTCTTGTCCAGCTGTGTCCTTTAACAACCAAACGGTAATAATAATATTTTTTAAATGTGGATATTCTCTCACTCAAAGCAAGACTCTCACTATGGAAGCTTACCCATAGAGCCAATTTAATATTGTTATTATCAACTGTAATTTTTTTCATTTTAAAATCAACACCAATTGTAACCGCATTGTCTACATTAAACATATCATCTGTGAATCTGCATAATAAACTAAAAAAAAAAACCATTAAAGCAGTTATAAAACTTAAAATAACCACATTTAACACACTTTTAAAGAAAGAAATTTATATTGTTTGTTTTTAAAGGAAAGCCAGTTGCTATAGCTGTGTGGGTTAAGACAGTTAATGCGATGTGAATCAGTAGTTAGTATTTTTAAACCAGTTAAGTCCAAACCAAGCACAGTATAAACCAGCATATTAAGAAAAAATTAATGTGAGGTGCAGTGTTTAAAAATTAGCATCAAAACATTTATTTAAAAGTGATTTTATCTCTTTTATTAATTATATTTCCTATAGATATGTGACCTCTCCATCCCCTGTATGCTTTGATTTCATTATGCCTCGACCTTACTGTACCAGTCCTTTCGGATAAAATCACTTTCAAAGTGTACTTGATCTGGACTTTAATGGTTTGAAAATACTAACTAAGCGTTTATTCGAAAGTGATTTTATCACTTTCAGTTGTAATAATTCCTGTAAACCTATGACCTCCACGTCCCCACTATGCCCCAACCCCACTGTACTGGATTTTTAAGATTTAAGGTGTTAATGTTTAAATATACAAAATCTACAAAAAACACAGTTTTCTGGCAATTAAAGAAAAATTGTTGACCCAAATTTTTTCTCCGTTAACATGGATACATATGAGTTCTAACTCCTGACCAATTTTCAACTTAAAGGTCTTAACATTACATTTGGGGAATGGAAAATTGGCATAATTTAAATTTGAGACTATTGACGTGTAGGGGGCATATCAAATAAATGTCACTTATAAACTTCAACTCGAGCCGACTTTTTCTCGAAATTATAGGCAGTAAAATTCCAAACTATAAAACTCGTATGGTTTTGTTTTTGTTTTTTCAAATTTTTATTCAAATTTTAACTCTGAAGAAGTAAACGTTTTCAAATTTTTCTCCTCCCCCTCCCTAAATACCAACTAGGTGAAACTTTTTATTTATAGAGTTGTTACTCGAAGGAATTGGTCCAGTATTAAAAAAGTAACAGTGTATACAGACACAAAAAAAGCCCAAATCATTGTAAAACCAATAGCATTACTGCTCCGCATCAAAGCTAAAATGTAAAGTAAAACTTTTTTTTATTTTATTTTCCATATGGTTTTTCTGATTGAGATAAAGCTTTATCAGTAGGCCTAGTTCAATTTTCTCAGAGAAGGATGGGGTAGTTTCTCTCTCTCTCTCTGGTCTGTCTAGAGAGAGAGAGAAAGAACGTATATGACTAGTAATGTCAACCAGTAGTAAGAAATACTAACACATTGCTGTCTTACATGCTCAGCCACTCGTATTCCTTTAAAATTCAACTAAACACACACAACTTACCAAGATTTACCAACTCCACTTTGACCAATTAACAAAATTTTCAATGTTGTTAAAACTGAAGGATCCATTTTTTCTGATTTTCTCTAAAAAAAAAAAAGGAGTAAATGTTAAGTTAAATGTACTATTGGTCTAAGATTGGTTTAAAAGTCCAAAACAAAGAATTACATCATACATAATATGTAATCATTAAATAATTTTTAGTTTTTACATTATATAGTATAAATTTTATAAATTAAACATTTCTCTTGTTATTTTTCATTTTGTATTTCATACTTTAATTATGTAAAATTAAGATATAATGACGGCAATTTTAGAACTCAATAAAATATTATCTTAGAAAATTCCTACTAATTTGTATAGACACAGTAATAATATAAATTTTTTGATTTCAGTATTATTTATTTTTTCTGATAAAATTAAAAATGATTACAAATTAAGTGATTGTTCCGATTACAGCTTGATGAATAACAACTTAATGAATGAGTAAGAATATTATCAAAAAAGAATACAAATATTAGGGGTGGGACAATATCAGCCGATATTACTGGTATCGGTTTTTTTTTTGGAAACTGATACCAAAAAAATAATAATTATTAGTAGGTTATAAGTTATATAGGTTTTATCGGGTATCGGTTTGGGATATTGGTTTTGTTTTAATATCGATTCATGGTTATTGCAAAATAATTTGATTTTTTATTGTATCGGTTTTATATCAGAATCGGGTATCGATAAAACGTCGTATCGGCCCATCCCTAAAAAATATATACATAGTACATACAAGAAAAATGTACCTATATAAATGAATTTGTATTAGTACACACATATATAGCAGTACAAAACTTTGTAATTTAAAAAACAAAGGAATAATTATAAATAATACAAATTATTTATAATCAAAGTTTATCAGTATAAGTTATTTATTGTTGTAATGATTAATTGACAAGTAAAAAACATTTTATTAATGGTACTAATAATATGTCATACAAAATGACACTTGTACCTGTTAAGTTAATAAATAAAAGTATGCAGTCATTTTAATAATGTATTACCTTGAAAATAAATAGATAACTGATGTCAGAACTGGACACTGGCAATTTTAATTTAATATTATGTATATCTATAAATTTTGAAACGAATAAACAGTATACTATTGTATTTTGAAATAATTCGCAAACAGCAGCCAATTACATAAATGATAAAGTTATGTTTTAATTAACTTCTGTAAACCAATGTATGCGTCTACACCAAATAATTTTGTTATACAGATATTATAAAAATTAAAAAACAGCTTAGTGCTTACACATAATTTATAAACATTAGATGTGTCCTATGTCATGTTGATACTTGATAACTACGGCAAAAAGGTAGGGACACAGAATAGATTTAATCTATTCTGTAGTAGGGGAATTTGTAGATAATTTTTATTATCAAAAACCACAACATTATGTTTATCAACTCAATTGCGATTTGCGAATTGTGATTCAGTATTTACATTACTATGTATTATATCTAGTCTTAATTTCTATTTTAAATATTAAAATATATTTGTAATAGGTAATTTTTATTTGAATATTATAAAAACGCATTCATTTTAAAGAATTATAAGACGTTATCAAGATGTTACCTTTTAAAAAAGGTAGTTTTCGCATTGGAGAAGCAGAATTAAAATGCCAAAAAGCGAATTGTGATTATTACGGAAATCCACAATGGGATGGATTTTGTTCGAAATGTTTCAAAGATATGCAAAAACAAAAACGAATGAATGCTTCTCCAAAGTATGTACACATTAGAAGAAAATATACAAAGACATCAGTTCCCACCTTATTTTCTGAACAATTTAGTTTTGAGAGCAAATAATATGTACCTTTACAAATGGGGTTTAACACTCTTTAGAAAAAATATAAATGTGTTACAATACATAGGATATGATAACATTCCATTTGTACAAGTAATATTGTATTTAATTTTACAGGAAAGTAACTCCCAACAAGACGGTACATTTAAACTCCAAACAAGATTTTAAGAAAACTTCTTTAATTGAAAAAAAACCTAAACTTTCTTATTTGAAAATGTTCAATACTATTAAATCAAAAGGTTTGTACAGTTTTTATTATAATTCAAAAATATATTATCTGATACAGTTTTAATTATGATTTTATATATAAAAAACTATTTTATAATTTTGATTTATATTTAAACACACTTTAATTGATTGAACATATTATGTTAAATTTGACTAACCAATTTTTTTAATAGACGATATTTCTGAGAAGTTAAAAAAGGATAACGATCCTATTATAACAAAAAAATTGGAACAAGTAGATACAGAATATTTGGAAATACTGTCTGAACCCAAGAGTTTACGTAATGATTTAAAAAAGATGATAGGTAATTTTTGTAATATGATGGTAATGAACCATTTAAAAAGTACTGTTGATATTCAATCTGAAATTACTCAACATTTTTACCAAAGTGTATTGGATATGTTAAATAATAATCATTCGTATGATGGTAATTTTAATTATTAATTTGTTCTAAATTTTATAATTAAAGCTATTTCACAGTTATAACTTAGTTGTATGTTATGTTTTTAGAGTTAAATCATGAAAAAATGGAACAAATATTAGATTACGCTGAAAAATATTCTATGATAAAATTGTATAAATTTTTATTTTGTATGACTTTGGCAGACGAAGAAGAAGATTTAGCAATTCAAAAACGGTATGCACATTCATTTTTACAGTTTTCGAACTTGTCAAATTTGTTAAGGAGTAAAGTGTCAAATTATTTGCACAATTTGCATTGTTCTTTAAAGCTGAGAAAAAAAATTTTAAGTCTAGGCAAATGCTGTGCTTTATTGTATGTATAAGTCTTAACCATGAGTTAACTATGCCTAAAAAAGTGTTGGTATTTTGGTTTTTCACACTAGGTAGTTTTATAATATGTAAATAACACTCCACATCTACACAAGTTTGGAAGTAGTACGGCTATTTATATATATATATATATATATAAAATTATATAATATGAAAACATATCATTGAATAAACAATAACTTTTTTACTTCACATCGGTGTTAATAGATAAATGTATAAACATTTTTAAAAGAAGACTTAATTTGAATATAGAATAATAAAAATATATTTTGTTATAATATTTTATTAAATGATTGTTTTAACAATCAAATAATATTAGTTTTAAATAATTTGATTTTAGAATTCGTCAGCTCAGTTGGGTTAATGCAAAACATCTAGATTGCGATATTGACAAAACTAATGCTCAAATTATTGAATTGGTTTATAAAGCAATTGCAGAGCTATTAGATATGGATTCGGCTACAGCACCACAAGACAAACTAGCATGTGTTGTTCGATGTTGTCGTCATATATATGGTGTTTTACAAGGTGGTGATAACGGAGTCAAGGGGCCAGCGTCTGCTGACGACTTTTTGCCTGTACTCATATTTGTAGTCCTTAAAGCTAATCCTGTTCGGCTTAAATCAAATTTACACTATGTAACTAGATTTTGTAACGCGTCAAGGTTAATGTCTGGTGAAGCAGGATACTACTTCACTAACTTGGTAATCGATATTATTGTATTAATTTATTAAAAAAAAAAAAAGTATATTTCTTAAAATAAATAAAGTAATTATTTTCTATGAATATTTAAGTTAATAGTAATAATGAAATATCTAAGTATTACTTGTATATTCCCTATCTATGTTCTGTATGAAGAATTTTTAAAAATGTATTTTAGTGTTGTGCTGTATCATTTATTGAAAAGATAAGTGCTGAACTTTTGAGTATGAATACTGAAGAGTTTGAACAGTATATGAATGGAACACTAGTATCTGATACTTGGGATTCTGCATTAATTATATGTGAAGTAAGCTTGGACATTTTAAATAAAAACATTTTTTCTTATAATCTACAGTAGCTTAGGTCATTGGGTTTTTAGAATTATTTGCTAATTGCGTTATTTATAATTAATATCACAAATATTGATTAAATACAGGGAATGCATCAAATGTGTGAGCAGTTAGCATTATTAGAAGACTTAAAAAGGAGAAATATAAGAATCGTCGAAGATACCTTAAAGTTTAAAAAGGAAATGTCTGATTTTAAGGTAACTAAAATTTTAATTAAATTAAGTTAAAACTACCTAATTAATTTAGCAGAAAATATTTTTTTTTTATTTTAACAAATAATTGAATTATATATTATTGTGAGCAATTGCCCAGAAAATTAATGTACATTTTTATTTTACTTTAACTGTAAATGATTATTTATTTTCTTCTTCTTTTTTTTAAATTTAAGTTTTTAGTTTTATCTTCTGTAATTATTTGAAATTTTTTATAATAAAAATGTGTTGAAAAATACCCTGGTCTTCTATTTACTATATAATTATTTAGGTGTTGAAAAATGTGACCGTTACAGCAATAATAAGTAAAGTAGTACATTGTTTACACATTACAATGCACACTACTTAGTTTAATATAATTTCCTTCATTAATTATTATTTATTTCTAAATTCTACATTAAAACTCAAATTTTTTGTATAGGAGAATTTTATGGATCAGTTCGCTGCACTTCGAGAAGTTTATACTATAAGTGAAGATTGCGATCAAGAAAATCTAAAATTGTCAGCTAGTATTTTCGATTTTAATCCTTCATCTTCCAACATTACTGACTGGACCCCCCAAGTATGATTTCTTTCATTTTATTTTTCTTTATCATAAAATGTCAAATACATTTTATTATGTAGGTTGTAGCAGAACGGACACGTACTAGTTCATCGTGTACTGATGCTGATTCTTGGGATATTCACTCTGCCGAAACAGTTTCATTACAGTCATTAGAAACTTGTTCCACTATGTCATTGGAAAATATGGCTTCTTCTGGAAATAATCCTGACCAATCATCAACAAGGTCAAAGGATTGTGAACGGCCACATTTAAATGAAATACAGGTACTCTACAGAGCAACATAATATTATTTATAGTACTTGGCTGAGAGTATCCATTAAATTTGAAGTACGATGGGTACCACATTTAGACTAGCCTATTGGTTTTGGTTAGAACATGACATTCTATTTTTAATATGAATAAAAAGTAAAAGAATTTGATGCTATAACATACAATACACAAAAGTAATTTATTTATTAATAAATAATGAATGTTATTTATAATTTTTTTATAATAATTGTTTGTACGAAAATAAATTTCAAATTATATAAAATAAATAATACTATTTAGTAGAATAAAATTACACCAAAATATAAAACAAAAGCATCAAATTACGGTAAAATCTAACAGATTTTCCTGAAATTATTTGCAAAGCACTATTAAATGTATGTACTATTTAAACTATTTAGTTTAACCATTAAAAATGTAAGCTTCTCAAAACTTCCAGATGTTTTCTGGGATTATCACCTGAGAATTTTAGCAATACAGGCATGCATTTAACTAAAACCATATGTTCAACCAATACGGCAAAAACAGTAAAAACAACCTTAATGTAAAACCTCCAATGCCTTGATTAATTTTATTATAAATATCAAATAGCATATAATCGTTTAATCTTTTAATTTAAATTGTTTAAGAGGACGTTATACTATACTGTATTACTCCTATTTATAAAGGAGTTAATTTAGGCAATTTTTTCCAAAATCTTAATTTAAAACATGAACTGTAACATGTAATATATAATTATTAACTCATTACTTAACTTTTTTTTTTATAGTTAATTTATTTTTCGGACCAACAGCATTCTTGATGGCGATTTTAATAGTTATTTCATATTAAATCATAGTTACGTAGAATGCATTCTACTCGGTCCATCATGAATTCGAAAGCTGATAACATTTTAAAGACAATCCTTTTTTAAATATGTTCATTATTTAACTTAAGACTTGATGTTAAAAAATTTACTTTTTTTTAATATTTAAAACAGTGATAAATTTTTTTTCTAAGAAATATTCTGAAAAAGGATACGTGATTGACTTCAAAATGTTGTTTTGTTTCATTTTCATTCTGAGTGTTTTTTCTCTAAAACCATCATGGTCTGAGTAAAATGCATTCTGCGTAGTCACATTTTTACACCAAAAAATGGGGGGTATAACATTCTCTTAAATAACGACATGTTCATAAGTTTAAAGTAGCTTTGAAGGATATATTCAATTATGTGAAAAGTGTTTATTTTGTTAACTGAAAAAAATTGTATGCTCCAAAGTTATTTTTAACTTAAAAAATGGTATAAATGCCATTGAATTTTCTTTTTTATCTTAACATGCCTTGAAAGCGTTTTGCAGCTTCCACTAAGTCTCTCCAACAATTTCTGTGATCTGTGTCTTCTATTATTGCTGTTTCATCAATCCTTATTAGACCATTCTTTGAACGGTCCATCGAGCGCTGTCTTGATCTCTTTCTAGATGGTTTATTGATTAAAACGTTATTGATCAAATTATGCTTGGCCTGCTATGTATGGAAATTTTGAATGTTTGGTCTGTTGAATAGGCTTCCAATTTCTGAGTTTTTTCTCCGCCCATATTCCCCATTATCTGGGGTTCGTATAGGTCTATAGATTTTTATCAGAATCTTTCTCTGGAACCTCAACAGTTTTCCTTTGGCACCCTTTGTCGTTGACCATGTTTCGCATCCATATATGGCGATAGAACGAAGGTTAGTAGTATAGAGTTTTATTTTGGATTTTTGTGATTTTAATCCGTTACCATCCACTTCCTAATGCAATAACTAGAGCATGAACCTCGCCCCACCTATGCGACCAGGGGGCAAAGTCAATCTGCCCGGACGGACTGACCGGCGGCTGCCAAGTCTGTTTGATTAGGCTTTTATCTCGCCCATGGAAGCACGCTTCGGCCTTTTTCGTCCCACACCCTCTCATGTCACAACAATCTATACTCTGTTCAAAATAAGAAGCGACTTCAGGGGTTACCTGAAAACTGGTATTTTACGTGGCCTTCAGATAGCCGCCAGATTGCTTCCTATTTTGAACCAAGTATACATTTTATTATTTTTTATTATTATTCTCGTGTTAGTGGAGAATGTCTAGTACCATGGACCAAAAGTTGTGTTAATTTATTCATTTTATTATTTTCCTTCTTTTTTTTTTTTAATTTGACTTGCGATCTGTCAAAAAAGTCTCACTGGCCGAAAATCGAACCTCAGTCTCTCGTGTGATATGTGGGGATACTTACCACTATATTACCAAGGTCTACTTTAACATCCTATTCATGGCAAAATAACCTCAATTTGCTGTCGTTATTATGAGATTTATATCATTATGCATATTATTGTTAGCGTTTATATTAACACCCAGGTGTTTAAAGTTATCCATCTGTTATTCAGTTTAGTAATTATAAAATAAACATTTTCATAAAATTATAATAATGTATAGTGTATGCAAACTCTATATAGTACATAATAATAATAGTTTTAATTAATGGGATTTTCCACAATGATAGAATTAAATAAATACTACAAAATCATTAGCTGCATTTTTATGTAATTTAACTGTCTGGTGTAAATATAAATAAGTAAATATAATGTTAAATATTAGAATAGCAATCATTTTAGAATTTAACAGTGTTGTATTTATTATTATTGATGATTATTTACTATGAATTATGTTTTTTTTAACAGGAAATATCCATTCAAGGATGGCAAATACCAAGTATACCATGTGATACAGGTGGTAAAACTGTTATAAATTCAAAAGATAACCAATAATTTTTTATAATAATTAATAATTTGCATTTTTCATTTTATATTATTACTCTGTCACTTAGGTATTTCTTGTAAACAAAATAATTAAATTTAATATATTCGAGAATTTAGATTGAAATTATTGTCATTTTTAGTATTTTAAACTGTACATGTTTTTCTTTTTTGTGTGTATTGTTATTTATTTACATTTTATTATATATTACATTTCTTTTATTATTAAATGATTCTATAAGATACCAAAACATAAGTTCCAAATAAAACACTAATTATTGTTCATGTTTATTAATGTTAATAAATAAAAATATATGTTAATTATGTATATTTTTCTCCTTTAGTTAGAATCTAATTGGATTGTGCATTCAGAATTGATTTGTGTTTCGATTGAGGTCTTAAAACGTGCTATGGATCCAACTTGTTCCACATATTGACAAGGTACTAACTTCATCTATAATATAGAACACAAATTGGTTTTAGTTATACTGTAACAATATTCGCTATCAATAACACAGAACGTAAAACTAATAACTATGTATATATTACATGTTCTCCACTGTTCTAGTGGGTTCTCATTATATTACCAACCTGTAAATCAATTCTCTCCATAAAACGTTTTATTGGTGAATCAAGACATATATTTACAGTGGATGTATATTTTACTGGAACTGCTCTAGGTTCCATCCAAAAAGTCGATTGAAATCTAAATATACATTGTATTCAATTAAACTATACAACTGTTAATAATATATTCAATAATCAGCAATATTTATTATTATTTATATTGATAAAAATTATAATTTATAAAATTGAAAGACGGAAACTACTTTTTTTAATAACTCTTTATGAATCGTACAATATTTGATTTAAAAAATACATACAACATTTTTTTAAAGTATTCTAATTGTCTTACGATGATGCCTGCTGGATACTATGTGGTTTTTTCATGTCTTTTCTGTCCAAAATTCTAGTTTGTTCTTTACTTTTACCAGGATTTCTAAAATAACATAAATAAATTACTGTTTGATACATAGGTAAATCGAGTAAAAAGATATTTGTATACAACTGTTCAATAAAATTTAACTTATATTTTAAAAACTTGAATTATTTCATATGATACAAATGTTGAGGAAGAAATCTACGAACAGCAGAAGTGAATAATTAGTTAATGATCAATACGAGAACGGAATATATCAGATAGAAATAAAATAACAATGGGTCAGATTTTGGTTTTACTAAAAAGTGTAGGCAAGTTTTGAGCTGACCCATAGCCATAAAACATCATATTAAAAACGTGCACCTTTTCAAATGGAAAGGGCTCATGATATTTTTTTAATGTTGTTTACTGTCCATCTGTTGTGCTAATTCAACCTACAGTTTTTGATATGAATTTGCAACTACAATAATCGTTAATACATAAAATATTTAAACAAATTTTTAGTTATTTTTCGAAACTTATAGTAGTTGTGATACTCAAACTACACAACACTACATGGATAAAAATATTATTTTAGTAAAAAATGACGTACCCCTCAATTTACGTGATAATTTTTCAAGATATCCCATAGAATGAGGTATATACGTTTTTTGTATTTCTTTAATGGACAGTAACGAAATTAGCCCCTATAACTTTTAGGCCATACAGAGTGTAACTAACTTTGTCGGGAAATACCTACATTATAATTAGCATTCAATACATCACACCTTTATAAAAAAACAGTAGATATAACATATTTTTGATGAATTTGTTTCTTTCTGAAGAATTTCCAGTTTATATTGTTTTATATCATAAATTAAAGTAGATAATCCAATTTGTAAATACCTGATATTCTTCAAGATTTTGACGTTTGTTGAATGCGATTTAGTCTTATCTAATTTTTAAACAAATAATTTTACTGCGTTATAGACTTCATAAAATACTTTTGCAATTGTTTATTTATTTAGGTACTTAAATTATAATCCGGACTTGGTAAGAATCTCATGACACAACCGCAGTCTCGTATCAAAAATCCGTCCGGTGTAATTTTTTGCTTGTAAATAGTTCTAGCGAATTTAAATGTTTGTTTAAAAATTGTTCTATCCTGTGCGCCGTTTTTTGTAGTTGACAAATTAACTTGCGAAGTCAGCATGTTTTTTTAAACATCTTTTACAATAAAAAGTCCTATAAACAAAGGTAAATTTTCATTAAATATTGGGTGTACGATTTACAAATATTGACTAATAATTGCCTATTTAAAAATAAGACAAAGATACATCTTTTCGATAATGAATTATAATGGATTCGATCGTCAGTCTAATGTAGACACAATAATGTACACGAACTAAATTGGTTAAATACACTTTTAAAGGTTTTATTACGCCTGACTAGTATATTATAGGTATATGTAATATAATTCATTACGGATAACTTACTATTGAAATTGTGGTTGAAACTTTTAACTAAAGACTAATGAATATAAATTGTTTAACTCTGCTAAATTAACTTTGATTTGTCAGATATTTGTATTATAGTAGGTATGTTGCTTGTTGGTATACTGTGTAGACAGTGTATTATTAATCTGCATCGTGTTCGTACATTGGTGTTGTAACTAATAGTGTTCGTGCATGGACACATACTGGCCATAGGTTACAATATATTTTGCTGTAAATAAATGTAGGCATAGAAGTGTGTACCTATGTATAATTTGACACAGGATATTAATGCGTTGGTTTTATTGTGTAAAGCTCTGCGTGAATTGTGAAAAATCACTAGAGCGTAACAAATAAACTCCAATTCACTGTGTGTAGATGTAGCTCGACAAACATATCGGAATTAGAATGTGATGAGTTTATTTGTTGAATAAGAAAAAACTGAATGGATGTAACAGTACAATTTATAACTCAAACCAATTGAAATATTAGCTCAATAATTCAATGCATGTTAGAGTCGTTCAGTTTGTTCAAAATATTCGATTGTACAATTTTAGCTGTGTCTAATTATAGTACCAGACAAATTCATAGACAACTAATGTAACATATAATATACATTATACCTAACCCCCGGTTTAAAAAATTAGCTGTACCTAATAAAAAAATAATAAAAAGTTCAATAATTAAAACTTTAATATGTACTTTAGTATGTGTACAATAATTAATCAAAGCTGGGCAGTTACAATTTTACACAAATCATTAACGTTTTAGATTCTGCATTAGTTTTTAGTTGTTGTACATTAACAACGTAAAAACCCGAACTAAAAAAAACTAGATCATATTTCCTAATTTAAGATGTCTAGATGGCAATATTATATGAAAAATAATTTTAAAAATATATTATCAATCAAATTTTAATTAGATGAATTTCAATGACCAATGTATTACTTTAGGTACTGGATCTTTACATTAAAAGCTAACGAGTTTTTATTAAATTAATAGAACATGATTATTATCAAAATACATTTTGGTCAGTTTAGTGGAAACAGAGTATATTGGGGAATGGGGAGTGGGAGATCACAAGTTTACAGAAATCATTTTAACTGAAAGTGATATTTATAAAATCACTTTTAAATAAACGCTTCGATGCGTAGATTTCCACACATTGACAATAATGTCCTTAAAATGTTGGCTGGCTTGAGTATCATATTCAACTCTCAAAAGCCCAAAAATCTCATTATTCTAAGAATAACGCTCAATACATAGTTTAGAAATAACGACTATTTTAACATTTTTAAATGACTGTAACTTTCCAAAAAATTAATTTAAAAAAAAAAACGCACCGTCTTGCCCTCCGTAATATTGTTTTCTTTTAATTTTATAATGGGTGCTTTTACTCTAAAACCAAAATTAAGCGAGTTATTTTCAGTCTGTTTGAACATGTTTTTACCACTGAAAATCACTGGTGCGACGCCCTCTTAAAGTTTGCCGATAAAAGAGAAATAAGTGTCTACTGTCTACCCATCTACGGGAAGCGGTTTTTGATATTTTTCAATTTTTCAATGTATGTCGATAGTACTTTGAAGCAGTTACTCCGAAGAATATTCTACACAAATTCGAAATGAATGCACAATTGTTTGTATTTTAAATTTAAGTACCTACATGAGTTAGCGCAGTCGACGTATTAATGGCATATTATTATATAATATATTGGTGTGATATATAACCTAGTAGGCCACTAACAGTGGCTAGTAGGTTAGTAATCATAAGTGCCAGTAAACAATTATTAGTTATCGAACTTCAAAATTACATTTTTATTGACATGATACACTTAAAAAAAGGAGACTTCAATGTAACTATAATAGACACCCATTTTGTGAACAAAATAATGAAATTTAGGTCACGGCCTAATTTTTTTGTAGACAACTGGTTTAATAAACCTGTATTCAGCAATGATAACAACAGATGGCCTGTGGTAAAATAATTATAAGCGGTTGATTTTGAAAAAAAAACTTGAATGAAAAATAATATTATGATAAAATATAAAAGTAGTGGAGACCATTTAAACAAATAATACATAATAATATAGTCCTTGCTATAAGCTAGAATAACCTAAATAGATAAAACAAATTTAAATACATTCTAAAAATAAACAAATATTTAATTATGAAGAGCAGAGTAAGATGTACTTTGTGTTCTTGAAAACTAATGTTGAAACGGAAAACATGTTTTTGGACAAATTATTGGAGCATTCGTGGCTGTTGGTTGTTGTAAGTAGTTATTTATTGTTGTGTTATCAATAATTACGATAAGAAACTACATATTAAATAGTAAGTGATAATACATAGTCCCAAGAAAAAGAGAAAATTATTATTTTAAATATTTAAATTTTTGCTATACATTTTTCAATTATTAATTAATATTATATATTGTAAATCATATTATTTTATTATTGTGTTATAAGTGTTCCACCTAGTGAATTTAATTATAATTACGTTTTTTTTCTAAGAAATCTTGCGAAAGCGATTGAGGTCGTTTTTAATATTTCGAAACATAATGCACTTATTTTTCAATGTTGTAAGTAAAAATGTATTAAAAACTAATTATACCTTAATTACTTATTAAATGCTATAGTTATTAAAATTTGAAGTTAGTTTAATTATATTTTCAATTCATCCCAACTGCGAGTAGACATTGATTAGGTTTTGTATAACTTAAATTTTTTTTTCTTACTTGCTTATTAACTAAATAAAGTGATACAAGATAAAATATACAAGTATATTATATTTCTCTAAAACTAACTAAACATAAAAATAAAACCAGGGATAAAACTACCAGGTATTAATGTAATATTTATGAGAGTATTAAAGTTACAACTAACTCAACTACGTTTTTGCTTACACCAATTTTGTACATTTTATTAGGAAAATATTAATAACCTTAATAATACTTCTTAGTTTATATTCAATAGTTTTAAAGATAACAAAACAAATTTCTATAATCCTATACAAAACCTAAACAATTATTTAAAGTAAGTTCTGGAAATGCTAGAAAAAGTTTTCAATTTTAAAATTTCATAACGGCTAAAAGTTAAGGTTTATGAAATTAACATTTTTTTTTCATTTTTAACATCATATACGAAACATCATTTCACCTTCTTAGCTTTGCATCAAAGCTAACAATTTGATGGTAGATAAGCTTGGTAAGGCAGGGGGTAAGCCTGGGTTGTTTACATTAAAGTAAATGCAATTTAAAATTGTTCATTATATTCCTGAGATCCTAATTAATAATGTTATTATTATTTAACTTATTGAATTTATATTTTTAGATGATTTTGTAATAAACATAACATATTATATTGTAATGAAGTTATGAACATCTTAATACAATGGCTGACCATATGGAAAAAGTACCAGTAGTTAAAATAGAAACTCTGGAAGAAAACACTTCTGCTGTTGTACAAAATGAAGAAACAAATGGAAATGGACAACTTAAACAACCGTATTCCAGCACTCCACGGAATAAAAGTCCTGTAACTATACAAGAATGGGTTGATTCGTTACCTACAACTGTTATAGAACCCCAGAAGTATTAATTTTCACATAAATTTGTAAGTCTAATATTATGGATTTCATAACAATGGTTTTCGTTGAACTGTTTTAGGGATGATTTTGACCACGTAGATATTTTTTCAACATACACAAGTTTGGAAGCCGATAATCTTACATTAGGCGCAGAAGGTGACATTTTGAAATTGATTACTTGTCTTATTGATAAAAATTGATTATTAAACAATACATAACAATGTTTTAAAAAAAAGCGGGAGTAAAATATGTAAATAAGTGAAATACAGTGGTAGTTACGATTGCCCAATATTGCTAATTAGTAGCTGACAGATTTTCTCCTGATAATTCCTATACAAATTCTTATTCCTAAACTTGTTTGGTCTGCATTAATTTGGCAACCAATTTTAATTTTAAACATTTAAACCTAAATTCTTACTCAGCACGTAAAATCTTCCAGTCAGATATTTAACATTTGTAAATGTATGTATAGATTACAGAAGTTAAATGTTTGATCAAAAGATTTACTTACTAAAAAAAGAAATATAATTTTAAAATATTGACTTCCTTTTTAATTAAGGGGAACATACAGCTTAAAAAAGGATTTAAAATTTGAGAATTTTTTTCCATTTAAATATTCTATGAATGAATTTTCTTTATTTTGAAGTAATAATAACATTCAACTTTTGAGTGAAAAATTTAAAAAAAGCAATTTTTTTTACTTACAACATTTTTTAGGTAAAGTTTAAAAACCGTTTTTGAATATGAAAAAAATTAGGCATGAATAAGATATATTACGAGGAAAATAGAGTTTTTTTATTGTTCAAAAAAGATTTTCAAACTAGGCTCCTCCTTAAATGTTTGTAAATTGTGTAAATTTATCATTAACTAATTTATTAACTGTTGCTTCTTAGTGTAATTTTCCTAAAAATATAAAAAAAAAATATTTACTTAGCACTTAAAAAAATAGAAACTGAAATTGTCTTCTCTTGGAATTTTTTTTTCTTCAATAAATTAAAATTCAAGTTATTATTTTAGTTTTAAAAATCATTTTTTTTTTGTTTTGTATCTTGTATTAACAAAAAAATAATCATGTACTTAAAATCAAGTCTTTGGGAAGACATAATATACGATTGATCTTTCTATTAATGTTAATATCATCGTCAATTGTGTTTTATTTTCATAGCCGGCTATTTATCTAGAATTACAACGATTCCAATTGTTACTGTTACAACAGAAAGGTAATCTATTAAAAAAATAAAATCATTTGTTTGTATAAAAAAAGTTGTTCATAGCTAATACTGACCTTCTTTTGTAAATATTAATTCTTAGTAACGTAGTTCATGCACCGTCAGAAGCCGATAGCCATACTTCTAGTTTTGATTCAAAATTATTAAACGCTCGTAAACCGGATCCTGAAGATATTTTACTCGGCCTCGGATTTGGTGGTGGAGTCGATTCAACAAATTATGGTGAATATGGGCGTGTACCGCAAAGATTTCTTCAACCATCTCAATTAAAAGGGGTCTCAGTCGAAGATTATATTCGACATCAACAAGAACTTATTTATATGTATGAGTCGGGGTTATGGGGTTATCGTGGATTGACAGGTATGTTGGTTTTTCTACTCACAATATAAATTATAGTATTATCCAAGTTATTTTAAGGAATATTGTAATTATTTTTATATCTTTGGTAGTATCTAGACTATGAAAAGTGTTTAAATCAGGTACATTATGAATATATCAACTCACAGGTGATACAATGAACAGTTATACAATGTAAGTTCATCGAGCTGTTGTATCAAATTTGATGTTTGCTAATTTATAATAGTTAAATATTTTGTATGTGTATTTAGTTTTCATGCATGCTATGAAATGTTGTAGTTTGATGTAAAATGTAGTTACTATTGTTTTGTGAGTTAAAAAAAATGTGTAAAAGATTTCTGCAGAATTATCAATAGTGCCAATATCATGAGCAATGCTTATATTTATATAAATTGCAATAATTTTAAATTTGTATTCTACAAATCCTAACTTACCTAATTAAATGGTACATCATTTTAATTATTTTAAAAATCATAAATTATTTCAATAATTTTGGAAATTATATCTACCTTCAAAGTCCTTTTTCCGCGTAATAATAGATTTAGAGCATTTTAATTTGGTTTGAATTTGTATTATATTTACATAATAATTTATTACGCTTGTTATAATTATTCTTTTTTCTTGTATTGTTTATTTTTTACTTTTTAGTAAATGTGAATCCAATTATTTAAAAGCCAGTTTAAAGCAAACCTGGGTATTTTTTTATTTAAATAAATAATTATTTTAAATTAATTGTTATTTACCAATAAATTTGTATTCCAAATACATTTTTATTTACTATTTCAAATTTTAAATTATTTATTAATAACCTGTTATTTTAATAAAAATGTATTTGACTTTATTATTTCATTTTTGTTTTTATTTTAATAATAATTTCTTTTTTTTTATTCGAATAAAAAATGTTTTAATTCAAATTGAAAATTATTCTAAAAAATGTTTTATTAAAAAGCAAATTTATTTGTATATTTCACTTATTAATTCTATTTAATATACAATTTAAATTTTTTTATAAATACATTTTTATTTTTTTATTATTATTAAATACAAATTGTTTTAATTATACCCTGATTTGGTTTAGAGAATTTGTCAATTTATTTTTTAAATTAATTTAACTGTAAATATTTTTTGTTCAAACATTGAATAATCATTACCTATAATTTTAGGGCCACCTCATGCAAACCCTTCAATAATAGTAGCGAAAATAATGGAAAAACTCAGAGAACACGAACGCGAAGTACTTTCACCAAAAGTATCTCCTAGAGTTATAGTCTCATCGGCAACTAATAACTCTTTGCAAATAGTAGAGAACAATGAAAAACCAATTCCAAATCGTTTTAGTAAAGCAGCTCATAATATTCTAACAAAAATCAGGTATGCATATATATATATATTCGTATTTAAAACTAAATTGTTTAAATTACATGTTGTATGTTTTGTCAAATTAATAATTGTGATGAAAAAAACATTTTAAAAATATATTTGTTAATTTATTTTTTAATTAAATTAAGATACATTAAAATAATAATTGGATATTTATAATTTTAAATTGAAAGAAAATACATTTTTAAGGGTGAAGTTAGTTGAAAATGGAATGAAAAGGATAATAGATTGTGAGTAAGTAATAATAGTAAACTAAAATAAAATAACAGGTGATCAACACAATAACAGGTGTAGATCAGATTAAACCACAGAGATATGCTGATGCTATTATTCTAATTAGAATGTAAGCGGAAGAATGGCCGAGTGGGTTAGGCTGCAGTGTGTGTTAGCGATCAATTTTGCCAGTTCGACACTCGGTAACGGGTGCTCCGTTTACTGGGCGAGCAATCGTCCAGTGAAAAGGAGCCGCCATCCCCCTCTTCGGCGACGAACTGACCACCCATCCCAGACATCCCTTGAAAGGTCCGTTAAGCTTAATGATAAATGATTATTCTAATTATTAGCTAATATAGTCAAAACTTTTAAGCAGTTTATGTTAATCAGCATTTATTCACAACCCATTAAGTTTCTATTAACAGCATTGATCAAGCTAAGTAATCTGACATTGATTGTTGGTCACTGAATTGCTGTCACTTTATTGTTTCACTTTTTAAGTTATGAAATCTGTTATAGTTTAATTATGAAAATAGTTTAGTAAAAATAGTTCTGGAGTTTTCAAAAAGGGGTTAAGTCAAAACTAAGATTTTAAGATAAAAATGTAGCTCTAGTAAGAGAAGTTTTCTTTAACTTTTATGCTTTGATTTGCCTATTATAGCTATAAATGATAGCAAGTATTAAATTAATTAAAAATATATATTTTCATCTTTTTCGAACAACATTGTGAAAGTTTATCTTAAGACACTAAATAATACTTAACTTCATCGTATTATTATTTACGAATGATAAATAGTTTAATTTATACACATGTTTACCGTATAAATTAATTTGTAAATTGTAGTTGCACGGTTGTAATGTTTTTTTATTATCATTACACAGATGTACGCCGGGTAGTGTTTTAACACCTGACAACCGGAAATGGCTCGATAGTCAGGGCGGTGACAAATCACCAGAGATGTCTAGACGATTGATAATTGGACAACAATCCTTTGTATTTACACGGGACGGAGCTCTAATTGAATCGCCTCCTTCAAGTGTGGTCAACGGAAGTGAAAAGTAAGTAAATTAATATAAATCATTATTACTTTAAACATATTCAAGTACCTATTTAAGTGTTATTGTATTGGAAATGTAATATTTTAAATATTTCTTATTTATAATGTTCTAATAATAATATTTAGAAATGTTATTCTTTATAGATTATGTAATATCAATGATATTATGAATGCTTTACTTTATACATTTATTTTATAGATTTAATTATAATAGGATTAGTGCCTGGTGTTATAACAATAGTTTAAAGTTAAACACACCTAAATGTGTTAAAATGTCGTTTTACCGTTCTAAAACAAAATTACATTTTGATTATTTCATTTCTGGTAATCATTGAAGTTAACGAGATCAAAGATATATGGGTCATATTTCAATCTAACCTCATGTTTTCTTCACATATAGAACAATCTTGTGCTAAAGTCTTAAGAAATCTTGGCTTTCTGATTAGGAACTCTAAAGAGTTTAAGCATGACCTATGTCTCAAAATGTTATATGTCGCAACCGTCAGGTCAACTTAAGTATTGTTCCACACTATGGAACCCCTCGCAAGTAGGTTTAATTGAAGCCCTTGAGCGAGTTCAAAGACGATTCTTACGCTATTTTGGATACAAATGACAGCAAATTACTCGATACAGTTCCCCCTCATCTGTTTACACCGCTAAAGTATATTCAGGAGAGCCTTAACCTTGAATGTCTGAACTCCAGACGGTGACTTAATGACATCCAACTTATGACTAAACTTTTAAATGGAACCATATCTTTGTCCTGAGTTACTAGAACAAATTCAATTTCATGACCCTCAATACCTATTTCGTTCTATTCCAACCTTTTCAATAAAAACTCACTGCACCTCTTATGGTTTGTAACAACCCCATTGATCGCGCCTCGCATGAATGCAACAATTTAATAAACTGTGATTTATTTCACTTTAAGTATAAACATGTCCCTTTTTTTTGTGTATAATCAAATATGAATGATAAACATTTATTATTATGTTTTGTACTGGAGCCCTGATGGGTATTAAATAAAAAAATAAATAATATCACTCACCTGAAACTGAGACAATTTAAACTTGAATACTCTGTTAATTTTTTAAAGATTTTCCTGATTTTTTTAAGGGGCAACTGACAAATGAAGGGATTTTTCAACTATGACCCCTATTAATGTCAGCTAGATATAAATTAAAATCTGTAGACAAAGTATGTATGAAGAATTTAGGCTAAAGTTTGAGATACATAATGTGTATGTCATTTAAAGTACAGTTAAAAAAATATGTGTAAATTGGCCACTGGCTCCCTAGAAACAAAAATAATTGTTTATTTTGTTAACGGAACAAATTGTAAGATTCAATTTTAGATTATTTAAACTAAAATTACAATATTCAATATCGTGTTTCAGCTATTCAGGTATGGCCAACAAAAAAGATTCCGTTGAACAAATTTGTTCAGTGAAAAATAAAAGTTCAATTCAATCGGATGACGAATCCCAAATCATGTTCAGAGTGGGCTCATCGTCTACAATGAGTACAGACGTACAACAATTAGATATAAACAAAAATAAACCAGATACAATGCATTCGGATTCTGGCAAAATATATGACAAGGAATATAGTCCTGAAAGAGACTTAGAAGATTTATTGTCAATAGTTGAACCTTGTCAAGACGTTAGTAAAGCGAGCTCAGAAGTCGATTCGGGCGCGGCCTCGGAAAGTGCCGATACGTCATGTACCCAAAATATTATTGCCTTTACCGATTGCGAAATAATGAATAGTGAAAACATTACGTTGGTTCCATCGAAGGCAAGTCAAAATTGTTTGTTACTTCAGCTGATGTCATGATAATATTGTGTTACTTAATTGAATTTCAGAACTATTACCAGGGGTAAAAAATTAATTTTTGATTTATTAAAAAAAAAAAAAAAACAATATAGGTGTATTTTGTAAAAATTAATATACTCTTATAAATTAAAATTGTACTTGATTTTTGTTACAGATTTTATTAAAACAATATGAAGATTTATGTAATTTAAGAGCTAGATTAAATGTAAGCTAACATACATTTTTTCTTTTAATTTTAACTTTTATACAACTGACATTACACTTTTAATTTTAGGTACTTGGTTGTCCTTTCAATATTGTGCCAGAAGAACAGTTTATATCACTTTCGGTCGAACAGGTAATATACAATTTTTACTATAAAATGTGATGATGTAGATTTGTAATTCAAAATGTGTTTAGGTTTTAATTATTAACATAATAAAATAATTAGTATGACTGAGATTGCAAAAAAATAATATATATATATATTTTTTTTTTCCCTTAGAGGTGTGCACTGCAGTGTAAAATATTGCGATTGGCTCTTCGTGTCTATTTAAACCAACTCACCGACGATGAAGTGCATCAGGAACTAAAAAGTTGTTTAGGTAAAGAAGTTCAACATGTTGCTGATTTGCTAGATTCAAATTCTGATGTTGATAAACTGGCAATTATTGTTCGTCAGGTAACAATTTTTTAAAATCATTTTTTTAGAACAAAAAATGTCTGTTATTGTAAAAGTTGAAAAGTCCTGTTTTAATTTTGAAAGATTTTGTCACCTTACTAAAAATATGTAATTTTCAGTAATAATTTCAATACTGAAAAATAAATATATTTTAATAACACCATAGAAAACCTGGACACTTTTTATTTAAACAATAAGTAACTAATAATAATTTGAAAATAATGAGTTATTTAAAGTAAATTTTTTATAGAGCATCAAATCATTTTTTATTTGCAATACATTTTTATTTACTGAAATCAAACCTAAGTATATAAGTACAAACTCAAATAGTAAACAAATTTTTATTTTTATTTGAACAATTAAAAATAGCAAATAAAGAACTATTTAAAACACTTTACATTTTTACTCTTAAATATTTCTTATTTAGATACAAATTTATTTACTGCAATAACTCATTATTTTAAAATAATTATTTGTTATTTGTTTATTTAAATAAAAAACGTTGGAAGTTTGTTTGAAATAATAAATTATTATAAGTTATTTATTACGCCACAGATTTTAACACCTTATGCAGTACTTAAGTTTCAGGTTTAATAACTATAACTGTTGTGAACCGTTAGAGAGTTCATAATTATTTTTGATAGAATAAGAGATGAAAAATAATAAAGTAATAAATTAGTTCAATTAGGTATATGTTATTTTGAGTGAATATTAAAATTGATTATTGGATATTATGTTTGCCATAATATTATAATGATTATACATATTTCAGATGACTGTATTGCTTCATCATCAAACTCATTTGAACACTCAGTTAGCCGAATTGACTGCTAGAGCTCAAAATCCACTGGCGTGCCATGACATGTGTGAAATTATACTGCAAAGAGTTAGAGGTCTTGAACAACTCGTAGAACAGAATGCAAGTGACTTGGCAGTAATGAAAGCTCAGTTATTGAATAAAAAGTAAATGTGATTCATATATAATTTATTTATTCCTAAAATATGTTTAATATACTTAGTGCTAATTGAACAATATAACAATTATGTTATGATTATAGACAATACTTTTTTGATTTACAAATTTGCCTTGAATAACAAAAATATTATAATAATTAGCCATTAAAAGAAATTATGATATTTATTATTTATTTACAATAAGACTACATCCATTAGTGAGTCAACTTAAATCTAAAAAATTAGATAATGTATGTTTTGTTAGCTAATTCAATTTTTTTTAAATGTGATATTAACATATATGTATAAACATTAAACTTATAAATTATAATATATTTGTTAGATTGTTTACTAATTTTTACTATACTATTTCTTTGTACTGTGTTACCATTATATTATTGTTACAAATTATAATATTTTATGATTGTAGTTGCATTTAAAAAAAATGTATTTATCTTATTATGACTAAACTTTTAGATATTGATTTGTATTTGTACATAATTCCTGTTTAGTACTTTGAGCTAATTAAAAATTATTAGATAGAATTTCTCAATTATAATTTCTTTTAAAATAAAAATAGATTTTCATATTTTTGATGTATTATTATTATTTTTTATTTTAATTGATATATCAATTAAATTGATTAATTGTTTACCTATAATATAGGTTGCAATAAAATTATATCCAACACAATTTTATATTTACATCACTGATTTTAATATTTTTGTTATTTAGCTAGTTGAGCACTATGATTGGTGTTTTGAAGGCTAAGCACATTCGATGTTCTTGCCGTTCAATTCAGTTGAAATTAGGCATACTTACGTTTTTTAAAATAAAATAAAATTGAGGGAAAGGCCAAAATATAAAAAAAGTTAAAATTTGATTGATCCACTCTAATGAATATTTAAACACTATTAAAATCTATGCTTTCGATAGATGTTCACGTAAATGCAGTATTAATTTTCGAATTCATTAGATATACAAATATAATTTATTATAAACGCTGAATTGTTACTAGTGCTTTTACACTACATAATTTATTATTGTATTATCTGAATTGTTTGTACGGTTTGAATCGTTTTTTATTATAATTAGTTAAGAACTTCATCTAGCCGTAATTATTAATTACGGTTCGCAAACCTAATAGTTTCACACGATTTTCATCCAATTTGTTTTATTAAATGTGTGTTCTGTGGTTACCTAGTTAAAATGTGTAATATACTCTAAAATTAGTTAAAAAATACTACACGGGGACGCTTGGACGAAGTGTCCTTATCGTTTAATTTATAATTATTGTCCCTTCACAAAATTGACGACGTTGATACCTAACAATACATAAGGTTTTTTATTGAATGGTAATGAGTTTCTATACTTGCGAGTGATTAAATGAAAAATCATTTTTTTTTACTTAAATATTTATTTCTATGAAAGGTTTACATAGAAACGTTATTTGTAGATGTACATTTTTGTTTACTGAGCTTAATGAACATAAACAAACAACCAGCAACATTGACGTGTACGTGCGTTTATTTTTTACATGATAAAAATCAATAACGTGCATTGTTTGTTGCCAAGAGCGCTAAGACTTCTATGAGGAACTGTATAAAATATTATTATAGAATATGTTCTACAGTGTGTAAACGATTTGTCAACAATTCACGTGTTTACTGAGAGTAGAAACTATTTTTTTTAGATGTGACATAAATTTTTACAATGATTAAATTAGCTTAATTTGTATAGTTTTTTCGATTTGAATATGGCTTACTAGAACTATATATAATAGAAAATAATTATTAAGGTTGTCAAAGTTAACTCTTATTAAAAATTAGTTTATATAGATCGATTACAATTCTAGAACGTTCATTGATGATTTTGTGTTAAATATATTATGTTCATAAACTTCATGATCTATTATCATAAAACTAATTTAATTGTAAAGAATTAAAGATTACTTAAAAACTAACGAGTTTTAAAATTTAGAAAAAAAAACAATAAGACTACGAATAGTACGAATACAAACATATATGAATTGTTGGAAAGAATGAACTAACTGCTTAAAAAGGTAGTACCTACAAATTAGAGTACTATATGCTACACAAAATAGGTAATAGATTGTTTTTTATATCAAACCTAATACATTTTGTTAAATATTCAATAAAATTAAAAAAAAACGATGGTATGAAGTATATAAGGATATACAGATTAGTTTGAGAAGAAAAAAAAGATGCCGTTCAAGGATTACATAGAACAAAAAGTGGACTACAGACTATTTTGGTTAGTTAAATGTATTAACAATGTTTTTCAAATCGGTACGGAAAAGGAAACGATGATTTTGTTGGAAGAACAATTGAATAAGGATGACGGGGTTTTGCGACGGCAGTTCGTTCAGTACTTGGAATGCCCTTCGAGTGTTGAAAATATGTGTAAGAATACATTGTATGTTTATACGTCTACCGTTAAAAAAGTAATTAAAGAAGAAATCGAAGTAGACGAAGAACGTAAGTGCATCTTTAATTAACACTTACCAAACATTTTAGTTGCTAATCTGTTAATTTTAGTTTCGGAGCTTGAAATACAATCGATGAAGGAATTCGATGAGAAACGAGGTAAGAAAAAACATCAAGATAAAAAGAAAAAGAAAAAACATGCTCAAGCAGATGACACTATTGCGAGTGTTGAATCTCCAGCGACCGATTCCGATAAAGATTCTGATGATGGCAAATCTAGGGATGGCTACTCTAGTCCGGACACTGGTAATTATTATTTCTCTTTAAGTTATAATTTTTACCGTCTGAAAATGGGCAGCATACATGGATGAACGCTATGAAGAATTACCATTTACCGACTGTGACAAATCTTTGTATTTCGAGTGACGTAGAATGTAGTAATGTGTGTAATGACTTTTAGTTGATAAGGAGCTGCCAACCCCTTTCCGGTGACGGATTGACGACCCTTCCCTGATAGCGAATTCGTCTAGTACCTATCTCATGATGGCAGAGTTGAACTTTCATGGCCTGTTATGCTCCCATGATGATAAATAAGCACAGTTGAATCAAACGCCGTAATTTTTTTTTAATATGTGTTAAAGCAGTTATTCAATTTGGAAGTGTAAATAGTATAAACATAAGCACAAAAACTAGCTCAGAGGCTCAGACGGCGTTGCATATAGGCAAAAATGATATACTAATGCATTGTGGGGTTTATTTTTACTGGGAAAAATCTTTAAAACATTGTCTATAGTTTTATTTTTTTATACACATTTTTTTTTTTAATTTAATAAATCACAACTATTATTAGCAATCAAATAATACACATGATACATTTTTTACTTATCAATTAACAAATGAATCGATTAATGTGATACTTTTAGCTATACAGATGTCAGTCGGCGATGGAATGAAAAAAAATTCTGAAAAGATGTACAAACGAGTTAAAGTAAGTGCATCTATTTTACACAACGTGTAGGTTTACACGCCAATCATCATTATAATATTGTCGAGTGGTATTCCAATGTGATTTGTGGCTAAATTTAGGTCGTCCAGGAAAAATCCATTACCTTACCAGAGATCCACGTTAATTTCGGTCTCATACCGATCACCACTAAATTAGATATTACATATTTGTACTTCATAAAAAATACCATTTCCGCTATCCCGGTTTACGACGCACCGGAAGAAGCCGACTATTATATGCCAAGCAAGTTTTTAGTTGGAAACAAATCAGGCTCTTTAATACGGTCAATGACCAAAGAACTCGAGACCATTTGGATACCGTCGATCGAGAGACTATTAATCGATCCTTTTTCACATGACTGCTGGACTACTCGCACAGAGCAAAATACAGTTCTGAAGTTAAGATCGAACAGCGTCCCGTCTACATTTGTGAGAATTACTCGTGAGATTAAATCACATCACGACTACGAAATGCGTAATTAATTTTGTGACTTTTTCTAGTTTATTATTTTTTTTCAACGATTTTACCGCCTTACAAATATCTGTTCCGAGGGTCTAAAAGGGCCAACGTTTTTGGCCAAAATGATTTAGGTTCACTACTTATCGTATAGCTTTTCTGGTCGCTTGCACGTGTTCTTAGAAAATTTAAATGTTCGTTTAACAAAAGTTAGTAAATGTGGTATTTGGCCTTTTTAGACCTATAAAACAGAAAGAATAAAATACTTAAAAATAATCTGCACCTCAAAAAAAATACGAGTAATACACTTTGTCATATACTTCCTACGCGTATTTACACTATTTAACAGGAAAAATCGGGGATTAATATTATGTAGGTCAGACAAAACGAAATATCGAGGTTAGGTTCTTTGAACATGTAAGGTATAAACAATTGCACAAATCTCCCTTTCGCGGAATATTTTTATTGGGTACTAAACATAGCAAATACAATCAGTAAAATTATTTAAAAAAGTAAATAATTCCAAAGAACTTAATATTATAGACAATAGAAATGTTAAAAAAAAGTGTTGAAAAATGTTAAACAATTTGATAAACTGGGTCTTAAGACCATTACAAAAAATTTTATTAAAATCCGTAAAATATGTGTTATGACGACAGTCATAACTTCGATATGACGCAGCTGTAAGTATAAAATGAGGTTGTTTGCCCATAATCGGCCAATTACCTTTTAGTCGAAACAAGAGACCCAATCAGCCTGGAACTTCTGACAAAGGGATGGTCATCACAGCCCATCCAACCAAGCAGTACAAAAATGTAATTTAATTTGATCACACTATGTTGGTCGGAAGTATTGTTACAGAAATATGCAAAATAATGCTAGTGCATTATAATTTTTTTTTATGTGATTAAGAGTCTTTAAAATATTTTATTCTTTATTATATATAACCTTTGCTTAAGTCTTTTAGACTATAATACAGATATATACATCAATGACAACTTAAATAGTTATGCCCCGTATAATATAGTTGTAGATGAGCGCCCGGCGGACTTCGAGCAACGATCTAATTTTGTTGATTTAGATAAAGTAATTACGTTCAGTGAATTATTCATGCTACAGCCTTTACCTAATCATAACACCGACGACCCACGTTCATTTGAACCATTGAAACAACATTTTTTAACAGAATTAAGAGATTTATTGAATAAAATTAAATGGTGAGTTTGGATGGTCATCAATTTCAACTTATTACTTTAATAAAAGCATAAAATATTTAAAGACATTTGAGTAGCATACAATTATTTTTAAAATAAAATAATTTTAAGAAGTTAAGTAATTAAAAAAGACGACGGAGAGTTACCGTTTTAAGTTTAGCCTTTTTGATCTATATTGCTAATATAATAATGCGTATGAACGATATTGTGTTAAACATTTTTCTTTCTTTGCGCAAAGGTCATTAAGCTGTATGCTAAAAAAACAATCGTCAAGCGTGACAGAACATTTAGCTGGACTATCTAAAGACAACGTTGATGACGTATCAGTTACACTCGAAAAGACTCCAGCCATGATTTTGCAGTGTGTTGACGTTATGGAAAATTGGAACACTGACATGAGAGGCCTTCTTTCCAATATTTTTGAGGTATTAAAAATCATTGAGTATATTTTATTTAACTCTAAAGGACTAAAATTATACAGTACCTAACACAATAGCTGTTAATTACAATCGAATGGCCCCTAAAGAAACTAAGTAACGTACGACGTTATATAATACGTTTATATTAATTCTATAAACTTTGCAATCGCTTTAAAAAAAAATTTCTTAATTATTAGCATAAAATTATTGTATTAAAAATATATCATATCGAAACAAATGAAATTAGCTAAATGTTATTATTATTATATTTCAATAATAGATTCGAGAACGAGACACTATTCAAGAAGAATTTACATTTTGGAAAGAAAGCGAAGAATCCGTTCGATACATATTGGACGAAATAGAGTCGGAAGATGCAAAATTATTTCTAGAAGTCATTGAAAAAACTTCGAATTCTGTTGAGGCAATTAAAAATACTTGGGAAGCTTTTAAAATTGGAAAATTACAGTTCACTCGAGTCTGTAGTTTAGCAAAAGATAATTTGAAATACATATCGCTTATCATGGAACACTATGAGGTATAATAGAAATCGATTTACTGAGTTGTGATTAGATTTTTTTTTCAAAAGCAGTTCTAGTTTTAAAACATTTAAGATTTAATTGAAGTGTCGAAAATATTTTTTTTTTTAAAGATTTCTACCGAAAGCTAAAGGAAGCTTTTTTTATGGTATTCTTAATAATTGTAATAAGCGATGTCCACTCAGTTTTATTTAACACCACTTAAAACAATTATTAAATGTTCTAAAACAGATTCAGATAGAAAAACCGGGTTCGCTTACGAATACTGTATGATCAAAAACAAGTTTATAAGCGAAGTACCATTTTGGATCGTATTACTTTTAACAAAATATCAAAGTTCCCTTTTTTCCCCATAACTTTTTATAGAATTTAAAATAATGTATTTAATATTTTCTGGTCTGATGTGTACTTAGTTGTATATTTGTATTATGTGATAAAATGAATTTGATTAACGATAATGTTTTTAGGAATTCGCGTCCGCAGATTTTATTACCATTATAGAAATCATTCGCATTTGGTTCGATGATTTGAGGACAATATGGGTGTTATCTCCATACTTTGGAAAAGACATTAATATGTTAAGGTTACTGATTCAAATCGCCAACGGTCTTTGTGAGGTTGTCCGACAGAATTTAGGAGATTTAAAAACAATATTTAAGTAAGACAACATAAATCATACTCGTGTGTGTACATTTCAAAGGCATCAATATACACACGTTTCTAATATAATAATAAATAATATAAACACAATAATTAATATTCATATCCTTAAGTGAATTTCATCTAACGTTTACTTCAAATTCCAATCATGAAGTTTAATTTTTAAAAATCCATCTTTTCTTTTACTGAAACATAATATAATAATACAGGAATAAAGACGTTAAGGAAGTATCGGAAATGTCTTTCAACGCTACTAAAATGATAGATGCCTGGTCAACTGGTTATTTGGAAAGCAGGAAATCAATTGAAGTGTCAGGATTTCACCGTTGGGAATTCGACAAATGTAAATTGTTTAACAAAACTAACTACGTCAAACGCGTTGCAAATGATATTCACGAAATAGTTGGAGTAAGTTTTCATATTTATTCTTTTGTACCTTATCTTATACTAACCTTATTTTCCCACACAATATATCAAATCGTCAGTATTTCTTAATGTAACCCAAATATGACTTTATTATCCGGTCTACTTCTAAATTAAATCTCTCTTGATCGTTTTTATATTTACTTTTTTTTCCTTCTTTCAATATGTATTTTCATATTTTATTTTTATAATTCTACAGTGTTAACTGTACATGTTTCGTAATTTGAACAACAGTTATTTTATTTATCCCGTGTAGTCTCTCCGTTATTTCATACACATAATTTAACACTCATTTACTAATTATATGTCGATCCTTTTGAATTTATAGCAATATTTTAGTGTGAAAATTTATAATTTTTACAACAAATTGGTAATTTCTATTGACTGATAATTTGTGTTTATGTAAACTGTTTAGAAAATTAGTCAGTTCCTTAATATTTTGGGCCCGGAATTGAGATCGGTTATTAAGGATATGATTGGTCTAGATGTTATGATAAATCGAGTGAAATCTCTCTATAAAGTATTTGACTCGATTGATTTTGATTTATTTTGTGAAGACAATGTCGAAAACTGGAATTTATTTCTAAAAGAATTCAACTCAGAAGTATTAAGGGTAGAAGACGAGTGTAAAATATTTATTGATTGGTGTTTCAACAACTTACGGTGAGACATTTATTAGATAGTTAGACCTAATTTTTATATTTTTACTGTTTAATTGTTTTGTACTTTTAGATCGTGTAAAGAGGCGTACACGACTTTAGAGCGTTTTCAAAACTTTTCGACAAGGCCAGTTTTCAAAGAGCAACTCAAACATAAATATGGCGCTATACTTCAGCAATATGAAAATGAATTGACAACAATAGAAGCTTGGTTTTTGGTGAGTTTTACAGAGGTCAGAGTGTACTAATGTAACAAGTTACAAGTTACATATTGTATGAAATTAAATAGCAATTTAAATAAGAGCACATTCACATATTAACACGATTGCTTAAACTTTGGCCTCAATGATTATTTTCGAGGATGTGGATATTAAATGACCTAGACATTTACCAAACAGTTTAAACGAGTTCATGTGTATACTTGCATTTAGACTCAGCAGCAAGCTCCACGAGTATCTCGACATCATCCTCCGGTCTCTGGATCGATATTTTGGGTGCGCATGTTGTTTGATAAAATCAAAGAACCAATTAAAGTGTTTCAAACTGCAAACGAATTCAACTCATCCCAGAAAAATAAAGTAAAATAGATATTTATAATTGAATTTTTGATTCGTGTTTGACTCATAAAAAAGTAGTTTAATGCAAATATTATTACCGCCTATAGGTTTTAGAAATGTACAAAAACATTGTAGAACAGATGAAGTTTTATGAAAAATCTAAACTCAAAACTTGGATAAACGAAGCAAAATATTTGTCTACTCATGAAATAAACAACTGCATACTAACATGTTCAAGTAAAAACAATGATATTTTCACAATTTCACCATATACCTAATATATTAGTTTAATATGTTTAATATGTTGATTGTTGCCACATAGCAAACCGATTTAGTTATTGACTTTAACTATACTGCATTTTTTATCAATACATATTTGCTCTTATTGTGTCCCCGTGTATTGACATTATTGCTCTTACTTCTTTTATCGCACATCAAACTTCTTTAATTTATTTTCTTTATGAAAGACCACCACTCTTAAGCATCCTCTTATTCTTAAACTTAGTCTGTATTTTATTCATTATCGTCACTGTGTACCTATACCACAATATGAAGGGTAACCATGTATGTTTCCCTCTATTTGCTGTGTAGACAATAGCCATACTAGGACATTCGCCATTCAATTCATTTTTGCAGTACTCTTTCCACCTCTATTTTCCCTAACACTAACAGAGTACTTTTCCCCCACATTACACTAAACACTATGAAAACCCTAGGATTTTTCTCCTAAATCTTTGCCAATCTATCAAGTTTTTTCTTCTTCATTGGTTGAATCATAGATCATAGATTCTCATAAAACTCACCATGTTTTCTAAATTTAAAGTCGCTCATTTCATTAAAAATCCAAAGCGTTTCATTTGATGATTGCGGGTCAGACGCAATTTATATTTACTATGCCATTGATTCTTTTTAATATATCATTATTATTTACTTATATTAAATGTTCGGTTTTTTTCTTAATTTAATTTTAAAGTAACACGAGTTAACTAATGAAACATAATAATCATTTTATAAAGCTTTATCGGATGAACATCAAACTGTTATGTGTTATAAGGTCTGCCGAATGTGGAAAATGGAATATGTAAATTAGAAGATTACAAGAATTGGTCTTCTTGGATAAAATTTCTCGGCGGAAAAAATAATATATTGTTAGATAAGCAGTTAATTTTCAAGACTAACTTAAACGTAAAGTTACAGAATTATTTTTATGAAGTTTATAGTATTTATAGGAAGTACTCATTTTTGTAATAACCTGTAATAACTATTACGTACCTTTAATAGGAAAAAATGTATGTGTTAATCGAGGAAGCCGAAATGATGGAAAATCTAGGAGTTGATTTACCTAAAGACGTACGGCTATTGATATCACACAAGAATAATTTTTTGGAAGCCATTAAAAAAGTCAATAACATGGTTGCCATGTACAACGATCTTTTAACGTCGATGAATAGTGCTCAGGTAGATTTACAAATATGTCTATATTTAATATTAATGCAAATCTCCGAGTATAATATAGAAACTGTGTTTTATTGAAAATGATCCAGCGTTCCGTGCTGAAACACAAACTGAAGGGTATCGAAGATTACTTTTACGCGGGTCTTTGTCATTACAAATGGTTTTCTATAAGTATAGAAATATTTACTAATGACGGTATTATTTTAATAAATAAAGTCAAAAATCAATACAATAGACTTCAGATAGTGAGTTCAATGAATACTAATAAATTTGTGTGTAATTAATAAATGTAATACTCGTATGTACATTGTACATACATTATATTAATTGTTTTCAGGTTGAATCGTATATTATGAAATCGATAATATCGTTGGAAGATATAAATTTATTTCCAACGAATATTTTAACCGAGAACAATTTACAAGCCGGAGTGAGTAACGGTTGCAATTTAAAGTTTCTACTATCATCCAATTGATTAAATATATATAGCCTTTATAAATAAAAAAAAACTATAATTCGTATATTTATTGTGTATCTCGCATGCTTGTATGCTAAAAAAGTATATTGTGTTAAATGATACATATTTTACTTTATGGACATACAAATAGAAATAATTACAAAACAAATTATAATATTTCCTTTAAACGTCCTCTTAAAAATTGTAAAAAAACAGTTTTATTTTTTATAGAAAAACAAAACCATGGCTTCGATTTATGAAAGTTTTTGGTTTCAACAATTTCGACATATCCAATCGACTCATCAAGTTATTTCGAAGCGTTTAATTTGCATGGAAATTTATCTGTTTGGAACAAAGAGTGGACGCAGTGAGCCCATGTATGAAATGTATGAGAAGTATGACACTATGTTGTTTGACTCGGTTTTGAAGTAAGTTAGAAAATTAAACTCGATATTTATTTGTCTAAATATCGTAACAATTAAACGCAATGTATACACAAAAAGGATGTGCCTGAAAAATCTGAGTACCTATGAAGCAACTGTATTGACAGAATATTCATTAATTATACTGACGACAATTTTGACAAAAAAAGGCGTTACTGTTGTTCCAAATATGTATTTTACTTATAACAACATCATAAGAAACGTGTCTGAGTGTCTGAATTGGTTGCAAATACTGCCAAGATGGCAAAAAAGATCTTGTTTGTGTCAATCGAATTTGGAAGATCACTGGAAAACGGAACATCAGGAGAAAACATTTTATACAGATATAATACGAAATAGAAATGTACAAATGCATATAGAACACATTAAAACAAATGCACACAGTTTGATGGTTAAAATAAATAAGTATTTGAAAAGGTATAAAAATCAACGAGATAAATCAAATATATACACCCTCGAATCGGGTCTTATAACTTCAAGTCCCAGTTGTTGTGTTAACTATTAAGACATATTTAACTATATTTATAGGTGGAAAAAATTTCAGTTTTTATGGAATGGACAATTCCAAGTAAATAATGATCTTCTCAATGAGTATAAAAATCAAACAATCTATGAATATGAAAACAAATTTAATGATTTTTCACGACTTTTCAAATATTTTTCTAATCTTGCACCACATAAACAAATCCATTGTATTCAGTAGGTATACGTTTTTTGTTTCGATTCCGACATAATGGATAACAATTCGATAAATAAGCTTCGTCTACACGTGTACAAATTAAACCCATGTACTTTTTACTATCTAGGTTAGATCTAGCTCCAATAATAAATCAAATGCAACGTTTCACTAAAAAAGCGTTAAATATTTACGCAGATGAACTCTTACATATCACGAGACAACTGATGCATTCACAAAAACGCAAATTAGATGCAAGTTTTTTTTTCAAATTTTAGATAATTATTTTATGATTGATGATTAAAAAGCGACGAGAAGAGAATGGAAATACAAGTAAGATATTATAACTGATATTTGTTTTAGACTTTCAGAATATTGGTCGATGACGATATAAAAACCGACGAGGACTTGCAGAACGTACTCCATAAAATAGAAGAAATAAGAAAAGAACAAGTCAACGTTGAGCATTTTTTCCAAAATATAAACCACCATATTTACGTGTTGAATGAAGCCGAAGTGATAATGCCTCGAGAAAACATAGCATGCATTTCTAAGATGCAAAACGATTGGATAGTTTTGCAGAATAATGCTAAAGAAAAGGAAATGTATTTAGAACAAGCTAAGAATATATGGTCGCACATCACAGCAATAAGTATTGAAACTTTTTTGCAAGAGCTAAACACATTTTTAGAAGATTACGAACAGCGTAGTTGTCAGACTGCAAAAGACGATTTAGACATTGAGCTCAAAACAATGAATGTTAGTGTAAAATGCAAAATAAAATGCTTATAAAATACCACTTTTAGTATAATAATAAATGTAGAGCTGAAAGCAAGACTATGGCTTATTAACGTCTTGATAAGTAAATTTTATTATTTAAAATAAACTAGTTACCTAGTTTTTTTTGTTATACTTAACTTAATTATTGAAAAAAATGTTTTCAATAATCAACAACTATTTTTTTGGATCAACTGAGAACTTAATAAACTATGCTTTAAGAAAAAAATGTAATTTTTCTAAAATTAAAGACAAATTTTGGGTGTGAAATATTGAGTTAATTGATTTAGGTTAATTAAAAATTGACATACAATAATAACTTAACTGAGCTAATACTTATTGAACATTTACAGTAACAACAATTACTTACTTACTTATTAATTTATTTATATCTGAATAAAGTTTAACATGCCCAGTCTTGGATAAAAATAAAAACTATGTTAGTAAACTGTTGATATTATTCGTATTTTTTTAGGAATTCAATAATTCTTTTACGCTTTTAATGAATAAAAAACAAGAATTGTCTAAGGTTGAAAACATATTTAACCTAAATTTATTACATACCGAGAAATTTGATAAACATTATGCGGAATTTCAAAATATGAAACTAGTATTTAATTTGTATGAAAATCAAAAAGTTGATATTAAAAAATGGTCAGAAATGCCATGGACAGAAATCAACATGGAATTCGTCAGAGAGGCGTTTGGAGCACTTATGTTACAATTTAAAAGACTGCCTTTTTTGGCGCTAAAGACACATTCGGCGTTCATTATGGGAAATTATTTAACTGTTCTTAGGCGAAGTATTCCAATCCTGATGAAACTCAAATCCAGCGCTCTGAAACCAAGACACTGGAACGAAATTTTAGACGAAATTGGTAAATAATACTAAACTAAGTTCGATGTAATACAATGTAGTTATAACGAAAATTCATATTTTTAACATGTTAATAATTATGAATTATAAATATATTCTACAGGTATACAATTCAACATTTATAAAGAAACGTTGACTTTCGGTACTTTACTGAAAATGAGAGTTATTAAACACAAACATATAATCGACCGAGTCCTCGGTAAGGCGATCGAAGAAAATAACATTGAAAAACAATTGAAAAATATCAAAGAGGTAGATTTTTCATTTATACAAATTATGTATAAACATTAATATTAATATTTATATTATATTAAAACAAGCTGTCCCGACCCGGCGTTGCCCGTGTATTAATACAATATTATTTTCTCGACTATATGAAAACAGTCTGTCACAAATTACACTATCAGCTGATCGGATAACTGTATCCCTGTGGTATGAAAACCCATAGAGATGTATTGATAACTATTGATACTATTGATAATCATAATTAATCATTTTTATTAATTTAAAATTAAAAACATGTTCTATCGGATCAAATTGTGAATCTAAACCTTTCTCGAATCAACTTAATAGCGCACACAACATTTCATAAATACCCTGTCCAGCCGTTTAGGAGGAGTTTGCATACTTACACACGGACAGAAGAAGTTTATATTAATATTATATATTTATATATATATATGTATGAATAATTTACAGAGGTGGTCAACTATGACTTTGGAAATCGAAAAATGTACAAATAATTCGTTAAATGTTGAGTATAAATTGCACGACGTGTGTCATGTTTTGCAAACATTAGAGGACGACCAGATTACTATGCATAAAATGCTGAGTACTCAGTGAGTGAATATCGACTTGAAAATTAAAACTTCAGTTGTACCTAACTTAAAATTTTAATAGTGCCGTGGAACCATACTTGCCGTTAGTTGAAAACTATCAAAAAGATTTGTCGACGATAAATGAAGTACTCGACAAATGGTGGTGTGTACAACAAAAATGGACTTACTTAGCCCAAATATATTCAAGTACAGAAATACTAAGTATTTTCCCGAGGGAAGCCGAACAATTCAAGGAGTTAAACGAATTGTACAAAGATGTAAGTTAATTATAATATATTTTTAACAACTAAAATTTTAAAAATCATTCTCCAATATTTGAAAATTTATACGCTATATAAACCCACGGGATTTTTGAAAAAACTATCCTGGTCGGGTTTTAATGGGATTAAATGGGTATTAATATTAGGTTTAATGGACAATTGGGTTTTACTAATTGTTTTCTTTCAACACATTCTCTCTCTTACGTTTAACGTCCGTTATTCCCGCCAATCGGGGCTTAAACGGTTTAGATTTGGCATTTTTGGACTTAAAGCTGGCTGCCAACCTAACGCTACCAAACAAGTTGGCCCCAGAGAGAGGTGGCCATTTTTTCCCCAGACAGTTGCCCGCCCGGTGGAACAAACCGCCGGTGGCCGAGATTCGAACCGGCGATCGTGCCTTGATACACTGCCGCCTTATCTCACTCAGTCACGAGTCTGCACGGGTTTTCTTTCAACACATACTTTTTATATTATGTAATGGATTTATTATATTTAAGTAACATTAAAATTAAAATGTTTAATGATTTTGTATAAATTATAATATTTAATATTGTATCATTAATCATCATCATGCAAACTTAACAAGCTTTGAAGGCCCAACGTGAGATGATGGTTTCTAGATTCGATGTCCATTCATTTTATACATTTATTAACACGAAATCATGCTTTTTCATTAAATTTAATATATATTAAATGAAAAATGTATAATTTAAATTTATAAAAATTTAATAATTATAGGAAAACATTAAAAAATAAAATAACATATGCTTTATCATAAAATAATGTTATTGATATTGTTCTTTTGTATAATTTGTTATTTTTATTTGTTACTTAATGTGTAAAGTTCAAAATTGGGCCGTTGGGTTTTTTCTGGGTTTTATTACTAGGTCCAACTCATTGGGTTTTAACGGGTTGAGGCCAGTATTTCGAACCTTGATTTTGAGTAACCATTATGCTTATTGTTTAGTATTGAGTACCATTGTGTTTTTGATTGATATTTTAGTTATTTAGTATTTGACGTATCCAACGAAGAAGGACGTAACTCGATTTTTATCATTTTTCGGTTTATTAAATATTATTATTTTTTTTATCTCCCATAGAGTAACTCATATCTTCCAAAGAGGTTGTAAACATTTTTGAAAAAATTGAAATGCAATATTACAACTGAACTTAGAAAACTTTGAACGGCTGTACTATGAAGTTTTAAAAATCGAGTTACGTCCTTCTTCGTTGGACACGTCGATTTCTCTTATGTGACCTGTAATCAGAGGTGGGCATTGAAACAAAATACAACATATTGATACATTCATAAATTATAATGCACCTGTAAAATTATATCTTGGTGTAATTTAATGTATTATTAAATTACAACAACAATGAGAATATATATTAATAATTTGGAAAATTGATCGGTCTAATGTAATTTAGACTAATAATTGTTACTAGTAACTAATATCAATGAAAACAATGATAATTTGTGCTCATCTCTAATTGTCATCTTTGTTTCTTATGGGTTATGTCCATCGTTAAGCACCTAATTAAATGATTTAGTTAGCCATTTGGGAAATTAATATTTATTTTCCTTTAGATTATGGCTCGAGCGTATAGAAAATCAAAAATTCTCAATCAATGTCTAAAATCGGATGTTTTAAATGAATTTCTGTTACTGGAAAAACGCTTAGATACAAGCAAAAAAATATTGAAAAATTTCATCTCGGAAAAAAGGAATGCATTTCCAAGATTTTATTTTATGTCTGACGACAATTTACTATACATTTATGGACATAATAATCCATTGAATATTCAAGAAACTATTGTTCAAGTAATTAAATTTTCCCATACGATGAATAAAATAATATAATATTTATAAGTGTAAATCAAAATGTATATCAAATATCTTTCGGTGGCTGCTTGTTATAATAATAACAATATTTAAAAGAAAAATGCATTTTGTATAGGTGTTTGATAACATTAAAACTTTGGTTTTCGAAAACAAAGAGGAGAATTATGTAATTACTGCTATGGCGTCTTGCGATGGTGAACTCTTACAACTTAACAATTGCATTGTTGTTCAAAAATCAGTGGATGATTGGATGCATAAGTTAATCGAAGAAATGCAAAAAACTCATCGACATTTAACTAAGAAAGCTATACTAGACTATGCGTCGGCTACTAATGGAAGTTCGAGGTTCGACTGGTTGCACAATTTCCAAGGTTCGGTGTGCCTAGTTGCTGACGACGTGTGGTGGACTGCTGAAGTGAATAACGTTTTCAAAGAAATGCATTCAGTGAGTATTATAATTATTATTATTGACTTACATTATTTGAAATAAATCATGATTGTAAATAATGTGTATTTTATTTGTAAGGGTGGAAAGTCGAGTGTGAAAGAGTATTTAAATCATCTCAAGGATAGATTAAAACAAATAATTGATAAAATTAGAGGAGAAATTCGCGAAAGCGATAGAAATAAATTGAACGCCTTGTTGTTATGTGATGTTCAACATAGAGATATTATCGAATCGTTCATTAATAACAAGTAATACACAATACATATAGTTCATAAGTATTAAAATTCGTCTCTTACTCCTTCGCCTTATCCAATAAAAATAAGAAAAAATCTACACTTAGCTTCCTTACTAGTTTAACTTCTTTATTTTCCGCCCTTCTTTCAAAATCTCAATATATTATCTCATATTTTTCTGGAAACTCTCAAACGACTTTTTATAACATACTCGTTACTATTATTTTCTAACCGAGACACTCCAAATGTACATCTAAGCATTTTAATTTTAGTTACGTCCATTTTCCTTTCGTCTCTCTTTAATTCAATATCTAACGTTCACTTCCACACATGTCGCCTTGCTACAGTTTTATACAATTTTCTTTTCACTCTAAATGATAATTTTCTGTTACACATCATACCTGGTGCTCCTTCGACCAATTACACTTTATTTTACTCGTCACTACTTCAAAAATGTCTCTATTCTCTTGTATTTCTGATCACAAAAACTCAAATTTCTCTACTCGATTTAAATTCTTGACTCCAAATTATATAAATATTTATATATATTGATCCTATGAATAAAAGTCTATTAATTAGATTTTGCTTTCATTAGCGTAATCAATGCCAACGATTTTGAGTGGGATAGTGTACTGAAGTCCTATTGGATAAAAAATGAAGATGACTTATATCTTTCGCAATGTTCAGGTTGGCAATCAAATTTGTAGCTTATATTAATTTATGAAAATAATTTATAACATATAATATATATTCAATGTCATATGATGTGAAATAAAAAAAACCCTGTTAAAAATTATTAACTATGTAATTATTTTCATGGTAAAGTAGCACATTTATTCTTATGTTACTATATAAGTAAATTTATAAATACTCAATAAGTCGGTTGTCGGTTTTGACTTTAAAGTGGTCTAATGTATACTAACTTTGAATATGTTATATTATAGGACTTTTTAGTTATGGACATGAATTTATGGGACTAAGCAAAAGGATTATAGCAACACCATTAACCAATCGTATTTTCTTGACGTATACTCAAGCATTAATGAATAACTTGGGCGGTGCCTCCATTGGTAATTATTTGAATGTCTTTGTTTTTTTATGTATTTTAGACTTTTTTAACATTATTGTTTAATGTTTTTATTTGGAACTTGGTTTAAGTACATTTTAAAATTAGCGGTATTTAAAGTATTAATTTTCATTTTCATTAAGTGTTTTTTTTTTCAATTTATGATAATTTGTTTCAATATGCGTTGGAATTTGCAACTTTAAGAATAAGTGCTTTTTGATTGGCACTTCGAAAGATATTGAAAATAACTTTTCATGTATACGAAAAATAACACTTGTATGTTCATTACAATAAAATCATTATTGGAGGTAATTTGCAATTGATATACTTCCTAATCTTAACTGCAACGGGCGATGTCGAAACAAGGGTAGTTGAAATAAAATGTCTTCTTACTTTTTTGTATACATTAAACAAGGCGTTGGCAAGTCATCCAGTCTGTATGAATATATTTGATTGTGCGATCTGTTAGCATACTACATATCAAATAAATATCACAAGTATGATCACAGGTCAAATAATAATAAAACTGATACTAATTAAAATAAGTTTACTATTTTTTCTTGTAGAAGGAGTTAAGTACAAATATTCAAAATGGTCTTACAAATTTATACAAATTGAGTACTGATTATTGATAAATATTATAATATTGTATATTACAATGTATACAATTGTAATATGTATACAATTTTTGATAACACCGTCCATACTGAGCGATGTTCTCTATTTACAGCACTAAAATACATGATACATCTATTGTATATACATTATTAGTTACACATGTTATTAACTATTTATTATATTTTTTTTAATAATTTTTAAAAAATATTCGAATTACTTTAAACCCATTTAAATAAGTACTTATTTTTTTAAATAACTATATTTATAGTAATTAATATATCAATGTGTTTAATAGGTTCAACTGGAACAGGGAAAACCGAAACCACACTGACATTATCGAAATTATTAGGACGATTTTGCGCTGTCATAAATTGTAGCGATGGATTTGATCATCAGACATTTGAACAGTTTTTGAATGGAATATGCCTAAGTGGAGTTTCGGGATTATTTACCAGGTTTAATCGAATAAATAAAAAATCACTGTCGGTTATTTCGATTATATTGTCATCAGTGAAGTCGAAATTATTTGGAAACAAAAATGAATCTAAAGTAGTTAAGACATTGTCAAAATAAAATACATAAATACAAAACTAATATTCAGTATGTATGTACTAAGTTTTAAATTTGTGCACTTTCAGGGCTACGATATGATGTTAAATTCAAAAGTCGGATTATTCGTTACTATTAACGTCGAAGAAATGAACGATAAGTCAAAAGAAATCGGAGAAATTATAAAAACTCATTTTAGGCCCGTCACGTGTCTACTTCCGGATTTTGAACAAATTTGTCTAACTATGCTTTATTCTAACGGATTTCTCGAAGCAAAAGTAACAGTTCTTTTGTAAAATTATGATAAAATTGTTTGAACTTAAAAACAATTATATTTTTTTTTGTGTAATAAGTCATTGTCAAAGAAAGTAACATTGTTATACAAACTATGCGATGGACTTTCCAAGCCATTCAATAGCGTCTTTAATTTAAGATCGTTGAAATCATTTGTGTTTACTGCACGCAAAATTAAAGACTGTCACCGAAATTTCGAAGAAAGTGCTATAATAGTAAAAGCGTTGCGGTATGTGTTGTTTGTTTAATAATTATTGTAATGAAGAAATCCTACATACTGTCTAAAAAAATATTCTTAAATAATTATAGAAAATTATTTATTTATTAAATAAACGCCCGTAGGCTCAAGTACATTACAGTACAATAAAATAACATAATGAATAACAAATTGATAAAATTGATAAACATGACATATAGAAAGAAAAAATAACTACAATTAATACAATATAAAATAATTAAAACAAGATAACACAAAATTTTAATGAGTAACAGTGCATATATATATATAATTAAACAAATAAATAATATTATATTTATTAAGAAAATTTCCTCATTTTTTAACTTCAAGGATTACTCAAAAATTTTTAATTTTATACAAATGTTTACCAATATTTGTATACAACCTGGGCACAGCTTTTAAAATGGAATTGTTTTTTGATTTTACAGTGATTTACATCTATCACAACTAAACGGTAAAGATACGTTATTGTTTTTATCGTTTTTAACCGACCTTTTCCCCAATCATGAGTACTTTAAAACCGATGATAAGTGTTTCAACCTGGCCGTAGAAAGCGCAATCAAACATGGCAATTACATGAATATTGACAGTCAAGTTGAAAAAGTTTATCAGACAATGTACACACTTACACACCGGCATTCACTCGCTATAGTTGGTTCCACGTGTGGTGGGAAATCTGCCATTATTGATATATTATGTGAAACGTTGAATTATATGAAAATACAAACCCAATTGACCACACTGAATCCTAAAGCATTTAAAAAATCAGAGCTGTACGGTTACTTGGATATAACGACAAGAGAATGGAATGACGGTTTACTAACACACATTTTCAGAAAAATCAATCAACCTATTATCCCGAACAAACATTCGAATAATTTTATCTTGTTTGACGGCGACATCGATTTAGTATGGACTAACGATCTCAGTTCTGCGATGGACGATAATAAAATGTTAACGTTGAAGAACGGCGAACAAATAAGGTAAATTTGAATTAAAATGTAAATTATACTTACACGACTTGAGGTTACTCCTACTTGGATGTCTTGACTAGTTCGCCAACGTTTCGGAACACTTGCACGTTCCATCTTCAGGGCTGTGGTTTGTTTCACCCATAAAAATTAGGCTGCATGCGTCTATGATGTTTTCTACGCATATATAGTTAAATACTTATAATACCCATTTTATTTTCGATACAAAGCTGAGGAAAGTTTTTTTTTATATTACATCCTGCATACTCACTAGTACAGTCTTTCAGTTTTTTTTTTTAATATCTACATATCATATTATATCCATTTGTATGAACATGCCCGTGGATATACAAAAATACTTGTTTTAAATTATGGTTAATAAATATTTTGTACATTTTTTTTTAGACTTATCCCACAATGTAAGCTTTTATTTGAAGTCGGTGATTTGAAGTATGCAACACCTTCTACAGTTTCCAGGATGGGTTTGATTTTCGTTGACTCTAACAGTCTTGGTTACATGCCATACTGGGTACGTTGGTTGGAATCAAGAAACTTAATGGTAAAAACAGCCATGGACCAGTGCTTTCAAAAATACGTACCTAAATTAATAGATTTTATCTTCGGAGAAAACACTACATCAAGGAATTCAAAAAAGTTAAACACAGCAGTGCGACAAACTAAATTGAATATGGTAATAAATTAAACCAAAACACTAGATAACTTAGAGAATGAATATTAGTTATTCTGTGTCTATTGTAATAAGTTAGGTTAGGTTAGGCTTGGAAATACGTAATTATATTGTTTAATGTAAAATTGTATTTTAGATCACTCAACTTTGCTTTGTTCTGGATGCAATGTTGCCTTTAATTTCTTCTGAAAATCATTCATCGAAAACGAGTTTTGAAAAAAAAATGTCATCAATCGAAGATACATCATCTACTCCGTTGCACTCGATGATGACTTTTGTCGCAGGAATGGACGTGTTGGAAGCTGTATTCATACAAGCGTTATATTTATCTTTGGGGGCTTCGTTGACAGAAATTACCTCAAGACATGCATTTGATAAAAATGTAAAAAACATTAGCGAATTTCCTAGCAATCATAATACCGATGAAATGTCGAAAAAATCGGACCTTAAATACATACCTAGTGACGAACCGACTTGGTATGATTATTTTTTGGATTTTGAAAAACTAGAATGGATATCGTGGAATACAGTAGTTCCTAGTTATGTACATGACACAAATGCTAAATTATATGATATATTCGTGCCAACCATCGAATCCACTAAAACGATTTGGATACTACAATTGATTAATGAAGTAATTATAACTGTTGTAAATTAATAATTACTTTAAATATTCACGAACCATAATAATAGTATAAACACTAATCATTGAATTTCACTGATCAAGTTTTTTTTTCAGTATTATTTCAGAAGTGCAATTTTTAAAAAGGTAAACATAGTAAAAAATGTAAATACGTAATGTAAAACTAATTGGAAACACAATTTTACAGGTAAAACGTCCGACTATTATTGTCGGGGAAATGGGATCAGGAAAAACTTCAACAATGCAATATTTTATGCGAAACATAAAACAAAATGAATATGTAAGTATTAAAAAATAAAATATTGTTTAATGGATTGTTTGACACTGACATTGTCAGTTTTAACATAAAATGTATTTTTAACATGAACTACTCCCACAAATATCTAAACGGAAAATTACTTCATTTCTCATAACACACTAAATCCATCAGATCCTCCTTCTTTTCTTTTAAAAAGTAATTCTCTTCTCTCATCTAATCTCCTATTATCAAAAAATGTCCCGTGAGCTGATCGTTTATCAAAAAATGCAAAACGTTTTTATAATTAGACATAAGTGGAGTGTATCGACAAAGTTTTCTACTTCACTCAAATATACGAATGATTAAAATTAAAATTATAACAAAGTATACATTTTTAATAATTAATAAAATGGTGTAACCATATTTGTATAGTATAATAATTTGTATTGTGTACTTACTAGATAATATACTAATTTGTTTTAACTATCCGGTTTAAAACAGAAAAAAAACGCTTTTAGCCGTATCTATAATTGTATTAATGCATTAATCATCATTCAAATTAATTATGATTTTTTTTTTTTTTTAGATTAGAATGACTATAAGCTTTTCAGCCAGAACGTCATCAAAAGACGTACAAAATAGTTTAGAAACAAATTTAGAAAAACGTTCTAGAAGTGTGTTTGGTCCCCCCATTGGAAAACGACTTCTTTATTTCATTGACGATTTAAATTTACCTAATGTAATTTTTGTTTTGTATTATTCTGCAACAAGAAAGTTCTATCCATTTTAAATGGTATGTATATCTAATAAATTGTTTACGGTTAGGTCGATGAATATGGCACACAAGAACCTATAGCATTTCTGAGAAGTACCTTTGATAAACGAGGCATGTACGAGCGAGATAAATATTTCCACTGGAAGGAACTTGTCGATATTTGTAAGTTAACGATAATTTTAATTTAATTAAGATTTCACAAAATATAAATTACATCAAGTATCTGGTTGCAGGTTTTTATGCGGCCATGGGTTTTACAGGATACGGTCAAAAAGAATTAGATCCACGATTTTTGTCGCTGTGTTCTGTTTTTTTTCTACCTTTACCATCCGAGGACACGGTCAAAAATATTTTCAGTACAATTTTGTCGAAATATACCGAACGTTTTACAGATGATATTCAAAATACCGTTACTAATATAATAGACATGACTATTTCGCTGTACCAAGTATGTTGTCTTGTCAAGATTTTCTTTAAACTTGTAACATGAAAAACTATGTGAATATTTATTTTATTTTCGAGATTGTACTTGAAAAACTACACCAAACGCCAGAAAAATATATGTATGTGTTTAACATGAGTCATATTACTTTCATTATTTACGGAATGGCCTGTATAACGCCTGACGTATTTAAAACAGTTGAATCATTCGTTCGAGTGTGGCGAAACGAATTTACCAGAGTAATTTGCGACAGGTTAATAACACAACAGGTAACAACTACTTGAAATTTAAGTTATTGTAGAAGTAAAATTCAAGAAAAGAAATTATATAAAGTACAATAAAAAACTAAAGATTCGTAGAATAAGTTTTACGATTTTGGAATAAAAACTGATGTTTGTATAGGTTATATAAAAAAGGGATAAGAATTAATGAGAATCAGATAATAAGTAATGATTTATTTATAACAGAGAATATTATAACGATTAGTTTATTGTTAAAAATATATTAGGCATACAAAGTTTTGAGAAAAAGTGATTTTAGTTATAAGTTATAAATTGACTTTAAAATAATAGGTGATGGTTGTGACTAAATAACCAGGTTTGTAAATAAAAGCTAATTATTTTTAGTTAATATTGTAGAAATAATAACTACTACGTATAATAGCTATAATCGATTTACTCCTCTCTTGGGGGGGATAAGGTCCATTTATTAGACAGCGGTCTAATACATTTCATTTTTTTTTTATTGTAGCATTTATTCGTATTGTTAGATTATTAGTACTCTGATGTTAACTAACTAGCTATCTGCTATAGTACTGTGAAATAAATAATAACATAAAAACATATATATTTTATAATAAAACACAACTGTGACTTTAATCGTTAACTAATTTACAAACTACAATTAATATTCCGGCGTTCAACATTTTAGGATCAAGAAATAGTTGAATATCATTTAAAACAAGAATTGAAAACGCGTTTTCCTCTTCAAGCCAATTATGTGCTTAGAGATCCTCTTATTTTCGGAGATTGCAGAAACGCTATTGGCTCAAAAAATCAAACACGACAATACGAAGACTTAATTGATTATGATTCAGTATTTTATTTATTCCAAGAAGTAATTACCAGTAAAAGTATACAATAATACTAATCAATAACAATTAATTATAAATGGTATTTAAAATATTTTAGATATTATTAGAATATAACAGGACACAAGGTTTACTAGACATGGTACTTTTCAATAACGCGTTAGACCATTTAATACGAATTCACCGAATGTTAAGAATGGATAGAGGTCATGTCCTTTTAGTTGGATTAAGCGGAAATGGAAAAACTTCTTTATCTAAATTATCTGCATTTACATCTGGTAATTTGAATAATTTAAATGTGTTATTATTTAATTTAAAATATAAAATTTTCTAATATATATATACATAGGGTGGTCTTAAATTTTCATATTAAAGTATCAAATAACCAAAAAAAAAAAACCAAGAACTATTTGAGATTTTTATTTAAGTCTTTTTCGTTCCTTTTTTTAGCAAGAAGGTAACTTAATTTACAATTAAGTATTTTTTCATTTTTTCCACCAAAAATATATAATATTAAAATTATATAGTCAGCCGAACTTATTTCAGTTAGTTTTGCTTAGTTAGGTTAGACGTTATTTACAAAATCTTTAGTTTTCAATAAATTTGATTTAAAATGACAATAAATATGTTTAATTTGTATTATACTGAGAACAAATTTCAAAAAACAGAAAGACAAGATTCCAAATAAAAATCTTAAAAAAAGAGTATTTTTTCATTTGGAACTTATTTTGCATGTGTTAAAAAAGAGCGACCGTCCTAATATGCATACCTAAAAGTAAATTTATCAGAGTTTGGCATTAGTGTACCGTTATGTACCTTTCAATTTTCATTTAAATATATTATAGAATTTATTAGGACTTAATTACTAGGACTTATTTATGCTATGTATAATAAATCACTTAGTAAAAGATAAAAAGGTACACTTACAAAATATATTAACCAAATAATATGACATTTAATTAACACTCATTATATAATTATTATTGTAAAAACCGAAGTACACCAGATACAACCGATACATATTTATTAAATTATAACAGTATTAATTATTTAATTATTTTTAATTATTCATATAATTATTAGGTTACAAAATGTGTTTTAACAAATTTCAAACCACGTGCAACTATAAATTGACCGAACATAAATTTAAAGAGGACTTGCATAATATATTCTTTCAAGTTGGAATCAAAAACGAATCTACCGTTCTGATAATTGATCAAGCCGAGTTAGTTGAGGAAGGTAAGATTTTTGTATTATAGTTTACAACCTATCTACACAAAAATGTCTTAAATTTTAAATAAACATCATGTTTATTACCATTTTTTAAATATTTTATAAGTTATTTTTGATCATATGTTTATACCTGTAAAATAACTTGTAAGCCATCAAGCCAAACATTTTTTTAAAAACTTTTTCTCTTCTCTAAATCGAACTATTCCTATTAAACTATCTATTTGATAAGTTTAAATATCTCGAACATTTGACGACTCATTTGGCATGATTCTTTACTAATAGTAAAATTCCATAACTAATAGTTGTACGCTTCAAGGTATTTGGCGACTTATAAGCTGTCATGCTTTATTTTTGTAATGAGATTGTGTAAATTACTGTTGCCAAACATTTTTATTATATATTGATTTGTATATATTTAGATATTTTGGAGTATATCAATAATTTATTAATTAGCGGATTTGTTCCATCATTGTATTGTAACAATGAAAAAAAGTCGGAGATCATTATAAGTTTTAAAACCATACATCAGAAATACGGTTCTACCTTAACTGCGTATGTTCATCAAAACAATATGAATTTATTAACGATCATGATGTTAACTAAAGTGATGATATATTATACTTGACAATTTTTTAGAGACATTTGCTGGAGTAAGTTTTTAAACAATTGCTTAAATAATCTTCATGTGGTATTACTAATGGCACCCGGTCATAACTTAAGAAAGAGATTCAGAAAGTTTCCTGGTTTGATAAATAAAACATACATCGATTGGATTCACGATTGGCCTGTTCAAGCGTTAAAAGCTGTGGCTGAAAGAGTTTTGGTCGATGTAAATAATGTTTTGTATATTACATTTATCTCATATTCAACAAATAAAAATATGATTTAAGATATGACACACAATTTAAAAAAAAATTATTTTAGGAAAATATTATTTCTGACGAACATTTAAGTAATATCACGAAACAATGTATTTATATGCATCAGTCTGCGGTTAACTATACTAAATTGTATTACAAAGAAGCCATATGGAAAATCAGTTTTTCATTGAAACACATGTTGGAATGTATGACTGTATTCAAGGATTTAATTAAAAAGAAAAACAGTATTTTAGGAACAAAAGTATGTATATTTTATTTTAAGTATGTATGTCTTTATTTTATACTTATTGAAATACTTCTTATTAGGTTCAGCAATTGACAATCGGATTAAATAAAATAGATGACATTTTAGAAGAACTGACTAGACTCAAGGCGGTACTCCTTCAACAAGAAGCAGATATAGCTAAGCAAAATAGTGAATATTCAATACTGAATGAAAAAATTAATAAAACGCATACTTTAATTGAAGAGCAAACCATCGCTGTAAATGAACGCACTGAAGAATTGAAAAATAACAACGAACTTATTAAAATCAACGAATCTCAGATGACAGATTTAGTGGATAAGACTAAACCCATTTCAATTACTTTCAAACATGTTTTCAGTGAAATCGATTCAACCGAATTGCAAGAAATCGGGTATGTTTTGCGCTTAGCCATTATAATTATATTATCGATCATGAACTTTTTCGGTAAATTTAAATACCATTAAAAACTACTGTTTATATCATTACTGTTAACTTTTCCAAATAACCTTTCATACATAACATAAAATGTATTCTTTAATAATAATTTACAAAAAAACAAATGTATTTATAGCTTGATGGAATCGCCTCCTGAGTCCATAGTAATTTTATTGGAGTGCATAGCAATTATCAAAGGATATAAAGATGTTAATGCATGGAAAACGTTGAGTGATATGATTGGTGAACCGAATTTCTTGGATGGCCTAATGACGGTAGATGTGAACAAACTGAACCATCGACAAGAAAGTCAAATACAAACTAAATTAAAGCAATTCAAAAAAACATTCGATATAAAAAATATTAGTCCTATTGAAAACAGTATTCTGCGGTTTGTTGAATCAGTCGTGGCGTGTTGTGTCCTCAATCGAGACATTATACCGTTAAGATCTAAAATGGAAAAATTGGAAGAAGAATTTCGCAATAAAACACAAAACGTTATTGACCTAGAAGCAACTCTAAAAAATACTCAAAATATATTGTCCAATTTACAAATATCATTTGAAAAATGTTCAAACACAATCATATGTTTAAAAAAACAAAACGATTTCACGAAAAAACGGTTTGAATCGGCTAATTTACTTGTACAGGAATTGAGTGATAAAAATAAAAAGTGAGACCAAAAATTTGTAAATAAATAAAAATTATTTGGAAATTAATTTCTTTGTTAACGCTATTGTTTTGTCCTTAGGTGGAGAGAATTTATAGAAAAATCGAAATCAGTTAAAGAAGAAATGATCGGTAACTGTTTGCTGTGTGCTTCATTTTTAGTCTACGCCGGTCCGTTCTCATTGAAATACCGCATAAACATGATATTGAATGATTGGTTTAAAAACATAATTCGTCTGAAAATACCGTTGGACACAAATCTGAAAATCGAAAATCAACTATCTGACGATATCGAAACTACAAAGTACCTATCTATGGAATATGATATACTGTATTCAAGTTTAAATTGATTGTACCAACATTTATTGTTTGACGACAATGTGTTATTGTTATTAATATAGTTATTATATTAAATCAACTTTGCATACTCTTATTATATTTTTTTAATTGATAATACTATACAATATATTCTCATTGCGTAGGTGGACAATTGATGGTTTACCGTCCGATGAATATCATGTTCAAAATGGTATAATAATTACTCAGTCTCTTCGGTATCCACTTTGCATTGATCCACAAGGTCACGTACTTAAATGGATAGTCTGTTTTGAAAAAAATAACTCACCAAGCACAGTTTCTTTCGTTGAATTTGACTGTTTTGATAGTTTGAAAAAAGCCATTCGTAACGGATCACCGATAATTCTTACAGACTTTGAAAACATGAGCTTAGATCTTAAAGACTTGTTGAATAAAAATATAAGACGTGAGTATAAATGCTTAATTGTAAAACATTACATTTACACTTGATTACATTTTATTTTTGTTAAATGTTTTTATTTGTGTCTGAAGACACGATAACTTTTTTTCCTATTGGCCGAATTACTCGTATAGTACATTTATACATCCTCAAGAGATTAAAAAAAAAAATTCCTTCAGCCCCAAAATCGAGGGGGGAAAAAATTAAACACTATATTGGCTCAACAGTTAGAAAGTTTGATCGGAATAGTTAAAAAAAATTCACCCACATATCCATGTTAAAACAAAGGACAGCGTTTAAAAGAGAATAACAATAGTCACAAAACATATGCTAAATCAATATTTTATTTTGACAACTTAATTTACACAATTAAACTAGTTATTACTACTTACTATTGAGAAACAAGTAAAATTATGTTAATAATATCGTCGAAAACAAATGAAGGCTAATTATTTTAATAATTTATAATTAACAGAAAGCCCATAGAGTTATAAGAACCACCGACGAGAACGACAGACAACATAAACAAAAATCGAAAAATATGCATAAATCATTTTTTAACCTTAATTTTTTCTAAAAATACTTTTTGAATAATTTTAACAATATTTTGTTGATTATTGGGAAATTAATAAAGCTTGGATTTGTAGAAAAACATTCATTTCCTATAATATTTTTGAAAAACTTACTCAGTATCACGTACAACGTATATAATTTTCTCAAAAATATTTTGACGAACTTTTTTTTTTTATTATGGAAACCCCATAAAAAAAGAAAAATTACACTTTGTCCATAGTCAATTTCTAGGTTACGTGAATGAAACAACAGCCAACAGATATTGAAGATGGTTTCATTATTATGTTAATTACGATACATTATAATATGTAACAACAGTAATAATTTAATATAGACAGACGATCATTGCTAATACTAAAAAAATGTTTTAAGCACATTGTTGTTATTACAATGCTTTCATCGATATTTTTATTTCTACATTGCTTCACAGATTCGCATCGAAACATTGAATGTGATTTTTATCACTTTGGCTTCTGTGGTCTCCCTCGCTCTAATATGCTCCGCCATCATTACGCCTCACCACCTGGCTTTTTTTTTTTATTGGTTTTTAGAAAACATTTCTGGCTGTGCGTACGTCGAAGTTAACGATCATCAAGTAGAATACAACAAAAACTTTAGACTGTACCTCATGACTAAACAGACCAATCTGAACCTTACATCAGACGTTTATTCAACAACAACCGTGGTTAATTGTTCCATCACGCAAAAAGTAAGCATGGTCGTTTGCCTTGATTTATAAAAACCATTGTTTTTATAAAAGAACAATTACAGGGCTTAGAAGATCATTTGCTCGACGAAATCTTCAAACTTGAGAATGTCGAATTGGCAGACAAAATGGAAAAAATGTTTATTCAAAATTATGAAAACCGCTGTGCTCTTCGACTTCTTAAAAATACATATCTGGACCATATCGCGGATTGCGAAAGTCCTTTAATCGATTTTCTACAACTTGCAAATACACTGAAGACCATAAAGTCGAAAATAAATTTTGTTGCATCCGAGTTAGAGTTGACGTTGGAAATGAAATCCGAAAATGATAAATTTAAACAAGTTTACAAGACAGTTTCTGTACAAGCAGCTCTATTTTACAAAGTTCTTTATGACTTAAGAGCTATTGATCCGTTGTATCAGTTCTCGTTACAATCTTTCACGCAATTAATGATAAACTCCATTAATTCCACTCCGCAAGAACCGATTTTAACAAAGAGAATAACTAATATTAATAAACAACTCACTAATGATTTATTAGAATTTAGCAGTATTTGTATTTTTGAAAAGCACAAACTGCTCTTTTTATTTCAATTAGTGTGCAATATGGAAAAAAATAATGGCAAATTGTCAGATTCAGAACTGATATTTTTTGTTAAAGGCAGCGTGGGTATGCAAAATATCAGTATGAAAAATCCTACACAATGGTTACCAAATAAATGTTGGCAAAATATCGTTAAATTGAGTTTTAGCTTTTCAAACTTTTCTAGTCTCGTTGAACATTTTAAAACCAACGTTGAAGAATGGAAACAGGTTATTAAAAACAGAATAATTCACAAATTATGCAAAAGTTTACAGCCTAATTAAAATCATTACAATTTACAGTTATATTTTTTGTTTATAAAAATGTTATTTGCTTTATCCCTTACAAGTAATGTTTAATTTTATATATTTTTTAAAGAGAAGATCCGATGAAATTGATTAATTTTAGAATTATGACATATGTACTTTATTAAATTATACATTTATTTATATATGTATATATTATTTTTAGTGGTATTACTTAGAATACCCAGAAGTCGTCAACACTATACCAATTCAAATGGTCAAGTATTTTGATGTTTTAATGCTTTTAAGATGCTTTAGAACCGATCGAGTGCAACAAGCTGTTCAGAATTATATCATCGAGGTTTTGAAAATAAGTAATCATAACTTCGTAAACAAAGGGAAAACAAGGCATGTGTAACAAATATAAAGTTATAACAATTTATGAGCTTACTGTATACAATCAAAAAACATGTCGATTTTTTTTTTAAATTTAATACTTGCAAGTAACAATGTTCGAGTGTTAGTATACACAGGTGTATCATAAAAGTATGTCAGTACCGTGTTTATTTAAACTCTGAAAAGTCTAAAAATGAGATTTTCTTTAAATTGATTAGTGTGACATAATGTATTATACATTGTACAATGATCAACATTGAATATTGTCTTCTTATGTTTTAGTCTTGACTTCATCTATGAAAAATTTTCAAACTTGTCATCGTGTATTTTAATACTGAATTACGGAATAAACTCCATGTCAGACTTAATTGAATTAGCCAACAAAAGTGGAATATTGGGCCCTACTTTCAAAGTTCTTACTTTAGGAATTGCTCAAGAAAACGTAAGCACTTGTGCATACACACAACAATCAGAATATTTATTTATTTTTTATTTATTACAAATAGATAATTTATTCGTCCTTGCAATCGGCGATGGACCGAGGAAATTGGATAATTTTGCAAAACTGTAATTTCTCTATTCCATTGTTATGTAAAATCGGATACTTCTTAGAAGAAAGAAGTCAATCTTGGCATTCAAACTTCAGACTATGGCTTTTGATCAACTACGAATCTTCGGTGATCGGATCACTCTCGGTACCACTTCTATTGAGATCTTTAAAAGGTAAAACTGTAAAAAGTCTTCTAATAATATTGAATATAAGAATAATCAAAATAATTGAATGGTGCTTATAAATTTGTTTGTCTATTTATATCTGAATATTTTCCCTATCTTAATAGTTATAATGGAACCTTCCAAAAATATGAATGTGTGCATGAAAAACGCGTTAGAAACGGTCGATATTACCAATTTAGAAAACAGAAACCATCATCCTTTGTTCAATTCATTATTATATACATCATTATTCCTCCATGGAATACTATCCGTAAGCAATCAACATTTTTCTCAGTTTTACACAAACTTTATTACAATTTTTTTTCACTCCAGGAACGGAAGAAGTATAACAAATTGGGCTGGAGTCTGCTTTACAATTTCGATTTTTCAGATTTTTCTATGTGTCAACGAGTTTTAAATTTATATTTGAACAAGAGCAAAACAGACGAAATACCATGGGCGAGTTTTAAGTATTTAATCGGAGAAATCATTTATGGTGGAAAAGTAGTTAACAGTTACGACCGTCGAATACTGTCGACTTATATTGAGGAGTATTTTGGGGACTTCATTTATAGCACTTACCAACCGTTCAGCTTTTACACTAGTAAAAACACAATTTATTTAAACAACTACTTGCAAATGGAAAGAAAGTTACTGCAAGGTTCTAGTGAAGCAAATATATTACTAGGTGAGTTCAAACTATTAAAAGTAAGTATTGAACGCTATTTCTGTAGGTACGAGAATTTGGTAATATTATATTAACATTCGAATTATATACACTGTACAGAGTTAAACTACAAGTGAAATGACTCTTATTTTTTTTTTATTATTCATTGGTATAATGAACAGTGCATATACTTACTATTAATGGTTTATTAATTTTTCATACGAGTCATTTATTACGGGCTCTTGAAAACTGTCAAAATAATATTTTTCAAAACATCAATCTATAAAAAATGATAATATGAAACATATAATTCCTTTTAAATCCATAACTTAGATTTCTGGTGTTTGTAATGTACACAATTATTCTTAGATTGAATACCTAGACAACGATTAGTTGTGCATGTTACCACAGATTAAATTAGTTCGATTATAAAATAAACAGGATTTACATGTACTAACCTCAACCCGAAACAAAAGCCTATTCTCTTGGACCACGAATGGGACATTGTATGCTGTTTTTTACAACCTAATGGAACCGGAATAAAAATATCTTTAAGATTCTTACGTCTTAATTTCAGATGCTGTCTAAAAATTCTTATTAAATCACTTAACTTGGACTGGTTTTCGTGAAAACATTGAAATTAGTATTTTTCCAAAATTGTCTTACAGATACAGTAAACGAAATTCCGATAGTTGTTGACCCGGAAGTATGTGGATTGCATTCAAACGCTATTTTTATTTATAATAATGAAAAAATAACATGTTTATGGAATGATATGGTTAAATTGTACCCGAGCGGCGGCACTACGTTCAACAACGACTACAACGATTGGTATGAAGTAGTGAAATATAAAAGCGAAGAAATCTTGAATTCGCTTCCTTTATCGTTTGACGTGGAAAAAGTGCAACATTTCTATTGCGGCAAACATAACAATCCGAGAATTATGGTTTTGTTCCGAGAACTGGAAATGTTCAACTTACTTCTAGAAATGATCGGAAGCACTTTGAAACAATTGCTTATGGTATTTATCGTCACAAAATTGTATTTTCAATGTGTGTTTCATGTTTTTTTTTTTTTTTCGAAATTGCCATTTATTGTTAGGTGTTTTCTGGGAAATTGGAAATAAATTCAGAGACGGAAGAGTTGTATACAAGTTTATACACAGACCGCATTCCAAAATGCTGGACCAACTTATCGCCACAGACAGTCAAATCATTAGCTCGATACATGGAACATATACAAAAACGACATTTACAGTATTCAACTTGGGTGTGTATTTTATTCACATGAAACAGCCACAATTCCATCTATTCTCTAATTGTCTATTATCAATGTTGCATACTATTAGAGTGTAAACGTCTATAAAACTTTTTTTTTTTTTATACCAGAGTCAAATAAGAGAACCATTAGTCATGTGGTTGTCCGGACTGCATTCTCCTAAATCGTATATTACTTCTTTAATACAGATCGCCTGTAGAAAATACGACTGGGCCCTCGAGAAAAGTACGTTTTGCACCTCTGTAACTCGGTGGGTATCCGACAGCGAAGTGCAGCGTGAACCGGATACAGTAAGTTGTGCCTTGTCTTAGATATTTAAAATAAAATAGATTTGATCTACACATAAGCCTTACCTCTGCAGTATATTATATAGTATACTATTTTACACTTATATACCCTCTTAATTGTTTTGATAACTCATTATTCTCTTATTTCTTTAGACATGTCCAAACCATCTCAATCTAATTCCCTTCTACTATTCTTTGCCCATTAGCAGCTCATTTCAATTCTATGTATAATCTTGTCACTCCACACGCCATCACAAACATTCTCATTCCAATCTAAACGACACTTTTCTGTGACAGCCTTATCGCCCCTTTTTACCCTAACTATCCGTCCACAATTAATTGTGTTCGCAAATTTCCTATTTCTTTTATTCTGTTGCATAATTGATCTCAATTACTTAAATTTCACTGCAACCACTAGATCTCCTATAGCATAACATATTTTGTAATTTTTGTTTTAATTACAATTTTGTTGCAAAATCAAAACAATTTTATTTGTATTTCTCGTCAAGCTAAAACATTTATTAATTTTTATAAAAACATTAACAGTATAATATAATCTATAATCTATAACATATATATTTTATATAAAATTTACTGCATCAAAATAAATTGATTAACTGTATAACAATAAAAAATAAATAAAATTCATAATTTTCCTATTCAAATAATAAAATGTAATCGAATAAAAAAGAAAACAGTAACTTAAGTTCATTAAACACAGCCAATTTATGTTGCAGGGTTTTTAATCAAAAACATTTGTGTGTTTACTTTTAATGAACAACCTATATTTAATTATTGTTTAAATAAGTGTGCTTTAGCTAAAACGTGGACAACTGAAATAATTTAACACTGTAGTTAAGTCATTTGTAGTTGGGATAACTGTATAATAATTATACCACTATTTATAGAATTTCAATGAAGCTTACAAAAGTTCATAGGTACTTATTTTATTACTGTAGTATTATTATTTTAAAATTAGTGTCATCTGCTTGACATACTGGTTTAATGATCAATAAATAATTAATTGAACTATTTCAAACTGATAGCTATAACATAATTTTATTACTTGAGAGTTTTAGTGCGATTCAAACATTCACACGTTATTATCGGACTGGAATTAAATTCAACAATAATTCTTGAATTCGAGTAATTGTTTACATAATTTAATGTATTTAATTGGTACCTATACTTTTTTTTTCAGGGATGCTACGTAATGGGCTTGTACTTGGAAGCGGCTCGCTGGGACATGAAAAATGAATGCTTGGCCGAATCTAGACCACAAGTTATGGTTGAAAATCTACCAATATTAGCCATCGTGCCGATCGAATGCCGTCTTTCGAAAATGTCAAAACACACGATTAGCCTTCCGGTTTACGTGACATCAAAAAGAGGAAATGCCGTGGACGACTGTTGTGTGTTTAGAGCTAATTTTAATACTAGTGTGCATGAACATTTTTGGATTTTACGAGGCGCGTGCGTTCTTATGAATTCAGAATAACTGTTTACAGTAGGACTTGTGACTTGTAACTAGCTAATTGTAAAATAAAATAATAATGATATTTAAAGAATAAAAATAAAACTACTTAATATAAATGAACATCACTAATGAGATTACGAGATTTGTTATTTTGCTCTCCAGTAAAACTGTATACGCATCCCTTAAATCCTTTTCGATCCTCACCATTTAAAATCATTGTATAAGTGTCTAAATATTATAACGACTTGACTAATTCTCCATTTATAAATAGATTATGCATTACTCCGATTTTTTTGTCACCGCTGTGTTCGGTTTTTATCGTGGCCAAAGTTTCACCGATAAAAAAATGTGTCTGCGTTCCGTTTTCAATAAATTCAGACTGAAAACAATGTATACGAATTAGTTTTTATAATATAAACATTTTAGATTCACGTCGAAGAAGTTAAATCGACGTGTTCAACGGAAAAGGACGTAACTCGATTCTTACAACTTTTTAGTACAGCCGTTCAAAGTTTTCAAAGTTAAGTTCTAATATTGCATTTCAATTTTTTACAAAATGTTTACAGCCTTTTTGAAAGACAGATGTTACAAATCCTCTCTATGGGAAATAAAGAAAATTAAACGCTCACTTAATATATTTTAATAAATCAAAAAATGATAAAAATTGAGTTACGTCCTTTTCCGTAGGCCAAAATTATTGTTTTTTTTTTTTTGTATTGAAATAAACTACATGCTTCAATACTTCTACAATGTGTGATGTTTGGGGAAATTTAGTTATGTTGATAACGTGTGACCTACGTTTCACTACATGGAAAAAAATAAATAGTTGATCCAACTAATATTATGGTCAATATCTGGATACAATAAATTTCTAGTTGTGCCAACTAAATAAAAATTTAGTTGGCACAACTATTTATTTATTTTTTGTGTAGGTATGTAGGTGAAGTGTTCTTTTCAAAGTTGCATTCAGAATTTTATTAAATTATTCGAAACTGTAACAATTGTAAACAATAACGGCTAACGCACACCTAAATCAAAACAGTATTGACTCAGTAAGTAAGTTTTTCCAGAAATATTGTATAAATATCTTAAATCGCCATATACTGGAGAGTACATAGATATTGATTAATCTGTTTTGTTGACATGCAGCTTCATTTGTGAAATCCAATAAATAATCAACTAAAAAGACCTACTTTTTGAGTTTTGATCAAGGTGTGTGATAAGATAATTATTGATTCCATCGAAAAATTCTGTGAAAGCCAATTGATTATAACGTCGTTTGTTTCATGTAGTAATTTCCCAAATTATTATTATTTACAGTAACATGAATGAAATATGTATGTTTAACACAAAAATAGCTATATTTCTAAAATATTTTATTGAAAGATAATCTAGATCTCCAAATGTAATAGACAATGTTTATAAATGTATTTTTGATCTACCTACCATTGCATCCGTAATTTTAGTTCCGTCCAGAAAAATGTCCATTGTTTCTCTGTCTACAGATAAAATGTTTCTGTGTTAAGGACAGAAAAGTTGTTGATTAAAATGATAAACGATCATTGGATATTACCAAGAATAATACGATGTTCTGTGCCGTCGTCTTCTGTTGTGATTAACCATGTAGAACGCGTTTTCGATATGTATTCATAATAATCACTTAAAATTTTTCCATCTACCCATAAACTATAAGTATACATAAACAAACCGTCAGGCTCCACTCTAATAATGCATTGCGTGTGGCCAATGTTGAAAATTTCATCTCCCACTAGTCGAAACATCCATTCTTTTCTCTTTATCACCTAATATAATACAAAAATAAAATACAATTTCCAGTTGTCCGTCGTTTAGATACTACATTTTGTTTAAAAGTTTGTTGCATAACGCAATAAATGATTAAACCTTTAAACATTTGATGTGAAACAAACTCTGAAGTTGAAAAACATGATTTTTGTATTTAAAAAATAATGTTCTCCCAGCTTCGCATCCAAGCTATAAATAGCTGTTAAGATTAAAGTTTGTTTAAAGTAATATAACAATAAATTATGTACATTTGTCCTACCATATTAACAGTAAGCACATTACTCATCATAACTATCTCTTCTATACTTAAAAACGTCAATCTTCTAAAGTATTTATTTACAAATCGTTATCGACCATTCAACATATTCAGGAATAGATAATCTCAAATGGTTATCTTTTCTTTCGTTAAACTAAAAGTAATTTTTTGTGATTTTTGCCAGGGGTTCAGGTCTAAATTTACATTACATTTTTTGTTTTAAACAAAAACAAATTGCAACCGTAGTTTTATAATATTATGTTTTCTAGCATGTATACAATTAAAAAAAAAAAAAATTCGTAATTCAATTCGGGGTGAAAAATTGTTTGGGTTTTTATTTGGTCAAATAAAGTTTTCCTACTTACAATAATATATTTTTTTCTACCACTATATATTATATACTTCTTTTTTAGCAAAAATTATTATTATTTATATTATCGCAGAAATGTACTTTCAAGTACACGTCTCAGTACATTGTAAACAAAATCGTTTTAAATTATTCTTACTTTTCCATCTAATCTGATGACTCTTTTTCCTGTGGCCGTCCCGTGTTCAAATTCAACTTCATGGACACCGTCGGCTAAAGGAATTTTCCAAACTGCTACCGTGTCCTCGCTATGTACTTTTATTTCGGACATGAATGATATTATTTGACTTTGACGTCAAATAAATAAAATACATACGCTAGAAATCGTTTAAAACTTAATTTTGTACGCGACTATTATTGATATCAAAGTATATAATGAATGTTCAATAAGTAGTGTATCTACTAACGGTAATACAGAGTAGGAGTATACATTGATTAGTATAGTAGGTATTACCCTGTAACAATGTTGTCGTAATAAAGTTGTCATGGAAACAACACCTACATAATTATTAAGTTTGTAATAACCTATAAAATACCAAGGATTTAAATAAAATTGTAAATAACGTAGTTTACTCTAAACAAAATTGAAAAATGTTTTCACTAAATTATTGAATAAATACATCAATATATATATATTATAATTTATTTATATCTATTATTCAAATAAACATTGGCTCCATATGTATTCTATAAAAGTCTTACTGTTTCAAAAAAAAAATATTGTCTTTATAAATTGTGTTAAAAAATGAATATTATTTACTATCAGATTATTAATATTGTTTATGCTTACTATAATATTGCGTATCATTTGTTTTGTTAAGACCCGGTCATGACCGGTTTTTGCCTAACAAACATAAACACTCACACCCTATAGGGCATAGGCGCAATTAGGAGGGGAGAGTAGAATGTGCTTAGCATTGTTTTGAAATGAGACCCGGGGTTTCAGACCCTTAAAGTGTTTTGTACTTTAAATTTTAGCGAAATTGTGCTAGTAGATCTGTCGTAGAATGGTTTGATTTTGATACAATATGTATGTGTATTTTTTTATAGGACTTTACAATTTCCCATCATATCCGATTTAAACATTTTAATTTTATGTGTTTATTTACTCTACACTCGGAAAATTAAATCATTCTTAACCCGTTAACTATAAAATTGTTAAAGTTATTTTAACAATAAAAAAAAACTTGTTGATGTTGTGTGCATGTAGTGGGTAGAAGCAAGCATAATCAATATTTTATAAAAAATTCGAACTGACCCGACCGTTTTTCGCGAAGATATAGCAAATCAAAGTTGACGGTTGAAAAACCAGTTCATTTTTTTCGGGTTTTCCCGGTTTCGGGGCTGAAGGAGTTGACTTTTTTTCCTTATGACCCACCAAAATATGCATATGAGTATATATAAGTATATAAGTATGTAAGTATCCATCTGCATACGATTCCGGATCTAATAGAGTTGCTACACGAGTAATTCGGTCCCCAGGAAAAAAACATCATTATAAAACCAATAGCTTCTTGTTATCGCATCGAAACTAAAATGTGTTTTTTTTTTTATTTGCGACTTTTTGTCTATACAAATTAATGTCTTTGTTATTTATTTATGCGGTTTGTAATGATTTTCATTATATTTTTAACATCTGTGATCCTGTAGTTTGACGTGACTACTATGTGCCATTTATTAATTACTATAAATTGGATAAATCTATAATGTATAATCAAGTTGGGGAAGGAAAATTTGTCTTTATTTGTCTCTCCAGTCCCCACTATATAAAAGAAAAATAATATGCAACACTAAAATAAAATAAAATTGTCTATTAATTGGTGTTAACCGTTACATAAACGTATCGAAATTGTTCTAGAAAATAATTAAATTTATTTTAGTAAAAATGTATACTTATAATATATTTTTTTAAGATATATCCTGATTTCTCGTCAACGGGGGTTTTCATACAAATCTGTTAAGTAAAAATTGAAGCTTTACATATATTATTATAAAATGTTGCCATAAGTATTTATTATTTATTAAATTATATTACAGTGTAAAATAGGCAATTCACAAAAGGTCTAACGGTTGTTTCGAAGATAGTCTTGAATCGTTCAAAGGATCGAGATCTGCAAATATATCCGACCAATTTAAAGAATTTGCTGGTGCCTGGAAATTAATAAACAATAATATATTAGTGAATATTATAAAAAAAAAAAAAACAATAAAACCGTTTAGCTTATAACTTCAGTATTGCTAAACATTATTTAATTTTCAATCTGAACTGATAAGAAAAGACCATAATAAGTGGTGAAAAAATTCCAAATAGATAAATTCAGAGCTTTTTCTCTATTTATTTTTCGCCGTCCATTAGGTATACTTTATTTCACACCATATAGTATTTTATTATGATCAACAGCTAACTTACTTTGGTGTCTTTATTCGTAGACCCCGGTGAACTGTATAGTAAATCAGACAAAAGTTGGGACGGTAAAAATTCATCTGGATTGTCGTTTTGTTTAAGCTCTGCGTTATCTTCATCTTGTCCGGTTTGAAATGGCGTCGACAAGAAATCACCGTAAGTATCTTTTCCGTCGAACAATGATAAAAGAGTTGACTCTTTATTTTCATCTTCCTGCGGTGCGGACGCCTCGAGACCCAGTTCAATATACGAACCGGAATCGTTATTCTTGTTTTCTGTTTTTGTGCATGGTTTACTTGTATCGGCTCTCAGTTCTTTGATCGTTTTAAAATCGTAATGCTGGTACTCTGTAAAACACAAAACAAAGATTATACAATAATAATTCTTCAATCTGTAAAAATATATCAATAGACTAATAAACATTTTTCTAACTAGATTAGTAATTTTTATTTTGAGTGATGTTTAGTTATAATTTAATTTTTTAATATATTAGTGTAAAAAATAGAAATTTATCTTGTTCTGATCATAATCATTGAAATAACAAAACGAAATAATTAATTTTTAATAAGAAACAGGTTTAATTGCTTATGAATAAGGTATGTGTGCGGTTGTGCCGTCCCAAAGCTTCCCAAAGTTTCACCAGTAATCCTTTAGGTGGTGGCTTTTTTTTTTACATTTATAAATAATGATTTGATTAAAAATTAAAACTCCACCATTCATGTCCCATATCTAATATTGTATGAGTTAATGAAAATTGCCATTGATGTTGGCATAGTTATGTTGGGACAGTTATCATTTAGTTCGGCAGTGCCATATGGAACGATGACTAAACATTACACTCAATAATTCGATTGAAAAAATTGTATCGCAAACAAGAAAATGTTGTATTTTCCAAACACTTTTTTGAGTATTTGAAAATCAAACTGAGAAGAAATAGTTTACTGTATTATGTCAATTATACAGAACAAATTTTTTAAACAAATTTATACTTGCCATTAATTTTTAACTGAGGAAGAGGTAAAACCAAGAATGCTGAATATCACAGAAATGGATAGAGCTATTTATTGTTGTGTAAAAAGTAGGCAATATTTGATCTAGGAAGAATTTCAAGTATGACAATTTATTCATTAAGAGTACACGACAGTTAATTATTGTGCGTTACGTTATTATTAAATTCGTTTTTCTATGAGTTATAGCAAATGTTTCATAAAGTATCACTTTTGTTGAGGTTTCTGGTGTACCTAATAAGCGGACTTCAAAACTCTTTTATGCAGGCTGGAAATTCGATAAAAAATGTATTTTTAATAAATTAATTAAATTTATTAAACACAAACGTTCATAACGCATGTTTCAAAACAAAAATTAAAAATCTACCTTGTATAGTCCCTTATAAGGTAAGATGTAAAGATGTTAAATATTAAACTTAAAAAAAAAAACAAAATATTTTGAAATCGGTCAGGTAAACACTTTAATAAAAGGTTATAGTCTTTATCGAGTCAGACCAAGTTGCTTATTAATTAGTTGACAAATACTTGTACTAACAGTCCGCACTTACGTTGGATGTCTACAGTAGCATGTTCGAACGAGGCCCCTATGGTTTCGGCGAATCGTTGCAAACTTTGTTGATAAAAAATCAGCACGTGCGAGAACATATTGCATCGCGCAGCCGCTAGCAGGTCGACTTTTTGCAGGCAAATTAATTTATGATGATCGAATTGCTTTTTGGACTTCTTGACGTTGTTCTGCACGCTTTTGTATCTGTCCAAATTTGCGTCCGGGTCCAGTTCCTGAGAAATGTCCTTCATCCAATTCAACGCAGCTCTGTAGTCTGTCCGTGCGTTTTCCATGCGCTTTACATCACCGTGGGTGTCTTCCACTGCTCTCAAGCAAAACGTTTCGATTTCCTAAGACCGAAATATTTGAAAATCTACGGCTCAGCTTTTGTGTGTGTTTATCCGCTTACCTGATGCAGTCTTGCTAAAGGCGAACGCAACGTGACTCGCTCTTGGCCAGACATTGTCATACAAGATCCCAGGATTTTTAACATTTCCCCAGCTTTTGTTGTGTCTTTGTTTCCCGCCTTTTTCATGAACACGCCCATTTGGTTTTCTTCATACGCCAAATCTAAATTCAAAAATCGTTCGTTAAACCGTTACTATTACCGAGGGTAAGAGCAAGTGGCAACAAATTCGAGGAACGAACTCGAGGCCTAACTCTGGTCTACAATAAAGCCCCACTTTCCCAAAGTCGAGACGCCCGAGGTAAAAATATATACCGAAAGCAAGCGGTCAATTAAAGGCTATCGTCATTTAGTAATTCCTATTGAACTGGTTCAGGACATCATTTTGGACAATTATGAATAATCATTCAAATACACATAATGTTTTCAATTTTTAAACGTAATTCTTGACGGCTTGAAAACTACCTTTGATGAAAAATTTCCGAATTATTAAACAATAGTAAATACCGAAAGAGTTTTTCGGTGGAAATTTATTAAAATCCAATTTTCTGAAATATTGTCTTTATAACACTCCTTAAAACCCGCCCGCTTACAATCTTGTAGTTGGTAGTCAAAAATTGCTCCTTTAATTTAATTATTTAAAATTTATGCATGTAAGATGAAACGTTTGTTGCATTTTTTTCTACTCGAGTACAATATAAATGTATATATTATGTATATCATAATATTATATATTAGACGTCCTGTAATTTATAGCTAATGATACACAAAACAAAATTAACTTTTGGTAACAGTTAAAACTTCATTCTAACGAGATTTTTTTTAATTTACATATGACCAAAATAGAAACTAACTGTACAACTTTTCGTCGTATTTGTTTACGATCCTCTGCAAATTTTGACAGCTTCCTTTAATCGATTTAAACAGTTCGAGCTTGGCATCGAGTTCCGCATCAGAAGCTACTACAAATTCGTCATCCTTTTTTCCCAATTTTTTACACACTTGTTGCTTGGTCACCCAATATTTATGTTGCATTTTCGATACAGCCGAGCCATTCGAATTGTTTTGCCACCGATTTAATCCAGGAGCGTCGTACGAATTCCTAATAAAATACAATAATTATTATTATTTATAATGTTCAATAAGTATATAAAAATATTATGGTTTAAGTGTAATATATATTTGTGTTTTATTTATAGCAATTACTGTTTTTATTTTATTATGAGATAGACAAATTAATTTAAAACAAAAAAATGGCCGCTTGCAAAGAGACCTATTTATGTACAAAAGGTACGACGAGTGTTTCCGTTTTCCGCCAAAATAAATCAAAATTTGTTACCTTATATTTTTGAAGAACCCCTGAAACTAAATCTATAATATTATTTACTGCTTGTCGATTACAGGCCGAATTAATCATTTTTCTATCTATGATACATCTATCTACAGCACTATGTTCTACTATAAGACTACCCTATATTCAGTATTCTGACGAGTTCATAATTCTTATTTTTTTGTGAACATTTTAGCCTTACATTTTTTGTCGTAGCACCTCCATCGTGTAATGTCATTTTTAGCTGTATACTCGTGGTCAAATTTAAATTTTTTATAAATTAGCATAATATGCTCACGGTTACTCGTAATTACTTAATTTTTTACCAAAATAATAAAAAAAAAGGCACTTCATATTTTAATAATTAATTTTAAAAATCACAATAAACAATCGTGTGACATGTTTATTATTAGGTTGACAAAATAAATATTAGTTTGGGATATTTTTAAAAAATACATAAATTCAATTTAGAATACTAAAAAAAATGTTAATATTATACATTAGATTCAGAGGTTCTTAAAACATACCTACTAGGTAACAAATTTTTATTTTGGAGTATAACATTTGGCGGAAAACGGTGACGCCCGGTACGAAATATTAAAATATTGGTATCGCTGAATTCAAGAAAAATCAAATGTTGTTTGACAGTTGCTTACAGATAAGTGTTTTGCGTCAACTGAAAAATTAGATTTTAGTATACATAGATGTGATTTTCTTTGGATGAGAAGAACTTTTTGTTTAATCATAAATTTAAAATTCGAAATTGTTCATGGTTAGTGGAATAGGTCATTGAAAATACATTTAATAGATAAGACGAAAATCAATACATGAATGGTTATAAATTAGAAGGGATTCAGGTTTATATTTATATATGTCTATTGCTTTTAATTTGAATATAACATTTAGAAAAAGTTTTTTAAAAATGATGCCGGATTACGACAGAATAAAAAATCGTGTGACATAAAAAGGTTACTCAAACTATAATAAAATATTATTATTTATTATCATGATAATTTTTCAAAACATATCGATAATTAAATTAAACATTTTACGTTATAAAGAACACGAAAACAATTAAATATATAATATACATGAATATATAACCAATTATGTATCTACAATTTAGAATTTAGTTGAAGTGGTAGGAAGCATACAAGTGATTTTTTTAAAATTAAAATCGAATTTTTAACATGCGTTTTCAAGGGTGATATTCATTAGTTTTTTCAAGATCTACTTGAAAAATTCACGAAGGAACATTATAAACACGATTACATATACCAAAAGGCATCATTGCCAGTTAATAATGTATGACGGAAATGTTTTTTTATTGGTCACTTGTATGCTTTTTGCTCTCATTACTTGAATTAGTGTATAAATCATACTACTTACCATCCCGATTCCGAAAGACTCATGTCAAAACACCGAAGAAGATCTTGACGAAAATGATATATTAGACTTTTTTTTTAATATTTTCGTACGTGCACTACATAACGAAGTAAGCGAACTCAATGGCGAATAACATTTTATCGTTTTTTTTTGGAATTATGATACGAAACGATTGACGTTAAAGTACAACTTGGTAAATAAAGGTATACTTGTTGTAGACTCTGTACGAATATTTCCACCGTACTCACGTTAACGCGGGTCGACCATTAGAAGAGAAATCAAACAACACGATAATTCTGTTGGGTAAACGGACAAAGTGTCTACGTAGAAAATAAATAAATTTAAGGAGCAATCGCTTTTGAAAAACCCAGTTCTAATACTAGTTGTAAGTGAGCACGTTCGTATAGCACCGTCACAACTCACACAACACTTGTACAAATAGTAACGCCGAGGAAATCAATACTCGTATCTCGTAACCATACGAACATATGCGGGTGGTGTGCAGCTGTTTTAAAATATGTCATGCGCATCGTTTCCAAGCTATAATTTTCATAATAAAAGAAAATTTTGATTTTTTTTATGTAGATATATAACTTTTAAGTCATTGCAGACTTTGGTGTATATAGTTAATTTTTCAGGAAACGAGACTCAATCTCTTTTTTCCCCCTCACCCTCGAAATAATAGGAACACAAGTATGTCATTAATAAGAAGTTGAGAATAATCTACTGAAAATATTATGATAGTCTATCGAAAAATGTATAATATTGTAAAAAAAAACAACGAAACTACAAAATTACTATAAATGTTAATAATGAATCATTGTTAAAATTTCTCAATATTTTTCGTTATAAGTGTAGTCTTCATATCGACGTGCCCAATAAAAGACGTAACTCGATTTATTCGTTTTTGTTATAAAATCTATTCTTTTTTTTTTTTAAAGTTAGGCATAGATGAACTTATGGTAGGGCAAAGAAATATGTATTCCAAAAGTTAAAATATAATTATAAAAAAGCACATCGACGTGTCCAAACAAAGAAGGACGTAACTCGATTTTTAAAAAACAATTGTTAAACTGATAACAGTTGTATTACCGGCGAAAAAGGTAGTTACTCAAATCGACCAAAGAGGTTTTGAATAAAACAATTGAGTTACTACGTTTTTCACCGGTAATACAGAAAACAAGTGTTATCAGTTTAAAAACTGTTTTTCAAAAATCTAGTTACGTCCTTCTTCGTTTGGGCACGTCGATATGCATTTTTAACTATATTTGTAACTTTTGGAATACATATTTCTTTGCCCTACCATAATATGCGGTTCATCTATGCGGTATGCCTAACTTTAAAAAAAAAAGAATAGATTTTATAACAAAAATCAATAAAACCAAATTGATTGTTCTAAGATATTACGAATTCTTTTACTTAATGGTACTTTTCGATTTCCTCCTACGTTTTACATTTCCATTCACCGTCAAAATTATAGTTTTAATACTCCAATGGACCGACATGATGACATGCAATTTGTTGGAGAATATAGAACGAATTTATGCCACACTCATTTAACCCGATTACAAAATTGTTTAAGTTAATTGTCAATAAACTTATACAATTTGGTAATCGGGTTAAATAAGTAATAATTAATTATTGAGTTAATTTTTCTATTGATTTTGTAATTTTCTATTTGTGTAATTTGTCTATTTGCTAATTACCTATTATCATCATTTTACTAATATTCAACGTATTTTACTGTACTCCGTGCTTTGGGCGTTAGTTAAAAAAAAAAAGTTAATCAATATTGTAAAAAATAATGAAGTCAGAACCCCCGAGGGCCTTCCCCTGACAACCGGTTTTTAAATTGATTTTTGTAATAGTATATAATAGATATTAGTTGATACTAATTGCATAAAGTGCAAACAACTATAGTTGTTATTTTAATGAGTACATTAAGTGTGGGTGCCCATATTATAATGTCGATAGAATTTATACATTGTGGACAAACCGTATCAGTTTCAATAGGGCGTCGCTGGTTTCCGCTAGCATGACCTCTCCGTTTCCACCAAAGCAGATAACGCTACTAACTACTTACGTTATTTTATATACAAATGTGAGCGTTTAAAATTCGGAGAATCTCATTTCGATAGAATAGAAAACGGGTAACTTTTTTTCATCAAAACTATAAACGTTAACATTGACACTGGATGAACCGCGTGACAGCTGAGGTGTGTCTACTGCCCACGCCATGACCTGTATTATTTTTTATTTTATACGTACATTTTTTCATAAAAACCACGAAACTATACATTTTGTTTTCAGATTTAAAAAAAAAAAACATTTTCATTACTAAGAAAAAAATAAAAATAAATCTCTGTCCATTCCCGGTATTCAACGAAAAAAAACTGATTTTGATCTCTGATTTAATAATGAAAATTTCAGATATTTAAAACTGGTTTTGTGAAAAATAACTTTACTTCTATTTTAGAGGTAAATATGAGTGATAAAAAAAATTAAGTCTTATATTAAGACTAAAAGAAGTTTAAAACCAAATTTCGAAAAAAATTGAGTTCAGGCCGATGACCGCATGGTTTGACTGAGAATGTTCCATATATGTAAACTTATATGTATTTAACAATTATTGTTTTAAAATAGTAACAAAATATTTAAATATATTTAAAAATAACCTTAACCAAATAATTCTTTCGTGGATATATGAGTTTATTTTAATTATTTCCCTAATAATATGTAATAATAAGACTTCATATGCCCTTTCTACAAATAACAAAGTTTCTTAGAGGACGCCACATCGCCCATTTTTAAGGAGTAAAGTATAGGCAATTTTTTACAAAATCTTAACTTAAAGGTTAAACTGTGATGTGTAACTATGAGTTCAGTAGTTGGGACTCTTTTGTAGTAGTTAAATTATTTTTCGGACTATCACAGCATCCTTGACAGCGATTTAAAAATAAAATTCTGTTGAGTTGAGTTTTACGCGGATTAATTTTTCTCAGGCTTCATATATTTAAGGAAAGAAAATATATATTATATTATATTTATATAAGAATATATTTATATTGAGAAAAGAAATTCATTTATGACAAAATTATCTGTGTTTCATCATCTGTATTTTATCGATATACTTAATACAACCAACGCTATATCATTTTTAAAAAGTCAAAAAAGTCCTCTCTTAATTAATTATTCATTAACTGGTTGAAATTTAAAAAAAAAAGGCGATGGTAGAACACAGACAATGTTGTTGTCTATATTATGTGAAAATTTGGTTTCTTAGTTTTGATTACAGCCTTTGTAAAATTAATCCGCGCAAGGTGGGTTTTTTGAAGAAAATAATGGGTGTGGCGCCCTCTTAAGGCCCCTAGGTACCGACCATTTTTAAGGAGTTTTGTATAGGCAATATTTAAAAAAAAATTGGTTTTAATAAATTTCGACCATGTCAATTAATTTACCGGTTAATTTGTGTATACTTCATAGTTCATGGTATTATTTTTAACTTAAATCATTTTGTCTATGAGTAAAAGTCCATTTTAGTTAATATAATTTACATTTTTTGTTCCATCGCACAGGCTAAACTAGTGGCATAAAAATTAGATCAAATACATTAATGTATTATAAATAACATCAAAATGAACAAAATAATGATTACTTTTTACCAGATATATTTTATTATGGCGCTTCATTTAAAATATCTGGAATAAAAGGCATATTGATCAATCCTTAGTCCGGAAAACGCCATTTTTATCACCGGAATAGTTGTCACAACTTTGCTTGGAGATATCACAAGAACAAAACTTTTTACCTGACATATATATCATTTGACAATTTAATCAAAACTCTCCGGAAAAAGGTCAACCAACGGAGCACTTTGTACAGAGGACACTCCAATTGTCATTTATTAACTTCATCTAGTAATTTTCAAGTTATTAATGTTCAAAATATGAACAATACACAACAGAATAAAATCAAAAGGATAACTAAGGTTTGAAAGATAAAACTAAATTCATATAGTTGTACTTGAAAATAATTTCAAAATTTAATGTTGTAAAGCTATATTGTTCAATTATTATAATTCAAATAAAAAAAGCAGTGTAATTTTAGTACGAGAGGAATTTTAGATGGAATGAATAAAGCATAAGTATAAAAAAAGTTAATTTACAGGATTTCCATTAAAAATAATAGTAACAAAAATTGCATTTTAAAGCTAATTAATACATGTCTAGTTTTCATCAACTTCTTGTTCCTGTTCCTCGTCAAATTCAGCTTCTTCGTCAGCGGTGGCTTCTTGGTATTGTTGGTATTCAGAGACAAGATCGTTCATGTTAGATTCAGCCTCAGTGAATTCCATTTCATCCATACCTTCACCAGTGTACCAATGTAAGAAAGCCTTACGTCTGAACATAGCCGTGAACTGTTCGCTTATCCTCTTGAACAATTCTTGGATGGCGGTCGAGTTACCAATGAAGGTGGCAGACATTTTCAATCCTCTCGGAGGAATGTCACAAACAGCTGTTTTAACGTTGTTGGGAATCCATTCAACGAAGTAGCTAGAATTTTTATTTTGGATGTTCAACATTTGTTCATCGACTTCCTTCATGGACATGCGTCCTCTGAATACAGCTGCTACAGTGAGGTAGCGCCCGTGTCGTGGATCACAAGCCGCCATCATGTTCTTAGCATCGAACATTTGTTGGGTGAGTTCAGGTACAGTCAACGCCCTATATTGTTGGCTGCCGCGAGAGGTAAGAGGAGCAAAACCAGGCATGAAGAAATGTAACCTGGGGAAAGGAACCATGTTGACGGCGAGTTTACGGAGATCAGCATTTAGCTGACCGGGGAACCTGAGACAAGTTGTCACTCCGGACATGGTCAAGGAGACTAAATGGTTTAAGTCTCCGTATGTTGGTGTGGTTAGTTTTAATGTACGGAAACAGATGTCATACAAAGCTTCATTGTCAATACAGTAGGTTTCGTCTGTGTTCTCGACCAATTGGTGAACCGAAAGGGTAGCGTTGTAAGGTTCTACAACAGTGTCAGACACTTTTGGAGATGGAACAACAGAGTATGTGTTCATAATTCTGTCTGGGTATTCTTCACGAATTTTAGAGATCAACAATGTTCCCATACCAGAACCGGTACCACCACCCAACGAGTGAGTCAGTTGGAAACCTTGGAGGCAATCGCAACTTTCGGCTTCTTTCCTAAAATAAATAAAATGAATTCATTAACAAACTAACATTTCTTTTTCAATTTATAAAATATAAGAACAAGTGATGATAAATAAAAAAAAATGCATTTTTTGTTAAGCATCACTATATTAATTTCAGAAAAAATTTGTAACCATGATTGAAATATACAAGGTTATTGCACATAATATACTCTTTCATCAAATATTTGATGATAAAATCTAATGTCAGCATAACGGGCAGCCAATCAAAAACGGTAAAATATATGGTAATAGTAAAGTATATAGTAAAATTGATATCCCGTTGCCGTCATTTTATTTCTGAAGATAACCATTCGAGACGATGTGCAATAACCTGTATTTTCAACCATGTTCACAGCCCAGAATGCATTAGTGTTTTTGTGACTTTATGTGAATGTGACCCGGAGTAATTTTGTGAACATTCCATCCAAACACTAACCAGAAATAACATGACGTTTTTTGTAATTAACCTTTTCAAAACATTAGGAAATTTATTTGTAGTGAGGTCATATAACCAAATAAATAACGGCAGTACCTATGTTCATGTGCAATAATGGTAAATTACATCCTTACCGAAAAAATAAATGTAAACAATTTTTTTTAATTTAATAAGATTTGTTAAAAATTTAGTATCGAGTACCTAAAATAAAAAATACTGCCGAATGTTCAAGATATGCAAGTATTAAACACCAAGTACGGAAAACCTGATTTTTTCTTCACAAAACTGCAAATATAATTTGGTCATGGTAGCAGCGACATCACATGGAGTTAACAATTTATATGTTAAAATATACAAACATATTGTTTTTTTTTATAAATGCAAAACATTTTAAGTGAAAACATTTCACAAGAGTTCAAAGATATTGCAGTTCAGAACATAATATTAAATTAGTTCTTACTACAAAAACTATTTTAAAATAAAATGTATTATTAATCGAATCTCACCTGACTACATCTAACACTGAGTCTACAAGTTCAGCACCTTCAGTGTAATGTCCTTTGGCCCAGTTGTTACCAGCCCCAGACTGTCCAAACACAAAGTTGTCTGGTCTGAAAATCTGTCCAAAAGGTCCAGATCGTACGGAATCCATGGTACCAGGTTCCAAATCAACCAAAATAGCACGAGGTACGTATTTACCACCTTAAGACATGTAAATTATGATACAATTAATATTAATTCATAAAGGAGATTTTTTTTTTTAATTTACTGAACAGATGTTCAGTTATGACTAAACATACCTGACGCTTCATTGTAGTACACATTGATACGTTCAAGCTGGAGATCGGAATCTCCGTGGTATGCTCCAGTTGGGTCAATTCCATGTTCGTCAGAGATGATTTCCCAGAACTATAAAGTAAAGAACAATTAAATTAGTAAATCAATTTAAAAAATAAATATTTTATATACCAATCAAAAATAGCGAATTCTATAATAATATTCACGATCAATAAAATGTGACAAATTACAAATAGATAATAAAAAGAATTTTATAAACATAAAATAAAACCTTTCACTATTAAATGTGTTTAAAAGTTATTAAACTCATAATTATATTCATTAATGAAATCTTTAGCTATATTCATATGTAATTGTAAAATAATAATTAAATTAAATCAAATTATTAAATTATTATTAAATTAAATTATTATTAATTCGTAATAATTGAAATTTAAGAAATTCATTAATACAATTTTACTAAAACAAAGTATTTTAAATGTTTATTTATTATTTTTTTTTACTAAGAAAACATTATTTGGATTAAGTTCCAGCCAAAAATTACACTTGGATCTATATCTAAAAAATCAAAAAATTTGTTCTGATTAAGTTTAATCAAGAAATGCCATCAGAAAAAATAGTTTTTTTTATTGTTAGAAAAAAAAATTCAAGTTGTTGATAAAACAAATTTATTAAAACTATAATAAGTAAAATATACTTTAACGATATATTCAGGCAAAATATGCGATTCAGAAAATGTCTTATATATTATAAACTATAATAAAGTACAAGACAAAAAAAAAACAATCTAGTTGAGCGCTTAAAAGTATATTAGTTTCCCAATATTCCACTTTAGAAATAGTCGACTACATTAGCTTGAAATATTACAAATACTTAAAAAAAAAATTATCTAACGGTTTTCCATTGTTATAGCAAGCGTCATATTGGCGGAAACACCGGACGACCACGCTATCCATAATGTAAATTTGAGTATAAAAGTAGTGGTAAGTCTTTAATAATAGCCTGCACGATTCACGAAAAAATAATAAATCGAAATAAATGAAGAAAATCAAATTCAATGATAGTTAATACTATATTATTTGATTTATTATTCAAAACTAATAAAATTATAACTAACGGGCGCTACTTCACAGATTCGGTCAACAGCCGACCGGCCGGCCGGCCGCCATATTCGAAACGTTTACCGTTTACAAACTGCACACGGTGGTATTGTTTAAATTGAATTGCGATATTACCTTGGCTCCAATCTGGTTTCCACACTGTCCGGCTTGAATGTGAACAATTTCCCTCATGGTTGTGTTTTAATTTAATTTAAATGAAGAAATGTGTAAGTTATAAAATGTGTGTGTAAGTCTTGTTTATTTCGTCAGGAGCACGACGACCGTCTCAAACGATACAGAGAAATAAAATGGCTGCAGCAGGGTTTTTGTCGGATTTGTGGCGTTGGCGATACACCAGCAACGAGTCGGTCGACGCCCTTGCGCCATTTTCATTGGTCCGACACTGGCAGTACAGCCAACTTAACGCTGAAAATAACGATTTTTCGTATATCCGTTGGTTTTATTGTTTTGTTTATTCGATTTTGAATTTGAATAGCCCAATCATTAATCGCGTGCCCGTTAGCCGTTTGGGCGTCGGCCAAAATATCCAACGCCAGTCGCTACGCAGATTGCAGTAGAAAAAAAATGTATATACATAATATAACATGCAAGTTGCAGAACACCATATGGTGGCTTATGAAAATACTTATTACTTGGGAGTTTTAAACAATCAATAATTTTTACTATTTAATATTTATACATATTTTATCTAAACAACTGTGGAAAACGCTTACAATGTATGTACAGAACTGAAAAGTCTTCAATTACTCATAGCTACGGGAAAGACTTATTAACATCTATTTAAACAAAATATTACGACTGTAATGGAAGTTTCAGTTCTAAATTGTTTAAGGGGTAGTTAATTCTAACGTCATGCCGAATCCCAAAAAAAAGTTCCAAACGAGTAAAAATCCAAAACAGTAGAAATCGTTTTGCTTTCATAATTTTTAGATTTAAGCTAATTTTTTTGTTCAAACCGGAAAATAAAAGGATTCAAATAAATATTTCAGAAAATTGGAGTATTATTTTTTTACTCGTTTTAAATAAATTTGCAATGTGTTCCCACCTAAACATTTTCGAAAACCCATATCTGGCCCCTAACCTAACAGGAATATACTATTCGAATAATCACACAAATTTTTAAAAATAAAGTACACTAATCTAAATATTTTATTTGAAATTACAACTATGATGTTATGTAGGCGTTTGTCAATAATATCATTATGCATAATATATATACATAACACAAATATGTCAATACTTTTGTTGTCGACGTACCTATACTACATTTTTATACTCTTTACATTATCCAAAAAGAAACCATTAAAAGTCAACGAACGGGTTTATTTTCGTAGCATTATGTTGACATTTACGTTTTTTTTAATGGGTTTATTCGATTGTGAACTGATATATAAAAACTAGAAATTACTTAGCTAATCGTAATAATATGGGTATTTACTCTGATGAGTCTGATATTCACCTACAAAGGCTACAATACCTATTGGTATATTATTTATTACCTGTAAAGAAAAATTAATTATTAAGCATCATTTTTAAATCGCTATTCAGTTATTTTTTTAGTAATCATTTATTTATGCAAGACCCATTCTTTAATTTAAAAAATATACAAATTAAATTAGAAACCAACCAAATAGTATTAAGTAAAACATATTTTTGAATAGACGATGTACATAATGAACTTTCGTATAGTATAATAGTTATCTTTTTGATTTTATAATAATTAAAGTATGTACATCATATTTAATAATAACACATCGTTGAAAAACGCCAATTAAAAAAATATATTATTATTAAATGCAACGTAATTAGATAAATATTAATTTAATTTACATTAGCTAACATAGAAACAATATCCAAGTTTTATGTGAAATTTTAGCTCAAATGACAGGAACTCAAATACTAATTTATATGATGTATTATATAATATTATATATGTTAATATATAATTGAATTAAACAATGTTCCAGACGATGTATTTTTAAGATATTTTATTATTACATAATTATTTGCTTTATTTATTGAAGTGTGTTATTTCCTTATAATAATTATGATTATTGTTAAAAAAACACACATCGCACTACAGTCTATACTCTTTATGGATCTGCTTTGTATGTTCTATATTAATTCAAAAAATTAATTGAGCGCTGAATAGCGATAACTATTTATTACGTTGATTAATCTGGTCGTTCTTCCTGCAATAACAATGATAAGTGCTGTTTTTATCAAAATACGTTAGAAAACGCGGGATAACCCTATTTTTTGTGAACTGTATTCTGTAGCGTCTCACGTCTGTAATTATCACTGTCCTCTGGGCTCTGGCCTCTGATAATAATTTGTGTTCAAACGGCAGACTAGTAGGTATAATCGGCGGCCATAATAATAATTAACACACAATATCCAGTCCACAGAACAAGTTAAATCTAATAGATCTACCTAATAGATTTAACCTATTTTGTGGCCAGTCCGTCGATATATGTTTTCTTAAACGACATATTCGGTTTATAACATCTGGTAACAAATTGCAGCTCAGATATTTTTTTTTCTTGAAAAATAACCTATGCTAGGCTGTATTTTGTCTGCATCTGTTAATGGATCTAAAAACAACCGATAACAGTTAAGTATAGAAAGATGTTTATGCTCGCCATTATACTCGAGAACAAATTTCGTTTCTTTTTAAGCTCTGTCTGCCCTTAACCACATTTCGGAAACATTATTGAAGTTTAAAACAATTTACTAAAAATGTAACTGGTTCATTTAATTATTATATTTTATTAATTATTATTTTTTATTTATTATACATAATAATATAAAAACCTTAAACCGACATAAAATGTTTTTAAAAAATTGAACTTCAAAATTACAACTATTTTTGAAAAAACATGGCTTACGTTAATTTTTTCAATTTAATAATTGATCACCTTATTTGATTGGATTTTATGTGTAAATAAAATTAAGTATAAACAAAAATAGCAATTAGAACATATCAACAGATAACAATATGTATACAGGCTTATAAGTGTTTTTGATATTAATAATCGTGTTTACAGGTTTTTAGGGTTATTTTAATAAAAAAAGTTTGATTCTAGATTTTTGGCATACAATTTTTTGAGTACGATTTCTAATCCATAGACTTTCTACATGAAATAAGTTCTAAAGTTAAAAATTATCTTTTCAGCTTCGTATCGATTTTAAAAAACATGATATGATGCTATTTCAGTATCTAATATCTGTGTACACGTAAATTATTAGGCATAAGTACATACTATTTTATAACAATTGAATTGTATTGTATTTTATTATTGACGCTAAATGCTGACCATTGTTCTATTTATAAATTGTTTATCAAATAGAAGATAGGTACGTGAAGGATGTCATGAAGAACATATAGTAGTTATCGGTTTCGTTTTTTAGCGAGGCACTCCTTATTCACCACGGAAATTGAACAATTATTTTAACTTATAAGTAGGAGTCAAATCACCGCCTATACAATTCAGAAAACAACTTAAACGTTGTGGGCGAGGACCTTGGTATTCAGATGTTACTTGTTAGCCTGACTCTAAAGTGTTTAATATATACACCATACATTATATTGTACTCGCACCGCACACGTAATATTGTCATTTGCAGTAAATAAAGAATACACGTTATATCACCTTAAATGTTTAAATACAAGTAAAAATTAACAAATAAGTAAATAATTTAACTATATAAATGTATCTGTTGTTATTATTGTATAAAACATGAGAAATTCAATGATTTCTCAGATCAGCAAATGACTAACAAGAATCGAGATATTTTTATAGTTGATAGTTAATCATAGATAAAAAATCATAGATTTAGATTAAAAAAATAATTTTAAAAAGAAGTATATTTAGCTAATGTACTTTCGTAGTCTAATATCTATCTACTTCTCCAGACGCTATTCAAAATAAAAAATTAATAAGAATTGGAAAGTTAAGTCCCACTGTAATTGTATAATAATTAAAGCTACAACTTAGGAGATAATGGTTTGGTTAAAAAAAACTCATATTATTTATTAATTATTTATGAGTAGATACGGTTTATTTGTCTACTCTACGTGAATGATTTTCAACTTTTTTTTAAAAGCAACCAAGATTTTATAAGCTTGCAGCTGTCATTTATCTGTCTAATACCGGATGGCGGTTTGTAGACACTTTTTATATAACCAACAACCATAAAGGCAAGATGTCTATAAAAAAAACACTCCTTTTCTTGTAACGGATATGCAAACCTTAATCCGTAAAAACTTTGTTTCTTGTTCGTCCAATATACAACGTTCTGTCAACGTTGTATTTTTTAGGTCATTGTGTAACACATATGGCATACCTGCTATAGCAATGTACTTTTTCCACTTCAACTAACACATATAATAATTACCCAGAACTGTTGCTACTTACACATGAGTCATAAATTGTTATGCATAGCTCATAATATAAGTCTTATACTGGTATCTTAGTAATTCTTTATCAAAATTAAAAAAGTATTGAAGATATAAATAGAATGCCTATTTTTTTAAAACTTCGGCTAGCAAAGCTATAATCTATCAAAAATCGCCATAAATCATAATTATATTCTTATTATGTCGACAATTATTTTTTGGGTTCTCTTACTAAACTTGTGTGACATGTAATAAGTAGGCACACGCCCATTATATTCGTCCGGAAAATCGATTATAACTTATAACCAAACACTATTATTAACTTACGACTAATTATTTTTTTAATGTTGCCTATATCTACATTGTCGACAAATTGTTATAATCTAGTCATCATTAGGTACAGGTTTTAGTAAGTTACTAATATTATAACAATATTCATTCTTAATACGGCGACGTGCAAAAGTGATTTTTGGTAATTATAATAAGATTATAATTTCCAATAAAAAAAACTTAAGGCGACATATTTTGAAGCTCAAAATTTTAAGTTATAATAAATTAATTTTTAAATATTGGTATGCAAAAACATTTTGAGATAGTGTGAAGGAGTATAGGAGTAAGAAATTCAACTAAAATAACGATGTTCACATATTGGTGCAAAGAATGTTCAACCACAGGGTGATATTGTTACGGGACTTACCTGTACCAAAAATATTATAAAGCCCCCAAATTTGTCAAAAACCTAAAAAAAATTGGAGGTGTTAAGCACATCCAAGTTCTACTCAAATTGCGTCTATGATTATTTACTTATTGCTAATGCACATGTTCATTTATATCTATATAAATAAACCTTGTTAATTTTTTGTGTAAAATGTAAAATGTACGCCATTTTCAATTATACAAATT